GTACATCTACCTTCATCAGCTTCATTCATATAAATGCAAAACAATATTTTAAGGAACAGAGATACCATTAATGGTTATATGTTTGCAAAACTAGAAAAAAATCTGGCAAAGTAACAATTTTTCGCTACTTCTTTATATACTAGGTCATGAATGAGAAAATGAAAAGTTGACACTAACACGAAGCTGAATTGAATTTGTTATTAGTGTATTTATATGAAACTTGCAAAAGACCAAAATCATACGTCCACAAATTCTTAGAAAACATAGCGCTCGTTTTCCTGTTCTCAACATTCTGTTACCCGTTCGTTTTGCAGCCAGATAGGTAACATATTTCAAAAATTCATACGCTAGTTTCATATCACACTGATATCAAGTATTTAATTTAGATGGCACGTGTGGCATCCAATACGACGTCCCTCGAAACCTAATTCAAACGGCAGTCGACAAGGCTGTGGCTGAAAAAGACTGGCAACGACTTCATCTTCTCTTTGTGGGCGGTGGAGGAGCAAAACGTTTTCGGAAAGGATCAGGGGGCCTGGGAACTGGCTGCGACGCAAGTAGTGTTCCGTTAGAAGAAATCATTCACTGCGATTTCAAAGATCTTACAGAATTTATAAGCGCCTTATTGGATCACAAAGCGAGCGGTGATCCTCCAAAGGGGCGAGAAAATCCAGTCGATGTCGCCATTCAATTGGACAAATTTGATGTTGTAAATGTTCTGATGGACAGATGTAAAAAGACAGAGCCGTCCCAAGAAACAACCAGCACAAGTAAAGCCCATAAGGTATGAATACAGGGCGCGACGTTTTTCTGTCAATCATATAACGTTCCCTGCAACTGTTAATAAAACGCCAAAAAAAAGAATGGAAAAACTTTTTAAGTTAGAAGCCTTCCTTAAGCAAAAACTGAGCACTCTCAAAGGGTATGGAACTTTTTTCCGTGCTTTTCTTCTGGTTCCGGCAGGTAGGTAAGTGAAAAACAGCGAATCACTAATGGACAGGTCGTAGGAAACGGCTTCCACGGTTTTTTGGCTAAACATGTACAATCACTTTAAACGTACACCGCCATAGGACGGCTAACCCCCTAACACCTACACTTAGAGGTGGTCTCTGCCAATTTCTGGCTTGAAAATTGAATAGACTCCTTCTCGCCTTTAAATTTTCTTTTTCCATTTCAGACCACGTGATGTTACCTCCAGAAAACATTTCACATTATTAATATTACATACAAGCTGAAAAGGTCTATTGACTCTTTATTGGACGGAAATTTTTTACCACCGAAACAAAGTGCCGTGTCCAGAAGGCGTCCGTCTTCTAGAGACCTGACTTTATATGATTTAAGATACGGCGTTACACCAGGATTTTCGAAGACCTCCTCCATAGATTTTTGTCCTTGTTTTCATTTTGTTTCCTTTCCAGGGAACGTTTAAATCTGAAGCTCTTGAAGCAATAAGGAAACGTGACAACAAAAAGGCAATCCAACTGTTGCAACTATCTTTGAAACATGAGAAAAGCAACGTTGAAGAACAACGCAAAACACTTAAACATTTGTGCGAGTTGTACTTTGGAGAAACCTCCTTTCAAGAATGTCTCGCGACGGGACAGAAGTTGAAGGCTACTTACCGGGGAGAGAAGGGGAAGGATAATGATTCCTTCAGGGTAAGTTTGTTATATAATTGATGATAAAACAGGTATGCCACTTACTGGCCTTAGAATTCCTGTTTATCAAAGTTTTCTATAATCATCACCATCGCCACTTCCGTCACAACCATCATCGTCTTCGTCATCATAATCATCATCACCACCTTTATAATTGTCATCGTCATTATCATCACCATAATCATTATCATTCTATTACCACCATCATTTTACACCTCTATTATTCACCTAGTACTGAGCCTTATTTACATAAACCTGTTATTCTTTGGACTCTTTTTGTCTCTTACTAGATTGAACTGGCTAACCAGTGGAAGAAATGGGGCAACGAGCTTCACAAGGAAAGCAAATACGAGTTAATGGCTCAGTTCTACAGTCTTGCTCTGGAGTTCACACCGCTATCAAACAAGGAGATGTTGACAGCTCTCCTCTGTAACCGATGTTTGGCGTTCATTAAGTTGAAAACGTTCAAGGAAGCTTTAGCAGACGCCGAAAAATGCATTAAAATTAGGCCTGATTGGTTCAGGGTGAGTCGCTATTTTTGCTTTGTACTCCTAACCAATATTGCAAGACGTTTTCACGTGTCGGCAACGCAAGAGTTAGACAAAATGCTAACGAATATCAAAGACCATGACATAAGAGAGAAGAGGAAGATGTTTCTTTTAGGTACAATTATTTCGCAGGGTGTATTCTTGCGTTCATTAGATAGAAATGCTATTGGGTGAATCTGTACACCTGCTTCCCATACTACTTACGTGCATATAGAGTATATTGTTATCTATTCCCTTTTCCGTCAGGGACATTCGCGCCAGGGAACCTGCCTGTGTCACCTAAAACGAAAGAAAGAAGCTCTTGAAGCTTTCTGTAAAGCACACACCTGCGCTTTAAATGAGAAAGAAGAGAATGCCACTGCCTGTGACGTAATATCCACCGCTATGGAAGTAGACGGTTAGTGATCTGTTTTGAACCGTCATCAAAAAAGCAACGCAAGGGGCTGCTTGCTTGATAACGATGCTATGACAACCGTTCAAGCCCAGTGGAATACATTTGGATGTCGATTGACATAAATCTAATGGTCTTAAATTTCGGCTTTCGGCTCTGTACATGTGTTACTGAACGATTCGTGGCCATATTCGATTGACTTAGTAAGTTTAGTAGCTTAAGTAGGTAAACGTGTTTGAAAAAAGCTGCGTTAAAAATTGCCCCAACAGCCCCGGCCGACCCATTTAGATACGACAACCGTGAAACTGTCGTTATATTATCCTTAGTTATAAACCTCGAATATTGGACCAGCTCTTGCGTCAACCCACTTATGGCCTCTCGTTTGACTTGCGAACAAATTTTACTATTCGAACAGGAGTCATGATTTGTCCCGTTTTTGTCACCGGATTAAAAAGAAAAACACCAGCGCAATGTTGTGTCTGCTTAGTGACTACTGTATTTTATTTAGGTGACAAGATGGATTGGTTATGATGAAACCTTTGGATACTCATAAGCCACCTCACCTTTCCCTGTTGCCTAATTGTAATTGGCAGAAGCGACCCTCGAAAAGAACAGACAAATATGGGAAAGTGACCACATGTTTTTACTTTTCTGCAGGTGGAGAAAACCAGATTACGTGCAACCTTTCTCTCAGGAGTCTGCAATATCTGGTAAAAGAGGCAACCGTTAAGAATGAGTGGAAAAAACTAAGATTTATGTATCTTGGTTCAGCAGCTAGTAAGGCAGCCAGAGGAGTATGTTTTGAATGTGACGCCTCACGTGTGCCTTTAGATCTCCTCATTGAGTCAAATGTGGAAGAATTACACAATCTTGTTTCTCTTCTCCTGCGGCGGGGTGCCTTGCCAAATGGTTTGAAAGAATGTAAAAGACCTCCTTTGTTGGTTGCAATGGAAATGAGGAAATTTCCTTTAGCTGTGATTTTGTTAAGAAACCAAGCTGACCCTTCGTGCATTGTTGGACATGGAATATTCATAAATAAAGAGGTACTTAAAATAGAACGAAATATTTTATGTCCTCCCAAATGTGTAACATGCGCAAGCTCAAGCGCACAACTAATTAACCATTCAATCCTGATTATAATGCACAACAAGGAGCTTTACAGGGACCGAGGGTTTGAAACACTTCAGGGACAATAATGCAGATTCTTCTCTTGTAGGGTCAACCAAAGCAGTGGCTACATCTTGGTCGCAAAGCCGCTGAGAGCAGCAACCATAAAAAGGCAGTCATGCTCCTCAACATGTGCATTCATCTCTCTGATCCTGGCCAAGATCTGTCAATATTGACAGCGGCGTACCAGGCTCTGGCAGAGGTCTTCTTCAAGCTGGAGGAGCATGAACAGTCTATCAACGCTGGAAAGGAATGCTTTAAATTGCGACCACATAAATCAGAGGTATTTTAAATTTTTGTTGAGAGAAGTCTTTGAAATGCATATGCGTTATTTGACCAAGCTTGATGTCAAGCGTGAGGCCAAAAACAGAACATTTCCTTGCGGGACAAACACGAGAAATTCCTCTCAGAAAGCAAAAAAAAAAAGAAACCGTTGGGATCCGCTTTCGATTTTGTACCGCATGTTAGTTCCGATAGTCAGCATGCAGACGTTTCCTATTTTACTCTTTTTATGGATAAGAGAAACTGTAAAGTTCTGCGCTTCGACCAAATAAACAAATGCACTTTTATACTAACTTAGGAGAATTATTGACATCAATAATAAGAAAGATAACTATGGCAACAACGAAACAAATAACTAATATTCAAAACACATTAACTTTTATTTAAGGATGAAGCCAAACACTGGCAATTTCGTGCATCCCACGTCTTCACGTTGGGTCAGTACAAGTCCTGTATCGAGTGCGTCAATTTGGCATTGAAATACACTCCTGCAGAGTGTAAAGGTATCTTCTCTCGTCTGTTGAGTCAACGGTCTGAGGCTGAACAGCGGTTAGGTGAATACACAAGTGGCTTGGAAGATGCAAAAAGGGCCTCTATGATGACAGCAGATATGCTGGAGGTAAGCAAAGCTGAATTTAATTACCCATTTTGCTGCAACTGTAAGTGGGACATCTATAAGATCAGGAAGCCCTGATCTAGCCCATCTTGGTGGCTGGCAGATTAAGTGAAGAATATGGGCTTCAGAGTGAGGCCAGTTACAAGACAATTTGATTTGCTGAAGCCCAGTTCATTTCTTTCTAGGGATATCTAAATCAGTATCGTTGTCTTCGAGCACTTAACAGAAGAAGTGAGGCGATGCAAGCCATTAACGAGTGTTTAAAGCGAACGATCGATGAAACTCTCTTAAGCGACCTTATGAACAATGCACTTAACATTGCAAGTGGCCTTGAAGGTAAAGTGAAAATGTTTCTCTAGATTGTGTAATTGCCACAATTTACCTTTAACACCAGTGTCATTTATGACTGAAGACACCGCCTGCCAACTTTTTTTAAACCTCCAGTTCTGTGGCTTGATCTTTTTTAGATCGTTGCTTTTTGAATAAAGCATTTATGAATGAAACGTGCCGAAATTTTCATACAAGGTAGCCAGCGTTTTTTTAGGAATTAACTTTCACCTATAATGAACTTTTCCTGATTTCTTCTCAGAAAGAACATCAGCTCTCACAAACCCTATCCCAAGAAACCTTCTCATTAACATGTTAAACGACGTAATAAAAAAGAAAGACTGGCATAAGCTTAAAATCCTGTATCTTGGAGGAGGAGGGCCTTCATTTCTGCCAGTACGAGCTGGAGGCCTGGCAACTAACATAAACACTGCCAATGTTCCGCTGGGAGAAGTCATTCATCATCATGGCCTTGAGGAGCCCTTTCTAATATCAGTCCTCGTTGAGAATGGTGCTTCAGTTAATGTAATTGAAGGATCCGACCTCATACCTTTGAACGAGGCCATGGAAAAAGAGCAGTTACCTCTTGTGGAAACGCTAGTCCAGAACGGAGCAAACTGCTGTGCTGAAGACAGTGAGGGAGAACCAATAATTCACAAAGCCCTACGAAAAGGCCTGATAAGTGGTAACTGTTCTGGTTGAACTTCTATTTTGCTAGAATACACACGCTTTTTATAACTGGTCTAGTTTATACGCTTTTTAGCCTATACAGTAAGGTTATTCAGTGACTACGTCAGTGACTACAAGGCTATCAAAGCCATGAAAACGGGTTCAATTCTTCGTGGTTTGTCAAAACACATGCAAGCCGAATGAAACTACAAGAATAATATCTTAGGGGACGTTCTGTACAGTAAGTACACTTAACTTCATGGTAACTTCTCGTGCAATGATTAGCCATCTCTCAAGGTAGATAATTAAACGCTTCTTTGAGCATTAATGTTCATTTAGATTTGTTTTTCCTTGGCAGGTGATTTCGGATTTCTAAAATCAATGCTAAAATCCAAAAACCCTGAGATAGAGAACGTTCGTAACGCCCGCGACGACACCCTTTATCATCTCGTTTGTGCAGGCCGTAGGCCCAACAAAAAGTCGTACGATCGGAAGTGTGATGCAATACGATTACTTCGAGCAGCAAATGTAAATCCGAACCTCCCCAACAAGAGGGGTCTTCGCCCAGTTGAAATGGTTACTGAGAAGGATCCTCGCTGGAGGATGATAAGTACCTCGATAGAATCTTACAACTCTAAAGCTCCTGCTCCTTCCTCCCCCGAAACACATCCTCAGAATGCATTTCAGGAAGAACAGGACAAAGCTAAAACCGTAGGAACTACTGAAGACGATGACTGGTCTGTTGCTAGTGAGCCTGAGGTGAACCAAGAAGAGGAATCTTCAGTACCCACAAAGGTCAACGAAAGTAGTAAGCCTGATGATAAACAAAAACGCAGGATACAACTTCGGCAAAACATTGATTTCTTAATAGAAAGTTTATCTCCTCTCGTGTCCGTTCCAACAGTAGAAACTGAAGAACAAGAAGACAATGATATTCTCGATGAGTCTGCTCCAATTCCTGACCTGACAGCAAATGAGACGCCAAAAGACCATACTTTTGAAGCATCTGCTACAAGCGACTACAGACAAACTGATGCCACCGAGCAAGAGATCACACATGACGAAGTGGAGGTTGAAATTGACTTCAAAACCCCTTTTGAAGACCTTCCTTGGGAAGTCGACTGTACTGATCGAGTGTGGAAAGTAATGCGAAGCAAAAAGGTCGATAACAATATGCGAAAACGCATCATAGAAAAAGTTCAGATGTTAGCAAATGGAAGATGGAGCAAGACACTTTGCAAAAGGCTCGAAGGAGAGCCAAAGAAACATGGCATCCATCTTTATGAGTCAAAGTTGACCAAAGGTCAGAGAATACTGTGGGAAGAAACTGTCGCCTTTTCCGGTAGACTCAGTGACCTACCCGAGAACCGTTTGAGAGAAGAAACTTCTGAAGGTCGAATCTACTCGGATATCATTCGTGTTTGGGACATTGTGTTGGACCATGACAAACTTCAACGTTCAATTGACCACATCGTCAAGTCACATGATCGAGGAATGCATTGTCTAATCAAAAAGAAATTGAAAGGACTACCGGCGGAATCTCAAAATGCCAACACTCCATCAGGAGAGCGCTTGCCCAACAAGTACGTGGATCCGAACATCCCAGCCGAGTCAATCAATAAAAAGAACATTCCGAAGAAAACACACCCAAGTGAAAATTTATCTCAAATGTTCTTCCCACCTGCAAGCGCAAATGAACAGGAATACCATATTCTCAAGTTCTACTCGTTTAACACACCCTTGGTGAGAACAGTTCTAGAAAGTGATACGTCTACAAAGGTTGATTTCCCTTTCAAGATCACAGAGCTAGAACATGCCATTGTCAACCTCCATCCGAACCCTCAAACTCCCATCATTCTCCTCGGTCGTAGTGGCACCGGTAAAACCACCTGCTGTCTTTACCGCTTATGGGATAATTTTCAAAGGTACTGGGAAAGGGCAGCCACGGCTGGGCCCCACATTCCACAATATGTCCGTCCTGTTGAGGCCTATGGAAGCGACAGCAAAATAGAATCCCCAACGAGTTCAACCGATCAGGATGGATGTGGCATAGACAGTCGACCACTGGCTACAAAATGTAATGAATATGAAGACTGCCAAGATTTAGAAAAATCTGACGTGTGCAGCAGTTCATGTTTTCAACATTCTGAACAAGGCTTGCAATGTGAAGATGATGTTCCTGGAAATTCAAATGGTCCTTGCATGTACGAGCATTTGCACCAGATATTTATTACCAAGAATACTGTCCTCTGCAGCGAAGTAGAAAAAAATTTTAAAGACCTCTGTCGAGCGTGTCCGGCTGCGGAGCAGCGTCTGCAATTTGAAGACCGACCTACCCCCAAAAAGATTCAAGATGTTGCTGAGGAGGAGTGGCCACTCTTTCTGAATTCTAAAGATTGGCTTTTGATTCTGGATGCTTCTCTTCCAGGTGAAACATTCTTCAAGCGTGCAGAGGATGGAACCTTAGAACGAAAAATTGAGGGATGGGGAGAGGAGGACAATCATTTACAGTCCATTCCAGCTTTTCAATCAGATGGAGAAAGTGACGAAGAGGAAGACGAAGAAATTACAGAAATAGAGGATGATAATAAAAGAGCAAAAGATAAAGGAAAAGGTCCCAAAGAAAACAGAGATCCAAGAAGAGAAATTACTTATCATGTTTTTCAACATGAAATTTGGCCCAAGATGAAGAAAACCTCAAAAGAAAAAGTCGAATACCATCCGACTTTGGTTTGGACAGAAATAAGATCATTTATAAAAGGTTCCGCTGAAGCCCTGATGACTGAAAATGGATTCCTCTCACTCGAAGATTACGAGTCTCTTGGTAAAAAAAAGGCATCAAACTTTTCCGCTGATAGAAAAGTGGTGTACGACCTTTTTGTTGTGTACCAGCAACAGCGTTTGCGAGATCGGATGTTTGATGAAGCTGATCTAGTGTTTAACATTCATCGACGTCTTCAAAGTAACCCTGTACCCGAGTGGTCAATTCACCAATTTTATGTGGATGAAACACAGGACTTCACCCAAGCCGAGTTGTCCCTATTAATACGCTGCTGTCGCTTTCCAAATCAGCTGTTCTTCACTGGTGACACTGCTCAAAGTATCATGAGAGGGATTGCGTTCCGCTTTGATGACCTAAAAACTTTGTTCCACCACGCAAAGAAAGCGGCCGCTATTAAAGAGGGGCATCACAATTTTATCCGTGTACCAAAGAAGCTCTATCAACTAACACACAACTATCGATCACACGCGGGTATTCTTCGCCTGGCCTCAAGTGTCGTAGATTTGTTGGTCAATTACTTTCCAAATTCATTTGACCGGCTAAAAAAAGACGAAGGTTTGTTTGAGGGACCTAAACCGGTGCTATTAGAAGCTTGCACTCCTACGGACCTCGCCCTGATTCTTCAAGGAAATCAGCGACAGTCGTCCAGAATTGAATTTGGAGCTCACCAGGTAGTTCTTGTGGTTTCTAATGAGGCCAGAGAGGCAATGCCAGATGAGCTTAAGCAGGGGCTAGTGATGACTATCTATGAAGCCAAGGGACTGGAGTTTGACGACGTCTTGATTTACAATTTCTTCAAAGATTCTCAGGTAAGAGAGGTACAGTTCTTCCATTACTTAGGGATAATAAACGTGTGAAGTAAAAGGATATTACTTGTGAGTGAACTACCAAACTCGTCAGCTTATTGCAAATAGGGGTTATCTACAAATTACAAGTTAATGTTAATATGAATGAATACTGCGTGCAAAAATGTTACGAGAAGGACGACATACATATAAAGGTATTTTGTTGCAACAAAGGGACTAACAAAGTAATGTTCGATGACGGATCCAGTTTTGAATGCAGCTTCATCATATAATGGGTATTATGGACTCGCAGGGAGCAGGGATGGTAAAAGCTCCCTCAAATGTATTCTGGGTTCTAGTCCCAGTGCCCCCGCCCTAACTGGGTTGAGTTTATTGAGGTACGTTTTTTTGTTCCGCAGGTTTTTCTCCGGGCATCCGCTTTCCCCCTCTTCTCAAAGACTAACTTTCCTTTCCGGTAGTGGAAAGCATGTCCAACTATTTGAGGTCATTTCAACGGCCACTGCTTTGTCAGTCATTTTCTCTAAAATAGTTTTTTTTATCATACTAGGCTGGAAAAGAATGGAGAGTTGTCACAAGTTTTGTGGAGCAACAAAACAAGGCCGACGCCTCTAGTTCAACTGGGCTGACAGAGATAACTGAGGAAAGCGTTCAGATGAAACACTCGCGTCCCCTTGAATTCAATTCTGAAAAGCACAAGGTCTTAATTTCTGAGTTCAAGTATCTGTACACTGCAATTACTCGAGCGAGGGTGAACGTTTGGTTCTTCGATGAAGACGAGGAAGCTCGTGCACCGATGTTCGAATATTTCTGCAGACTGAAGCTGGTTAATGTGGTGACGTTAGAAGATCAGGGCAAGGGGACAGGTCAACTGGCTAGCATGTTTGCTGTTAAGTCAACACCAGAAGAATGGCGAAAAGGAGGAATGCGCTTCTACAAGAAGAGATTGTGGGTAGCAGCGATACAGTGTTTCACATTTGCTGGCGATAAGTTAATGCTCCAGAAAAGTCAAGCACAACAGCAGGCAGCAGAGGCCATCAAGTTCCGTTCCACAAACCGCCAAATGATGCGAGACGAGTTCCTGCGTGCTGGTGAAAGCTTCCTGCAATGTGAAATGTATGATGAAGCTGCGATTTGCCTGAACAATGCACGAGAATGGACTCTTTTGGCCAAGCTTTACGAAAAAACGGGGAAGGTAAGTATGGAGTGATATGCCTATGCAGACGTTGTGGCAAGCTCAATTTGTGGCTTAAAACACTGTACTTGAAGACGGCATGCGTATGTCTACTTTGCGTACTTGAATACTGGTACTCTAGGAGCAGCATGGAAATGTATTTGCCTTAAATATATTTAATCTGAATGGGCAATAAAATAAAGCTGACAAACCAATACTGCCTGCCAATGTTATTATTGAAACTCTGTTGGAGAAATTTGATCGCTAATATTTACTATGCTCTCGTTTTCTTGATTTCTAGTATCAAGATGCTGCTCGACTCTTCAAAAAGAAAGGATTGTATCAAGAAGCAAGCAGATGCTTTGAATCGCAGAACAACTACCGTGATGCCGTCGAAACCTTGTGTTTGGCAGGCTGTATTGAGGAAGCTTTAAACGCCATGGAGCGTTTCAAAATCCTCTCTTCAAGTGTTGATTCGGAGGGGAGACAAGGAATTATTCCACCCAAAACTACTCGTACTGTGGAAAGGATGCGTCATCAACTGGCTGACAAGCATTTTAAGGAAGGAAACAAGGAAAAAATGGAGGAAGTTCTTCGACATCTTCCATCTACCACCGACCGCATTACATTCTTGAAGAGACGTGGGTGTGTAATTGAGGCAGCTAGAGTAATGGGAGAAGAAGGAAAGAGAGATGAAGCTGCGTCTCTTTTGAGAGACGAAGGAATGTTTGAGGAAGCAATCAAGTATTCAAGTCATTCTAAGTTTACCGCTGACTGTCTCCTATCACAAGCTCGAACAACAAAGAATAAAATAGATATCCCGGGGATTCTTAAAAAGGCTCTAGCGAAGTATGAAGAATGTACAGACCTCACAGGCCAGGCGGAGGTATTGCTAATGCTGGGTCAACAATCAAGCGAGGTTGAAAAGATACAAAAAGCTGGAAGATTGTTTGAGAAGTGCAAAAATTACTGCGGGGAAGTAGAGAGTTTAACACAACTGCTTAAGACAACATGTTTCTCGCCACCAGAGAGCTTTAGTCAGTGGATCATTGTAAGGGCTTTAGAGAGACTTCTACGTCTTATCACTCTCTTGTACAAGCCTATCAAGCAGCGTTCATTGCGGGAGCGTAGTGAAGTGGAAAAGTGCGAGGAGCACTTTGGACTTTTCAGAACTGAAACTGAACGACAAAAGGCATATTTTTGCAAACAAGGTGGGAGATTCTCCGACGTGGATCCTGACTTTGTCCAGCGCTATGCTTCTAAAAGTAAGGCGGTAATTGACACAGCTGAGGCCCACCTGAAGATTGGTCGGTTCCTGATAAATTCATCCTTAAACCTCATATGTATGATTCAAAAGATGTTGGAAAACACTTTTGCTAAAAGTTCTCTGTGCAAGACGTTAGGCGAGGGCGTTTTTTGTGGCGATTCAAGTTGTACCAATCAGCACGAAGATTCAGAAGAACGTTTTAATAAACGTTTTCATGCCTTGTTCAACTTCATGTATCTTGAATCAGTTGTTGAGAGAAGCATTTCAGAGATGACTGCTAACAAGATTGGAAATGACATTTCTCCGTTAATTGACAGGGACTTCCAGCAATTCTCTTCATGTCAACGTTTTTATACCTTTTTGTTTCCCCCCTCTGGCTGTCGCAGATATCACCTCACCTGGCCACTCGTTCGTAATATTAGGATAACAAAAGCGGTGAACAGACGTATTTTGCAGTTCGCAAACTTCTTATGGAAGGAGACGTCCGAGGAAAAACGCCGTTCAGACACGAACAACTTCCTAAAAGTTTCATCTTCTCTGCAGCTGATTGGCTCTTCTTCGTTTATGGTGAAATGGATTTGTGAAGAGGAGACCAAGTTTCAGACACAGGCAGGAAAGTCAAAAAAGCCGACTATTTTTCAGTTATCGAAGAATGGAATGGTTTTCAACAAGGACAATGGTCGTTGCGAAAGCTATCTTCAATGGTGGGAGGACGGCAAGAAAAGGCTATACGTGGACGGAGATGTTGAAAACGCCGCCCACCTGATTGTAAAACGTTTCCTTACCCTTACAGCGAAGCGGAGTGGTATGATCTATCCTTCAATTGCCAACACGTTGATGATTTTAGAGCACCAGCTAACTGCTTGTCTTGCACTATACACCAGATTGTGTACAACCCACCAATTCCCAATTTGTTTGCCAGGAAGCTATTTGACCATGGTAAGGCTCTGGGATAACTTCAGACCAAGTGTCGACAAGGGCCCCTTTACCCTGTATGAGGCAGTTGAGCAAAATGTAAGACAAGAGAGAAATATACCAAGACTGCTTAACGCCATTCGTTCACTTTTGATCTACATGGTGGAGTTGACATGTGGTGAGGTGGCTTCACCGTTTGACGTTTTGGGAGACGCCCTGAGTTCTGACGAAACCCCTACATACAGCACTTCTGGAGAATCTGAAAGGACCCTGGTACTCTTCCTTACCATGCTTTGCAATTGTGGAAAAGGAATTTCTCCTTCCGTAGAGGGCATCATACTGGGAAAAGTCCTCAAAATCACGCCAAATGCTTGCCTTCCAAACCGCTTAACGAACATGCTAGGAGCAGTCCAAGAGGCCAAAGGGTACCGAGACGTCGTAAAATCGTTGAGTGAATTTTTACAGAGTCGGGGTGAGGTATTTTATGATCTTCGTTGGCATAACGGTAAGCTTTGGTTTGATGGACCAGCCAATCCGAGCAATTACCCTCAAAGTTTTTATAACGATTTATCCAAGATACGTGAAGAATTACGACAGGTGCAAGTACAAAATCTCCAGTATGGAGAAGCAGGTGACTCACACAATGTTGGCTCAGACGTAGACCTTGATGCGACTATAGACAACATGGAAGTGAAGTATACAGACGCAGAATTAAAAGAGAAAGAGCATACTAGAAAAGAAGTAGCTGCCACGAAAGTCCAAAGGTGGTACAAAGGACTAAGGCAAGCAAAAGTTGAGCGAGCTACAAAACTAGCGAGGTTAAAATCTATGGAAGAACAAATGGTGGTAACGAATGCTGCTGAGGAACACTTTTTGAGGTTTAAAGTGGACTCGTCAGCTTGTGGAATATGTGGAACAAACTTCAAATCATCAACAGATGATCATCCAGTAATTAATCAGGAGGATCATGAAGGTGGATCACTTTGATTACTTATTTCTGTTATTCCTTGAATCCACCCGCCTACCACTTTCTTGTCGGCCCACCTTTCCACTCTTCCTTCGTTCACCCAGCCTTTCGTTCACCCATGCAGTCATTCATTAATCTATTCTGTCATCCTTTAATACCATTATTTGTTCTTCGACTCACTCATTCACATCTGTGCATACTATACACTTGTGAATCTGTTCATACGCTCTTAGCTCTCTAAATTTTTGTTAACGTTTTCGTTTTAGGAGACACACCAAATGAGGAGATTGAGACGTTAGAAGCCCACGAAAAAACGTCGGCTCATGCGAAAAAAGAAGAAGAATTCCAGCTGTATAAAGAGATCTACTTAGTAGAGATCCATCCCTGTTTGATGAAAGAAGAAGAGCTTCGAAAAATGGCGGAGAATATTTCTTCATCTGCTAACATAGATCTGGATTTAGAGCGTCTGGAAACGCCTCTGTCTATTGTAAAGAAAAGAGTGCAGTCTATTGAGAAATCACGGGACTGGGCAAACACCAGTTTGCTTCAAAGCGCAGTAAACGAACTAGAAGCTACACTGAAAGAAACATCCATACTGTTGGAGGAAGGTATATTTAGAATACAGACATTTTTAATTTACTATGAGATTTGAGCGAAGACACAACTTAATTGGGTTAGCTTACTATTCTTGATTAGGAGCTCTCGTGATCGTTTTATTTGTATTTCCTTGTTGTATTGTATATTGTAGATTAAAGGACAACTGTCTTTAAGATTTATAGAGACGATCTTCAGAACAACTATGAAAATAATAATGACAATAATAATAATAGATATCGTTAACTAGCGACCGTTTTTGCTAAATTCATGTGATTAGCAATTTATTTTGAAGAAAGCTAGACGACCAACGTTAAGTATCAGAAGCATACAACCCTGCAAGTATCCATCCTCTTCTTTTAATGTATACCAAACATCTCTTTTCCCTTAGCAAAGAACGATTCTCTAACAGATGTACCCAAGGAGGAAATGGACACTGAAGATCAAAACGATGAATTAGAGGAAGAAGGAGGAGAGATCATGGATGTGTATCAGGGTGTACCACGAAAAAAGCGTGAAAAGCCCCGGCCCTCCAAAAAGAAGCGATGAAATTCTGACGATACCGCTTGTTTTTTAAGTACTTCGAGATACGGTCATTAGGTTAAACGTTCTAATTAAATTGAAAACCATAGTGTTATTTAAAGGAGCGACCTTCAGATTACGAGTACTTCGAGATCCAGTTGAAGTGAATATTTTAAATGAAAATCAGCCGGTGTTTTCCAACAACTCTCATTATTGATATTCTTGTCGCCGAGTAGTGAGTTGAGGGTCTTCAATTCCTTTGCTCCCCTGAAAAAAGATCGCTAGACTGTATTAAATATATTTACCGTTATTGTCTTCAATGGTTTATACTATGACAAACTTGAGATACAGTTGTGATACAATTTTATAAAGCATTTTTAGGATGAACAAGAGTGTAATAATTACTGAGACTACATTTGTTATATCTGTAAGCCACGTGATATAGCTTAGTTGCACAGGTCATTAAATTGTTGAGTTGAAAACCATCCGATCTGTATGATGATGTCATGTGTTGGTTTTGAAGTATACAAATGTTCGGAGCCCCCCCTCCTAGCGCAACATTTTTTTCAGAGCCCCCCCTTCGAGTGTCTAAAAATTTTCGGAGCCCCCCCCTCAATATCTTCATCTCCCCCCTTGTCATATTAAATGAACTTTCCCTAACTAAATGTCTTCACATTTCTTAATTAATAATTTTTCTTTAAAACTAAGAAAAATGCGTATGATATACCCAAGTGTTCTCGGTCGCCATTCACTGTGACTGGACAAAATATACAGGAAAGTTGTTATTTTTTTCGTTTGAATTTGAAACTCATTCAGCTTTTCAAACAGAACATGGAGAAGAAGGATCATAAAGGAACTATAGCTGTAAAAGCAAGCCATCAAAATGAAGAAATAGTTGGTACCAAATGGGCTGCAAATACTCACGTTATCGCGTTTCCTCCAAACAGGAAAGAACGATGCGATGTCCTCCTCTCGTTGAAACGGCGGCCGGCAAACGGCAAAGGCGGGAAAAGTCAGGTCACGAGACCCCCTGTGCCGTTCGCGAGAAAAAATGCGCGGTGCTTAATCTGATGTAAACGAGCCCAGTTGTAAGAGAGGTTATGCTTCACGTTCACGTCAAACGCGAATTCAGTTGTACCACGTGGCCAAGTTTCCCCTTTCCTTGTCGTTTACCAGTGTTTACTGTTCATTACTTCTACACATAAATTAGTAGTTTCTCGCAATTTTTTATCCATAAGAATATGCTTCGAACCGTTTTTATCTGCTCATTTTCTATTTTGAGAAATTAAACTTGAATCTGATGTTTGCGGTTTGCCGTATACGTGAAGTTTTCACTCTCTAGACTCTTTTTTTCAACGCCGGATCGACATTGGATCGGCATAATAAAGGGTGCAGAAAAAATGATCTTTTTGAAGAATTACATAAATCCGGATTTTGTCCAAACTTTCCTTTGAGTGAAAAAATTATGAAAGCCCGGTTCAACTTCGCATTTCAGATGTGCCGAATTTACATGCGACTGTGGCAAAAACTTTGTGCTTTCTCATTAGCCTGAATTTCAGACATATCTTCGAGTCACTGTACTCACTAAGGGAGTATGCGACCCGAAGAAATATCTGAAGTTCCGGTTACTCTCTCATCATTGGAGAGTTTTAGATCCGAGTTTACCGCGAACCTCTAACCGCGGTTTGCGGTTACCCGTTTGCGGTTCGACATTCAAACATAATTCGATTTAGATAGGCGGTGGATTAAAGAAGTGGATTCTGGTTTATTTTTGCATTTAGACATAGAAGAAATATCAATCAGTGAAAATAAAAGAAATTTACGTTAACACTGGGTTATGTAGCAGCAAAGAGCTGTAAATTCTTACATTAGTTCTTCTTGCAAATTTGCGGCCGCCATTTTGAATCAGAAGCCGTGAATGGCACTTGTTTTCAAGATCCAATATGATTTATCAAATTTAGCATTTCGCCCGAATTTGTGCCTCTCTTAATGGATAAAGACTTGCTCCACAAGATTTTTGTATCATTACGTGGGATAAAACAAGAATTATACGCTAAAAGCTTTCAGGTAAATGACATACGTGAAAACCTACCTCCCCACGTTGAAAACGCACGTCGTAAACCTCAAACGTGACGCGAACGACTTGTCACGTGACCTCCAGGGGTTTGAGGTTCGCGGTAAACTCGGATCTAAAACTCTCTATTTGCTTTAGATTCCGCAAATGTGAACCGCGACGTTTGAACAGGGCCTAAATTTATGGGCAATTACATATTCTGTGAACAAAAACACCACCCTAAAGGCTTGGTGATCACAAAACCCTCTGATCTTCCAAGACATATCTTACGTGACTATGGTGAATTTTCTAGAAGTGAGCCTGGTTATCTCTAGCTTAGGATGTAAAATTTTGCCTAAGCACAGAATTTAACTTCATTGATATTGCTGGGTTCTTGGTTTTGACTGAGTATTCTCACGCTTTTTACAAAATAGATAAATGGAGATAATAATTTAGCGTTTTGCATTTCCCTCCCGCTTCCCGCCCCCCCTTTCCCCCGACAACACCTCCAGCCTCCTATTTTCGCGGCTCTCGCTCACCTCTCGCCTGCTTAGCTGGCGTTTTTTGGTGTGTTTCGCAAGTAAGCGAACATCCGCGCAAGGTCGAAACAGAAAACGATGGGGATGGGGGGAACCATTCTCTCCACGCCCCCTCTCCCATCGTTTTCTGTTTCGACCATTCGCGCGGCTGTATCGCTTACTTTGCGAACCACAGAACGAAGAGGAAACACAAAAAACCGCCAGATACGCAGGCTAGCCCACCCCGTCTGGGTTGTCATTTGTCAATAAGAACCTGGGGCGCGATCCATTCAACTAACAGTCAGACCGGTCCGACCGGGAAAAGAGGACCACCTCAAAAGGTGGACCTGTTTTTTCGAAACTTTTCCGGTTGGACCGAACCGATCCATTGAGTTTTGGACCGAAATTTCCGGAAATTTTGGTTGAATGGATCGCGCCCCTGGAGTCCCTAAACGTGTCAAACAGGCGCAGATCCGCAAATCCTCCTATCGCTGCTCACGTGACTAACGTGACTAGCCGACGATGTGACGACCTTTCGCGCCATACATGTGCTTTATGACAATAGTGTACGGTGAGGCTTCTTCCGCTGGAGACGTGCAACAGAGAATTCCAAGAAAGATCGTTTTAAAGCAAGGTCGTTCTAAGTTGCTTGCTCCGGAAATACCTCTGTTCTAAGCAACTTTGCTCTGAAGCGCCTGGCGCTTGCGATTCAAAGAAGCGGTTGAATGATGATGGCAGTGTTTGAATGAAAAGTGTTTCATGGATCATGTCCCAATTCATGTCCCAGGTTTTGCTTTTGTGTGTTGTCTTCGGTAGTTAATCACGGATGTAAAGCTTCTTTTGAAAGGTAAGATTATTTTGAATAAAACGAATTGGAATCCCAAACGATTTTAACTTTGTATCAAGAAAGAAACGGACGTGAGAAGATGACGTGAATGTTTAGTGTGTGCGCAAGTATAAACGTTTTAAGATGTCTTGGAAAACACTCGAGGTATATCTGCTTATCTAATGTAATGTAAGCTTAGTACGTTTATTAAGTCTTATATGATTCAGAAAATCTTTAAGCTGAATACTTTCACTTCTATGTTGCAACACCTTCCTTAAGGGTCCTTTTTGTGTTAGTTTAGGACATTCTGTGAACAACAGTAGCCAGAGATAGCCAGAATTTTCATTGCTTAATACTGGGTTGCAGTCTGTCTTAGTGATTCAAGATTCTTCCCATAAATTTTCTTAAGCTTAATTTTTAATAGAAACACCTGCGGAATCTGAAGTGCATGAATCGTTGGTTCCTCTGAAAACAGAAATGATTGCAACGTATTGAAGGGACATATCAGCTGTCGTGAAGCAGAATTTATAGTAAGCATTTCATAGTTGTCATACGTATATTGAGTGACCTGTTTTTCTACTGAGTTTCTTTCCTGTTCTTGGCTCCCTGTTAGCTTGTGTACTGAAAATTGTATGTGTGACTTGGACAGTTTGTGGAGGTTTTATTGCACCGAAATTTGAAGTGTCACCACGTGGACTAGATTGGCATCAACTTTGAAGGTTTTTAAAACATTAGTATAACCTGTAAAGGACAAGCTCAAATAGACATTACGGGTGGAGTCATCCCTGAGAATTCAGCTCAAACAACTGTTTACACAAAGCTGGGCTGGTCTTTTCTCTGCGACAAAATACATTCACTACTCTTCTGATGATATTATCTTGAAGACTTTTTCTGGTGTGTACTCAAAAAATACATACATGTATGCAACTTTTTCTATTCAGTTGTTATGTTTGGTTTTAAAATTCCTGTGCTTGGGATTTGTCAAACTCATTAATTTTAATTTATAACTGCAGTAAAATTTGGCTATGTTGAACACTGGGAACAATATTTAATCTGATATCCAGACATCTTATTTCAAAAAATTGACAGACGTACCTTAATTACTTATTCAACTTACTGTTTGGTGTCAGAATATTAATATTAAAAGATGACTCTGCATCTGGTGTTATCAATGTGGAGAGTATTACCTGAAATTAATGACATGTATTACTTAAACTTATTCCATAAAATTTCCACAACCATACACTGCCATTGAAGAGCCCCCCCCCCAGTAAAAGTACCATCTACAAAACAAATCATACATCTGATTATAATCCCCCAGCTATAAGCTCCCCCCCCCCTTCCTACTTGAATTCAGTCTACAGTATGTTGTTTTGTTACCCACAGAATGTTTGGTAAACACTGGAGGAGTTTATAATTTTAATCATTTAAGTCCTAATATTGACCGGAATAAAATTTCTTGACCTAACAATATCCATACATTGTGAAGAGAAAAGGTTATGAGAATTTTTAAATTGATCACCTTGGAAAAAATGTTTTGATCTTTCATTACTTTCTCTTAACTAATTATTAAGAAAACTTAACAGTGGTTTCATAACAAGCCGGTGACCACCAGAGCTCCGTTGGCTACTTTATTATATGTGGCCGGCTACTCCCGAGCCCCCTAGCTTAAGGAACCTTGCTGCCCCTCGATTGTCACAGCCACCTACTTTTTTCCAGGGTTGGCCACCTACTTCAAGACATTTTGAAACCCCTGAATCTATAAAGATCAGTCAGGAAAATTTATGTGTTGTATATTGGGGTTAAAAGGGTTTGCTGTTTTACATGTACATAATTATAATAGTGAGCTTACGCAACAGGACTGGAGAGGAAAGAAGACGGCAAACCTTGTGTGACAAGTGTGACAATATTTTGTTTGAAAAATGTTTCTGCCGAACTCCACTCTCCTTTCAACAGATCTTTTTGTGAAAGACCAGGAAACATTAACTTAGGTGAAGATAAATGCAAAACACATACATGTAAGAAATATAGGCGTGAAACATTTGTCACACACATGCGTGTTGCTGTCCTCTTCTTTCTGCCATCCTGTTGCATAAACTCACTAATATTGTAGTCTTTTAATGTAGGAGTCTGATGCATGGATCCTGTTGAGTGTAGCCATCAAGGATTATTGGCCTATAAAGATGGAGCATTGGAAGATGCAATTGTACTGTTTACCAGGGGAATACAGCTTACTCCACCCTCCAGACCTAAGTTTGCAAGCAAGCTGTTGAAGGACAGGGCTGATTGCTACTGGGACTTACAGCGTAAAGATGAAGCATGCAGTGATATGAAAAGAGCTCTTGAGTTAAATCCTGGAATAAAGGTACGAGACTTAAAACTGTTGATACGTATTTTTACCAGCCAGAGTTAATTCCTGCATTCTGTAGTGTAAAGCACCTACCAAAAGTAACTGACTGTTGTCATTTCAGGAGTGTCTGTAGAGATCTGTTTGTTCAAAGGCATTTATTTCTTGAGACAAGGGTCTTTGTGGACCCTTTTTCGTTGTTTAGCCTTGCATATTTCAAAACAGCAACTTTGCAGTAACTAAGCATGTTCTTTTTGGTTTTGCCAGGATGAACCAGAGAAGTGGTCTGCACGAGGCCATGAGGCACTTGAAGCAGAGAACTTGTCTCTTGCTTGCCAGTGCTTTTCGTTTTCTCTGCTATTTTGTCCCAGCAAGAATGCATCTTTGCAGTCCAGACTGTACGCTTGGAGAGCGGAGGCCAATTTCAAAATGGATAAAGTTGCTGAAGCACGTAAAGACATCACCCGTTGTAGAAAAATTGACCCAACTTTAGCCAAGGTTTGTTTCTACTGCTAAATTTATTTAGTTTTTCATTCCAAGGTTAATCAGTCCATAATTTGCCTTTTTGTTATTGTATTATTGTTAAGCAGGCAGATGCTTACATGTGCCTGTATGCTGTTTTTGAAGTGGTATCACTTATATGTAGATAACTCTTTTGGGCTGCAATCAAGATTAGTCAAGGGCCTGACCTTGCCTGAGCCACTAAAAATTCAAGGAAACTTTCTTGATTGGCTGCTAAGCACTGGAGTCAATTGTTAACCCAGCTTCATATGGCCAATATGGAATCCTGACAGCTGATATACTCCCCATCTATAAATCCATTATACGAGAGATTACCAATGACATTTTTTTTTTATAGCAACAAGGCCGACTCAAGAAGGAACTAGGAGTGCAGCTGTATCAAATCCACAGTTATGGTAAAGCTATTGTCTCCCTTGGACTTGCAAAAGAGTTTATACCACACTCAATGAGTGAGGTTCTTGCACAAGTACATAGCTATTTGGCATCGTGTCATTTTAGCTTGAGACAGTATCCTCAAGCTTTAGAAGCTGGGAAAGAAGCTTATAAGATCAGACCAGGAAGATCCCAGGTGTGTGTTTTATTCCCTTCAAAAATGGGGACAAAAATTTAGGAATTTCTTTTGGTAATATCTGAAAAACATAAATAGCACTGCCCAAAAGTTCTGTGGAGGTGGCTTCATTTGAGTGTTAACAGCATTGGATTTGTCCTTAGGTTTAAAAGTTAAGTGGCCAGCCATCCCATCACAGCCTGTTCTGCGAGTGAAAGGGTCAAGGCAGTAATGTCTTCCCTTTGTGGTGACTTGGTGTGCAGTGGTGATGAATCTGGGTATTTATTGCTCACATTAATTACCTATTGAAGGGGGCTTACCAAAGACCTCTTTCATAATCGGGGTTTATTTATGTATTGTTATAAAGGGATATAAATGAGCCTTCCTGGTTGTATTTGAAAGTAAGAATTCTTTTGAATTTGACACACACTAACAAGGTCAGAAAGGCTTAAATTATCATACATACAAAAGATTATATTAATAGGCCACCATTATGAAAGAGGTCTATCAGTCCGAGATGGGTAGCCAGACCAGTCTTGTTGTAAAGAGAATTTCACTGATAATCAGGATAATCTGGTCAGATCAGTCTTTTCTTAGATAGTATACACAGCAGTAAAGTACTCTCAAGACAAACTCAAAGTGGCAGCAGTTCTGGCTGGCCAGTTGTGACTTTTGGTAAGCACCCTAAGTTACACACATGTGCTGGAAATTCACTGCATAGAGGTAAACAAGTGTTAAAAACAGTAATTAAATAAAACTAGAGGATTGTATCCATATTACCTTGTTGCTTCTGTGACAAGTAAAAAAGGAGCAATTTTTGTTACTAGCATTCAGGTCTTATGCTACCCTGTTCTTTGTAGACTGAGGCAAAGAGGTGGAAAGAAAGAGGCAAACAACTTTTTAAAGAAAACAGATTTAATCTTCTTGTGGAGTGCTATTCTCTAGCGATCAACTATGCTCCAACTAGTGACCGAGAGCTCCTGACTCAGTTGCTTTGTAATCGTTCTTTGGTTTACATAAAGAACAAAACTTACAGAGCAGCACTGTTGGATGCAGAGCAATGTGTCAAGATAAGGCCAGGCTGGTCAAAGGTAAGCTTATGAGCGTCGGGCTTCAGGAACCAGACAGGGTACTCAATGATGGCTTCCTTCTAAACACGTGTACACTGAAAACACTTTTTAGGCTGTTCCAGATTCCTTTTAGATCTCTAGAAATGCATTCTAAGAGGCACTTTAAAATTTGTATCTGTTTGGTTATCCTAGGGGAACTTGAGCCTTTTAGAAAATTACAAGGGCAGTAAGTAATATTTTCCTGAAATACAATTTAACATATTAAAAAGCGAGAATTTTCCTGATTTCTTTCTCCATCACATTTTTGAACCTGAAAGTTTTAGGTTTCCTTTTTTTATTTTTACAAAAAATAGCCTAACCTGGGAAGTGAAATGTGAAAAATAATTTTAAACTTCAGAAAATCATAGGGAATTTATCAGATAAGCTTTAAAAATATTACATGAAAGGAACGATCATCTAGGAATTGAAAATTATAGGCAATGTTTGATTCTCCGAACAGATATTTTACAGAAAACAGTTGTTGATCAAGACAATCAAGGTCAGATGTAACAGCAAATGCCCAGCCTGAAAATATAAGATTGGATGGCATATTCAGAAAGAACGAGATAAAAGCCCCCTTTGCCAAAAATCAGCCTTTTTTTAGTGCAAATTGGCCAGGAATTATAACCACCTTTTTGCTCTGATGACTCCATACAAAGCCCTCAAAAATTGGCTCGGATCAAAATGTTAATGATCCAGGCCTATTTTTATTTGAATTCTGTCAATTAGCACAATGAGAGACAGTGGAGTTATAATAAGTGATAAGAGTGCATATTCAAGAACATGGATTTTTCCATCTTTAACCTTGTCAACTGGTTCGTGGGTCATGTCCTGTATAGCCATCCTCATACAACAATCCCTGAATACTTGATTTGCCCATACTGTAGTTTACTTTTTATTACAAAATTATTTTTCTTGACATGATCAGTCCTTAAATCCCCTATGTTAAAAAAAAAATTGCTGCACGCATTTTAAGTAACATGTTTCTACTTTGCGACTCATGCAGGCTCATTACCGATTAGGATCAAGCTTGGCTGGCATGAAGCGTTATGATGATGCTATGGATTCCTTTGCTCAGGCTCTTGAATTTGCGGATACAGAAGATGAAAAGTATGACACACTTTTGCAGATTATTAGCATTGGCAATGAAGCAGAGGGTAGGTGTTTAACAGTGCTTCAGTCATTAAAAATGTGGTAGAAAATTGAAGGACTTTAGTCCTCCTCTTAAAAATGTGCTTCTCAATTTATCTAAATCATTGATGCAGTCATAATGGAACAAAGTAACCGAAAATAACAAAAATACAGAAAAAGGGATATGTGTGCTATTATGCTACCCATACTTTAAGTGGATGTTATACCAAATACAACTGTAATGTCAAGTGCAAGTTGTATTCTGTCTTGCCCTGTCTCTGCTACTTCTAAAATAATTCCATTTATAGTTAAACTGTAAGTCACAGTGTACAGTTAAGGTTAAAAGTTGAAGACATGTAACACAATTGGAATAAAACTACAGTATCTCCTTCCCCTTCCTTCCCTTCCCTTTGCCAGACAGGATGAGATGAAAATTAGAGTAATCCCTAAACTGTTACTTGCATACACTAGCCTGGTGCAGTCAAGTAAGTCTACCACCATCTACTACGAAAAAATGTAAAGAAGGTGGTGGAGCAAACATTTCAAACCTTAAAGTCCTGTTAGAATGGACTTGGAATGTGCATATTTGTACAGTCTGTAAAATTACATTCCTGGTAGGTGGTGCTTGTAAACCAAATGTGGTCCTTGAAAAGTTCTTAAAAAATTGGTTGTAATTTTTTGTATGAACCCTGTTTGATGTATGGTCCCTTTTGTTTCTTAGATGGAACAGCAACCATTTATGAAGGATTGTGTCCACAGCACATTGTTCAGAGAGCAGTAGATGATGCTATAGCCAAAGGAAACTGGGAGAGTCTCCATGTGCTGTTCCTGGGGGGTGGGGGACCCTATGATGCTTGCCCAGGAGAAGGAGGCCTTGCTAGTGGGTGTGATACCTCTGGAGTTCCCCTTGAACTTGTCATATCATCTAAAGTAGCGGAAAAGAAGGATCTTGTGTCTGTCTTGTTGGAGTTTGGGGCGTGTGTCAACGGTCTTGCTGTGTGTGAGAAGCGCCCCCTCTTAGCTGCACTGGAGATGGAAGAATTTGAGATTGCAACAAGGCTGATCCAGGAGGAAGCTCAAATGGGCTGTGTGGAACACCAACCTCATCTGCAAACTAAGGTCATGATTTATTAAGAATAAGACTTGTCCCCTCTCAGGGAATACTGTAAGTAAGCATTTAGGGAAATTTTAATCACAACCTTATGCATAAATAGGAGTGGACCAAACGATAAGCAGATTGCAATATTATTGCCAATTTCAGCTGTGGCTGGTAACTATAAGGGCTCAATTAGCATATCAATTGCAATATTATTGCCAATTTCAGCTGTGGCTGGTAACTATAAGGGCTCAATTAGCATTTGGCCACTTAAGAATTCTAAGGAACAGATAGAAATAGTTTGGTTAGAAATTAATCCTTTTGCCACAGCAACTGCAAATGTAAATGTGAAACATGTCTCCGAGACTAATAGATTCTGAGAAAGACTCTCTAATCACTGTGTTTATTTGACATTACTCACTGTCAGTACATGCGCAAGGTCTCTGGTGAGGTAAATTATTCCATTAGAGCCCCAAATAGTCAAATTTAATAACATATTACTGCTCCAACCTTGGGAAAGTGGATCAATTTGCATGCTTACAATCATTAAAATGGCAGAGTTTGTTCCTGGTTCAATTTATTGGTACAAGCCTGATTGTAAATCTTATGTTTGGTATTCCAATCACAGGGTCATTCCTTATACTGGAAGAAGCTAGCAAGTAAGATGACGAGATGTGGAAATGATTCCAAAGCTTGGCATTATTACAACTTGGCTCTACAATGTTCTCCAGTAAAAGCTGCTGAGCTGAAAAGGGAATGCTATGAAGCATTGTCGGATATCTGTTTTAAACGTGGAGACTTTTCCCAGTGCATTGAATATGGCATTAAAGGTTATACTGTTAAAGCGGATAAGAATGAGGTGAGAATTCATTTGCTGTAGTGAACACAAGTGATTAACATGTACCAATACATGTTGCTACATATCATTCTTGTTTTGCTTTATATGCTTGGTATATTTGGGCTTTAAGAAAACTTAGAAGAGTTAATTATCTAAAACATACATTGCATTTATTGTTGGCAACATTGACTTAAAGTTCTACAAGCTGAAATGTAGAATATATTGTTTTTCTTCAGCAAGAGTTTGTGTATTACTGTATACTGTAATGTTTACTTGCCTTGAACTAAGCATGTTGTGTGTGAGTCAGATGAGAGGCGAGGGCTTTCAACAAACTGTGACTGATGAAGCTTCAATCTGTTGTAAAAACGAGATATAAGAGAGATGTAAGATACTGATTTTTCTTTCCGCCTTCTGAAGCACAGGTGTTTACTGGGCTTTTCAAAAACATGCAAACTCTGAAGTTCAAAAGCCAAATGACATTTGCATTTTTCCTTGCCATCAATCATCATAGCAAGCCTCTTAGGAAACAGAACTTTATTCAAATGGGTTCAAAAGGTCATGGTCGTTGCTTGTGATCATAGTTATGATTTACAGCCGTGAAAAACGCAATTGTGAAGGCTGCTTTTGTGCTTTAGAGTTTGTTTCTGAAAAGTGCAGTAAACTAGACATACATAAGCTTGTGGAATACACTGGAAAGATTTTGGTTGTGAATTTTTGTACCAAAACCCCTAGTATGAATTGTACTCATTTGCATGTCATAATATTGTGAACTAATGGCATTTTGCTTTGTGTACACATGTGCAAAATTGGTTTATGCTTTCAATAGGCCTCTCACTTTCAAAGCAAGGCTAAGTGTGAAACCTCTGTCAGTGTTCTCCCTAAATTTTAGCTCAGCAGGTAAGGGACAATTCATGGCCAGTTAGGGAAAAGATATGCACCAGAGCCATACTTTCCTAGGGGAGGGGAATAGTGGAGTGAGGGACATGGCCCTGCCCTCACTGGGAAAGTTAGGAGCTATGTTCTTTGAAATGTTATTCTCTCATTTTAAAACCTATTTTATGCAAATCGGCATTGTTATCTTTAGACAACAATTTGCCTTTTTTGTAAAACTTTAGATTCCAATAATTTTTCTCTGTCTTCAATGTTCTCTTTCCAAATGCATGGTCCATAAAAAGGAAAGCTGTGTAGACTTTAGTACTTTTCCATATTCATTCATTTCCCCGTGAGAATTGGATCAGATCACAACTTGCGTATTTTTTAAAACTACTTATTCAATTTTTAGTAAACCTGTAAGGGGTTGCAGGTGGTAATTTTTACCAGTTACAGCCTGATAAGGAGAACACTGCCTTGTTGTGAAAATGAGTTTTATTTGCATAAGAATAACAAATCATTTTCATATCAATGTCTTCATACTTAGCCTCGCTTTGAAACAGAGGCTAATAGTAACTCGCAGATGACCTACTAGGTTTGGTGCTCCCTTTTCTCATCTTGTTATCTGTATGGATCTTGTAGGAACTAGTACAAAAGTGGAGAGAGCGAGGAAACCAGCTATTCAAAGACAAGCAGTATGACTTGGTTATCAAATACTATTCCCTGGCCATGGATTATGTGCAGGTCAACGACAAATTAAGTGCTGTTTTGCTTAGTAATCGATGTGCTGCATACTTGAACTTGAAGAAGTACGAAAATGCTTTGAAGGATGCAGAAAGATGTGTTCAGATAGAACCTGACTGGTCTAAGGTACTATACTTGTTTCTGTCTTGTTTTTTGTATTGGCTTGGAAATCTAGACACAGTTGTGCTGCAAGATTGACGTAGGTAGGCCTTTATCAAGGTGCCATGATTTTGTTCCAGTAACAGGTTGGAGTATCGACCTTGAGGTTGCTGGTTCAAGCCCTTCCCTTGCCATCCTGTATGTTGTAAATTTTGCTAGGCCACTAATTATGGTGGCCAGTAAGTATTTCTCTCCAGCACGATTGCAGCATAATATTAATGTTGTTGACCACTTGTAGAATGGCAGCCCATCCAGGGACAAGGATGGCAAACATGCTGTAGTTTACACTAGCACTCACATGCATTTGTATTTTCTACTTTGTTTAGAGTTCATGTGAGTCATTTAAAATCAAAGTGTGCACTAATATTTAAGTCTGATTGCTTTTTGTAGGGATATTACCGTCTTGGCTCTTGCATGAACTTCCTCGATCGTAACAAAGAGGCTTTGATGTATTTTTGTGAGGGGCTGAAAAGAGCTGAAACAGATGATGACAAGTTTGCTCTTGCATCACATGTTGTAAATACAGCAATGGATCTAAAAGGTATGTGTACTAGATAAATAACTAGTACTTTTTGAACATTTTATTTCCTTTTGAGATGTATTATGTTTGTTTTGGGGTTGTCAGTGTTTTTTGTAGACAGTCTAAGTATCCATGACAGGTTTTTTATAATTGACTGTACTTTGGTGGAGACTCCTGTCTGCCACCATATACCCACGGGCACATAGATACCTGTATGCCCAGTATGCATGTGTGCACCAGAAAAACAAAATGGAAAAGAAAGCAAGAGAAAAGAAGGTAAATAAGGGATAGTTGGGAAAAGATGCTTTTTCCTATATGTCTCTCCTTCAAGCAAGGTTTTTCCTCATCTTTGGCACATGTGAAAGTGGTAATTGCTTCCTGAAGAACATAGTCTTTGTCATGCCAGTAAAAATGGAAATATAAGTCACCCTCATGGAAACGACTCAGGAGAAGGGTTAGGGTTCATTTGGAAACTGTGACTACTCTCCTTTCTAGCTATGCCCGTGCATGCATTGACGTTTTTCAGTTAAACAGCTTTTGAGTACCTTTGAAGTAAATTCCTTGTAGAGCTATTAGTTTACTTAATTTAAGTCTCCTACTCCTTTCTATCACCATTTCCCCACTTCAGGACGAAATTTCCTTAATAAACTGTTGCACCATTGATAGATCCAGACATCTGATGTACGAGATTCTAAGCATCTTGATTGTTGTCATTACATTTGTTCTGTTTTGTAGAGGGAAGTCTAGGAATAACCTGCCGCATTCCCAGAGGTACTGTTCAAAAACTGATTAAAGACATCTGCTCTAAGAAAGAGTGGGACAAGCTTCATCTGCTATTCCTGGGAGGTGACAGCCAACGGTCGTATGCCAAGGGCCGTGGTGGTGTTGCAACTGGGTGTAATGCTGTGATTGTTCCCATCGATCAAGTACTGGGTTCATCGGTCCCAGATCGTGACAAGTTAATTGCAGTGCTTCTGGATCATGGCGCCCTTGCTAATGGTCCACATGGGTGCAAGACTCCGCCATTGTCTGTTGCCATGGAGATGGAAGACTATTCTATTGCACACGCACTTTTAAAGCATGGAGCTGATCCAGCTGTGATTCGCTGTTGCAGAGGAACAGCAGCACATCATCGTGAGGTGAATTAACATACTCTGTTGACTGTATTGTAAATTCTGAGTCACAGTGAGTAGTCGCTGTGCAACTACAGAAGTGACACTTGCACAGGAGTAGCATGTAAAAACTATCAGTATAAGACACTGGCTGTTCTCTCCCGAATTGGTACTTGTGACACCATGGCACTCATTAAGTTGTTTTTTGTCAGTTACTGGTAGTTACTGTCAGACTATTTTATCATGATGTTAGTTAGATTAGATCAGAACTCCTGAATGGCCCAAACCCTACCCACATATAATTACAGTGTATTAACAGCACTTACAGTGTAAATGTGCTTTTCTGTCTATCCTGTAGAACCAAGGTCACTACTGGAAAGAAGAAGGCATCAAAGCTCTAAGCTCAAGGGACTACAGTAGAGCAATTAAACTGCTAAATTTAGCTCTGCACTTTCCCAACAATCCAGCAGAGCTCATTTATGTTGTAAACAACTCTTTAGCAACTGCATATTTTGAAACAAAGCAGTATATCAGAGCCGTGGAGACGGGAAGAGAGTGTCTCAAGTCTAAGCCAAGAAAATCACAGGTATGTTATAATTACAATAGTAGGCCTACAAATAATTTTTATTTTCAGAAAGGACATACACCTGTACTTGTCAACTGCCGCTTATAAGCCCTGGGCTAATACATCTTCATAAGGGGTTTTAGGAGGGCTTATAAACGGAGGGGCCTATGTCAGAGGAGGTTTATAACTGGAATAGAAAAAGCACTTCAAAACAAGCTATGGCATTGCTGATCAAAATATGTTTTGCATTTATTGGTTATTAATTAAGCTTCAAAGCATCATTGTGATTCGAATTCATTTCTATACATTTGGAGGAGGCTTATATTGGGAAGGCACATAAACAAATAATTTTTTTCATTTGTTGATGGGCCTACAACTCGGGAAGCGCCAGCCAGGTCACTGTTTTAGTTGGACTAAGCAGTAAAGTTGTTCTAACATACACTATGTTAATTTTTGTGTTTTCTTAATACAAAGCCCCTTGGTAATCATTTTAATTCTCATAACATTTCCTCTTGGTGATGCATGGATATTGTTAGGAGAACATTGATGTTAAATAGTGGAATCTTGCTTTCTCCAACCTCTTGGGAAAAAGGAAATTATTTTGAATAATCAGGATGTGTTATACTTTGAAGGGGAGCTGGTTTTGGATCAGATTATCGGAAGTTTTAATAAACGAAGGATTTAGGAAATCAGGATTCTCCTGTGCATTGTAGTTTTTTGCTTTAAACACATTCACATTACGTGTACTTTAACTTTTGTTCACAGGTTGAAGCCAGTAAGTGGAAAGAGCGTGGAAAGAGACTGTTTTCTGAAAAGGAATATGCTGTTCTTGTGGAATACTACACTCTGGCCATGCAGTATGTGCCCAGTACAGACAAAGAGTTCCTAGCAACATTGCTTTGCAATCGAGCTCTGGCCCATTACAATATTGGAAATTACCAACAGGGACTTGCAGATGCCAAGAGCTGTACCAGATTTAGACCAGAGTGGTTCAAGGTGTGCCAAAAGTTTTTTTGTTTGTGTTCCATTAAGGATTAGAGTGCTGTTAGATGCTTCTATTTATAGTGGAGCGTGTTCTCTATTCAAATAATGTAGTGCTGACATCGTCAAACAATAAACACCCATCGTTTATTGAAAATTAAGGTTGCACAGTGCATTGTAGTAGTTGTTTAGTTTTTCTTCTGTATCTCATTGCAAAATACAAATTGGTTGGCAGAGACATCAGAATGTTTTTTGATAGGAAGAAGGAAATACTATCGAGGGTGGTGAGATAGAGAAACAATTGATATTCTGTGCCAATAACAGATTAGAATAGGAGCTGAGATGGAATGGCAACATCTCTGTCCTTTTTTACTTGCTCTCATGTTGTCTTTACATGACTTCCCCTTTCTAACATACACTTCAAGTTGTAGGATGGCCTTCGGCAATAGTCTTTTCGTATACTGCATAGCCTGCTTATCCTGGGAGTCTCAATCAATCGCACCATCATTACAAATATTTCTTGATTACACATGTACCATCCTGCCTTTGTGCCATTCCTCTGAGTCTCTGCACATAACTCTTCATTTTGTTGTAGTACTCTTTAATGTGAACATTTTAAATATCGTCTCAGGGCTATGTGCGACAAGGATACTGCCATGCTTGTTTGGATCAGAACAGAGATGCTGTTCGAGTGTTCGGTGAAGGATTGAAAAGAGCTGAAAATGACGATGACAAGTCAGCTGTCCTTTCTCAGATAGTTTCTTTGGGTGTTAATCTTGCAGGTAATTCTCATAACCTTTTTTCTTAATCACAAGTACAGTGATATTGTTGGGATAAACTCTTGGGACTTAAAAGGGTTTTAGGCCTTGACTCTTCAGTGTAAGAACAGAATTTTAAAACTTATCTATGTTTTTCTTTTTCATGAGATGGAACATCCAGCATCACCTGTAGTGTCCCCAACCACATTCTGGAAAAGCTGATCAAGCAGCTGGTAGAGAGGAGTGCTTGGGACAAGTTACATGTTCTGTACCTAGGGGGTGGAGGACCGCAGCGATACTCCCCAGGGGAGGGTGGCTTAGCAACGGGTATTGACGCCGCAGAGATACCTCTAGAGCTTGTTTTTGTGGCTAATGAGAAGCACCGGGCTCCTCTTGTTATGGCTTTGTTGGAGAACGGTGCATCCCCGAATGGGCTAAAGAAGAAGCCGGAGTCTCCTTTAGAGATGGCCTTGGAAGCCGAGGATTATAACATGGTGGTCACGCTACTTCAGTACGGTGCCGATTCATCCTGTCTTGTGACCAAAGCTGGAGACTCACTTCTGCATGAAGCCATGAAGCGGCTGCTCACAACAGGTGTGTTAACCTCTCTCAGCACAAGAAGGGATTCCTTATCCCTGTTAATTTGCAGCTGTTACTCCAAGCTACATAGGCTGCAATTGCCATGAAGATGTTTATGTTTCTGTTTTTTTTTTTAATAATTGGTCTTGCTTCAGTGTAGTAAAAGAAGCACATTATAACAGTTAGTACATACAATTGAAGCCTTGTGTTTTTGCATATCACTCTACTAAAAAAATGAGCATTATTGTGTGATTCATATGTTGCTGGGTTCTATTAACAAATTATCGAAAGAGACTTTTGAAGATCCGTTATTTTCTTCCTCAGGGAACTACGGATTTCTCCAGGCCTTGCTTGACTCGGATTTGTTCGATCCTGACGTGGTGGATGGCAGTGGGAACTCTCTCTTCCATTTGGTGGCTTTTGGCAAGTGTTCTAAACGAAAATGCGATATGGTTGATGTTCTGTTAGAAGCCGGAGCCAATCCAACACTGAAGAACGCAGATGGCAAGATCCCGGTGGATTTCCTTAACAAGAAGGACCCTCGTGCGCGGCTCATCAGGGCAGCGACTAACTCTTACAAGAGTGGCAAGAAGTCTGGTAGTGCAAAGAGAAAGAAAAAAATTCTGAGGAAGCCTGACAAGCCTCAGCAGCAGGTTAGTACAGCGCATGTGCAGGAGGCGGAGCCAGAACCAGAGTGGTGTCAGCTTGTAGATGACTCCGCACGGGATGATGATGATGATAGGGTGGTAAAAGTCAAGGGTAGAGACAAGAAGCCAATTCCCTCAGCACCGTCTGTGAGGAAGGATCCTTTGGACAAGTTTCGTGCGAGCATCGGTGACATGATTCACAGCTTATGCGCTGAGCAGTTTGTGGAAAACGTCGAAGAAGCTGGTGAAGGTGCTGAAGGAAAGCCAGTGGCAGAAGTCAGTAGTGTTGACGCAAAGGAAAGGAAGAAGGAAGAAGAAGGTGTAGGTGAGCTTGTTCCTGATATTGAACGTATCCAAGATGACGAGGAAGATGACGAACTAAATGAAGGAGAGCTTCAACTGGATCTGGAGTCTCCATTTGAAGATCTGCCTTGGGAGGTTGACTGCACAGACCAGTTCTGGAAGGCGCTGCAGAACACCAACGTTAGCGACGTCTTGAAGCGTCGGATCGTGTCCCGAATTCGCATGCTCGCAGAAGGGCGTTGGACCAGAAAGCTCTGCAGGAGGATTGACGGCTTACCTAAAAAGCACAACATTATGCTGTTTGAGGCAAAACTGACAAAGACGTCTCGGATAATCTGGGAACTGACAGTCGCTTTCTCGGCCAAATGTAGCGACGATCCAGAGTTGAGAGTACAAGCTGAGACAACTTCAGGAAGGGTTTATTCTGAGATCATCCGAGTTTGGGACGTGGCCGCAGACCGAGATGCACTTTTGAAGAAAGTGGAAAGTATTGTGAAATCTCATGATCGAGGACTGAGCTGCATTGTGAAGAAAGAGCTGTCTGGTTTCAGAAGAGGCGATGACAAAGTGAAAAATACAAGTGGTGAACGGCTCCCAAACTTCTTTGTTGAAGTGGGAGAAAAGGTGACGGAGGTTTCCTATGAGAAAGCGTCAAAGGCTGTGAGCGCCCAAGTGAAAGGTAGCTCATCACAGTTTTTTTTTCCTCCCGCGAGTCCAAATGATATGGAGTACCATATTCTCAAATTTTATGCCTTTTCTTCGGCTTTAATAAATACTGTTCTTCACAACAACCAGGCAGTTAAAGTGGACTTCCCCTTTAGAGTTACTGAACTGGAGCATGCAATCATCAACCTACATCCCAGTCAACCTTGCCCTATTATCTTGCTTGGCCGCAGTGGAACTGGCAAAACAACTTGCTGCTTGTATAGACTTTGGAACGAATTTCAGTCTTACTGGGACAAGGCCATAACAGCGGGTCCTCACATCCCTAAACTCGTGCAGTTTTTACCCAAATCTGAAGCAAGCAGAGGTTGTACAGTTTGTGATGAGCAAGAGGAATTGTTCTGTGAGGCAGAAAGTTTCAAGAAAGACCGAGATGGAGTGGCAGAGAAATCTTCATCGTCTGAGGAATTTGTTCGTGCTAAAGATGCGCGGCGAAAAGACTATGAGGAAGGCGATGATACTGTGGAACTGTCTGAATTCGAGGAACACAATAAACAGGAATACGAACACCTACATCAAGTGTTCATCACAAAGAATCCAGTACTTTGCACTGAAGTCCAGAAAAACTTTTCTGAGCTCAGCCACGCTTGTCCCGCAGCAAGAGAACATGTTGAAAGCGAAGACACGCCGTTGCCTTCAAGGATTCAAGATATCGACGACGCGGCTTGGCCCCTGTTCATCACGTCTCGTGACTGGCTGCTCTTGTTGGATGCTTCGCTTCCTGGTTGTGAGTTCTTCCCTCGCGCTGATGATGGTAGTCTTATGAGAAAGATCTATGGTTGGGGAGAGGAGGAGACTCATTTAGTAGCCATTGATGAAGATTCTGATAGTGAAGGTGAGGAGCGGGAAGAAGCTGCAGCTTATGAGCAAATGGAGGATGTTGGCCCTGGAAGGCAAGATTTAAAGAACTTTGACCCCAGACGAGAGGTCACTTATTCCGTGTTTGTATCCGAACTATGGCCCGGGATGACCAAGAGGCTGAAGGCCCAGTACCACCCCACCCTTGTCTGGACTGAGATCAGGTCGTTCATTAAAGGATCTATCGAGGCCTTGCATACAGAATGCGGCTACCTTAGTTCAGAGGAGTATTGTGAACTTGGACGAAAACGAGCACCCAACTTCTCCGCCGACAGAGAAGTTGTTTATTCGCTGTTTCGTATCTACCAGCAGATCAAATGTTCTTTGCGGATGTTCGACGAGGCGGACGTAGTGCATCACATTTACAACCGGCTGCTGCAAATCCAAGTGCCTGAGTGGTCCGTTCATCGCTTTTACGTTGACGAAACACAGGATTTTACTCAAGCTGAACTGTCATTGTTGATCCGCTGCAGCCGTGATCCTAATGGACTTTTCTTCACGGGCGATACAGCACAGAGCATCATGAGGGGAATCGCCTTCCGCTTTAATGATCTCAAGTCTCTGTTCTTTTACTCGCAGCAGTCTTACCAAGCACTTGGTTTTCAGTCAGGGGTTCGTGTGCCGAACAAACTTTATCAGTTGACTCACAACTATCGCTCGCATGCAGGTATCTTGAAGCTGGCCTCGAGTGTTGTAGATCTCCTACTGTTTTACTTTCCTGAGTCATTTGATCGTCTTGAGAAGGATCAAGGCTTATTCGAAGGACCAAAGCCTGTTCTTTTAGAGTCGTGCAGTTTTGGTGATCTGGCTATGATACTAAGAGGAAACCGTCGGCAGTCGTCGAGGATTGAGTTTGGCGCTCATCAGGTGATTCTTGTTGCGTCGGAAGAGACTCGTGCTAAAATGCCGGACGAGTTGAAGCAAGGATTGATTCTGACTATTTACGAGTCCAAAGGATTGGAGTTTGACGATGTCCTCATTTACAACTTCTTTAAAGATTCACAGGTGAGCATACCTTAATGTACTAAAAATTTGGATGGACTGAGTTTGGGTTTAATTTGTACCGTTTAGATCCCTTGAAATTTATATCGTTGATTCAAAATGATATACACTATAACTAGCGTATGTCTTGTGTACTGCTCTATGATTAATGAAGCGTTCGCTTACCTCGTATCAGCGATGCAATAAATGAGCTGTTAGGCGTGAGTTTTGCATTCAGGTTCGTGTGCTGTTAGTTTAGGATTTTGTTCCTTTGTATTTTCACAAGTTGACTTGTCTCTTCTAACTTGAACAACCGAAGTCTTCCTTTGTAAATAATCTGCACCATACAAGGCGATTCGAGTCAGAAACTGGTCCCGTCCGCATGAAGCAGGCGCCTGAATAATAGGCTCTCGCGCGGCTGAAGTGGAACACGTTTCTGTCTCCGGTCGCCAACTTTGCCACGTCCTAAGTTATACAATTTTTCATCAACCGCCGAAGGATTAGCTCTGTTGGTAGAGCGCTGGGCTACAGAGTGGGAGGTCACGGACCAATACTCATTTTCTGAAAATAATTGAGAAATGAAGGTACTCCCTTTGCACTGAAAGCGGCTAGACCTCGGATGGCCACGTAACTGGAGACGGAAAAATAGTGTCCCCAATTAGCGATTTCGTGCTAAATACATTGACACTCAAAGTGCATTTTAATTTTCTTGTGCGTATAGGCGAAGAAAGAGTGGCGAGTTGTAACGACCTACATCAAGGCCGTGGCAGAAGGCAAGGTTCCCAATACCACAGGGCTGATAGAATTGACAGAAGATGAACTGGTCACGTCAACCCGCCCGCTGCAGTTTGACATGGACAAACACAAAGTGCTCAATTCCGAGTTCAAATTCCTGTACACCGCTATTACTCGCGCCAGGGTCAACGTTTGGTTTTTTGACGAGGACGAGGAAGCGCGGGCGCCAATGTTTGAGTATTTTCAAAAGCTGAGCCTCGTTCGGGTGATACGCATGGCAGGCGAGCCGAACGAAACAGAGCAGCTGACCAGTATGTTCGTGGAGAAGTCGACAGAAGCGGAATGGTCGCAGCAGGGGCACTACTTCTACAACAAGGAGCTTTGGGAGGTGGCCGTCAAGTGTTTTAACATGGCTGGTGATGCGCTGATGATAAAGAAGAGCCAAGCGCAGTTGCAGGCTGCTGAAGCCGCCAAACTCAAGGCAAATCCTAAAGTGATGAGGGCACAGTTCTTAAAGGCTGCTGATCAGTTTTTACAGTGCGCCATGTTGGATGAAGGGGCAAAGTGTCTGCACAATGCACGAGAGAGACTGCTACTGGCCAAACTCAACAGGAAATTAGGAAAGGTATTTGTACGTCTGCTACCTACACCAGTATAATTAGTCTTTCAATATAGGAGCGTAGAGCCAATGTGTTGGCATCACGGCATTTTGAAGGTCCTATTTGTTGGAATTCAATGTTTCTAGCGAATGTAGACTGCCAAAGGGGCCCTACAAACCAATCAGACTTTGATATATTCGACCAAAACAGATTAACTTTCATTTGATGATCACACGAGTGAAATCCTACTTGTGAGACCCCTAATTCTAATTTGTGTCTATGCCGCGCAGGAGAACGGCTTGAATTTTTGACGTATAATTTTTTTTGTATTAATTTGTCTTTTTGACCATCATGAGGGCCTGATGATTTCGTGGGTGAGATTGCATTACAGACCTACAGTTTCTATATGCGTGGACCAGTGCTGTTACCACCGCTCCTCTGCGAAACGAAAAAGTTCCCTGAAATTTTAAGTCTCCATTGTTTGTTTATTTGTCCTTTTTAGTTTGAAGACGCGGCCAGGCAGCTAAGAAAAGAGCGTCATTTCTTGGAAGCCAGTGAGTGTTACGAGATGATCAACGATTACCACCAAGCAGTAGAAGCGCTCTGCCAGGGTAACCTGTACGAGGAGGCGATAGACACCTTGCAGCGCTACAAAAGCCTTGTGGGTGTGGAGACCGGCAGAGGAGGAGTACGCCCACCTAAGGAGTCACGGACAGTAGAGCGGTTATGTCATCAGCTAGCTGAGGAACACTTCAGGTGGGTTGTTATGCACCATGTGAGTAGAGCCCGTTTTTCTCTTCTTTAGTGGGGGAGATAAAAAGAAGCTCTGCCTGAACCGCGTTAAGCCTTTGAGGTCACCACAGCCCGAACTTCCAGACTAGTCAATCTTGTTCTCTATCGTCGAACTGGTTTTCCGAGTGCGAGAATCAGGCAAGGTTATTTGGTAGAGCACTTTCATGTAACTTAAATCCGGGGTTCCTTCCTTCCCTCCCAAAGCAATAGTCTGGTTCTTAATATTACGGACACCTTTCCAGAGAAGATCACTTCAAGCTGGTCATTTTTCGTATTGGTTCCCTACTTCAGAAATGTCTATTGACCGATTTTTGCTTACGTTTTTACCTGTTTCATTTCAGCTGTGGTCGTCTTGAAGAGATGGTTTTAGTACTGGAGCGCCTGCCATCAGCAAGTGACCGAATCCTATTTCTGGAGAATCACGGGTGCGTCCAGGAAGCTGTGGAGGCCCTAATAAGCGAAGGAAGGTACACTGACGCTGGCAATCTTCTGCGAAAGAACGGAAGGTTCATTGAGGCAGCCAAATTTGTGCACCGGAAGAACTTTGCCGCAGAATGCTATCTCGCTGCGGCTCGCTGTCTTCAGAGGCATGCCTACAGCGCTGAGAAGTTTGAGTTAATCGAAGGACCCGCCGAGACGGCTCTAGAGTTGTTTGATGATTGTGATGACAAAAACGGCGAAGCGGAATGCCTTCTGGTGTTAGCCAAGCTTAACAGAGATGCGGACGATGCTGAGAGTGCCCGGGAACTCTTCAGTAAAGTCAACAACATCTGTGGCGAAGCAGACGCATGTCTTACGCTCTTTGCCATAAGCAACGGAGACTCTTCGCATGCTGGTTTATCCGACTTTCCTAATGTGTTTATTCGTGGCCTTGATAAGGTGTTTGGTCTTATTTTAGCGCTGAACAAGCCCCAAAACACCGTGGCTGAGCTGCAGAGCGTAGAAATATGTGAGAGATACTTTGGTCTGCTCAAAGACGATCAAGCGGATGCGAGATGCGCCTTCTTGAATAGCGGTAGTCTCTTCGTTTCTGATGTTCCTTACAGACCGGCTGATGTTAGAGGCAATAAGTTAGTCGTGGACGTAGGAGTAGCACGAGGGCGTATTTCAAACTATTTATGTAACGTGGCCCGCCAGTTAGCGCAGAACATTAATGATAGTCTTGCAGTGAAGGTCCGACATCATAGTGTTTGTGGAAGATTTCAGAGGGGAATGACCTGTGCCACTGAAAGATGTGATCTTGCTCATGCTTCATTATCCACGGAGGTGTTTGAAAAGGTCTTCCATTTTCTGTGCCATCGGATTCATGTCAACGCCCTTCTGCAGTCCTTTGTGACTTCCATTTCCCGCTTCGATTCTCAAGGGCAATTTTCACGAGCGCTTCTCGCTAACAATATAGGGGACTTCCGAGCATGCCAACTGCTGTACGATTTACTCTTTCCGAGGATGGGCTTGCACGTGTCCTGGCTTAACAAAGAGCATGTTCGTGTCATTCGCAAACATGCTGTGATCAGAGAGGGGTTGTCAAGGTATGCGGATTTCTTATGGAAGACCAGTAACGACACTCAACGGCGACAGAACACTGATCGGTTTATGGAAGTGTCGCGAATCCTTCATCTTATCGGATATCACGGTAAAATTGCTGCCCTGCTTTCCGTGGAGGAGAAGACGTTTGTTGAAAGAAATGTTACTTCACCTTGTGATAGTATGCTACTGGACAAGCAAACCGGAGAGTACAGCAGTTTTTTCAGACTCTTGAAAGATGGCACGCGTGTACTGCATGTTTATGGGGACATTTTGAACAGTGCGTTCTTCATTATTCGAAGATTTACGAGCTTGGTTGCATGTAGATCTTCCATCCCATTACCATCCCTCGCTAATGCAAGTGCCATCTTTGAACACCAGCTGGTCGCCTGCTTGACACTGTTCGCTCGTTTGTTCAATGAATACGAACATCCTGTCTGCCTTCCGGAGAGCTATCTTCGCCTGATCGACCTCTGGGATGCTGTTTACGGCAGCGATAAATTCCCCAGCTTGTACAGCATCGTAGAAGCTAGTGCTTCGAAAATACCTCCGTTCAAAGGAATCTGCCAAGTGCAGCGTTTGCTTGAATGCATGGTGCAGCTTGTTTCGGGTCAAGTCCACCGCCGCTTTAACCTAATTAACAGTGCATTCAGTACGAAAGCTTTAGAGCGCGTGCAATCTGGTGAGACAGAGAGAGTCTTGCTCCTAGCCATGACAATGTTGTGTAACTACGGCAGAGGGATTCCACCTCCCTGTGGCCTGCTTATTGAAGCGCTACGGGGTGTCAACGTGCACGCGTTTTTGCCATACCGTGTGCAGAAAGCGCTGGTGGCGTTGCAGGCTGCCGACGGCGTCAAGGACGTGGTTCTGGCGCTGCAGCGGCTTCTTTACGAGAGAAACGAACGGTTGTTTGCGGTTCGTTGGTACAACCGCCGGCTGTGGACCGATGAAGTGAACATGTCTTCTTTTACGCAGTCCTTTGTCATGGGAGCATCTCCTTGGCAATTTCAAGAAGCCGTTGCAGGTGAACCCCCAGCGGATATGTACTTACCACCAGAGTTTCAGATGCCCACTGGTTACTTGGAGGAGCAGAGAAGGGAACGTGCCTTGGAATCGGCGCGTCAAGCTGCCGCCGTCACCATTCAGCGTTGGTACAGGCAGATGCGATGCCAGACACGCAAGTCTTCGCCCGTGCAGCCTTCCCACTCGGTCGAATCTTATTTTGAGCGCTTCAAAGCAGACGTCTCCGCGTGCAGTGTGTGCAATGTGCAATTCAACCACAACACGGGTGAGACATACAGATCGCACACTCAGCCCGGCAGCTCTCACTGGCAAATGCTGCAGCAGTTCAACATCTACAAGCAACTGTATCTTCACAAGATATGGCCTCTGTTCGTTGCCGAGAGAGAGCTATGCGAAGAGCTGAATGCCTTGTCTGGACAGAGGCTGGGTTCGCATGACTTCGGTCTTGACGTACAACGTTTGGAACACATTAGTGCACGCGTTGGAGATTGCATTCGGGATATCGAGTCGTGCTGCAAGTGGGGCGATACTGGACGATTAATGCATGAAGTGAACACGCTAGAAGGTACTATCATGGAAGTCAAGGGGATTGTGCAACAAGGTAAGATTTAGGCGTATTTTAATGCCGCTTGCCCCTCGCGCAGCAAGATGAAGCAGATCCTGTTTTCTTAGTGGTTACTCGAGCAGGTTAGATAGGCCTATTTTGCTCCGCAAGAAAATAATTCATGTGATTCTTTTGGTCACAATAAATCATTTATAGCCCAAGGTTGTCCAGTCAAGATGTCTTGGTATTTTTGTGTTAGATCGCCAGTGAAGATTTTTTTGCGTCTTGTATTCTGGCTTATTGCACAACAGCCACAGTCCCATTGAGACATCTCAATATTTGTTGTAGTTATCTAGGAGATACTCTTCATTAGATAGGCCAGATAATGGCACAGAGCAAATCTAATGCTAATGAGCTAAACCTGCTGTTCTAAACAAGATATGTAAGTTAACCACTGTTTTTAGTAAGAAAAAAGAACGTACCATTGGTATGACGCCTTAACCAAGTTTAATACGGGAGGCTCCACTCCGAGTTGCAACCCCTCCAACCATGGGCTATAGGTACTTAACAAAGTTTTATCCGGGGAGGCTCCGCCCCGAGGTCCAACCCCTCCAGCCGTGGGCGATAGGAGACCCTGGCGGGTACTTAACAAAGTTTTGTACGGGGAGGCTCCGCCCCGAGGTCCAACCCCTCCAGCCTTGGGCGATAGGAGACCCTGGCGGGTACTTAACAAAGTTTCTTATGGGGAGGCTCTACCCCGAGGTCCAACTCCTTACCCCTCTATGTACCTCTTTTTGCAGAAAAGGTACCCCTTTTGTATACCTTCCATTAACAATGGTACCCCTCTCTCATAGCTACTTTAGAACTTTACATCCCTTTTAACCGCTGTTAATGCACTGTCTTTAAGATATGAATTATCCTCAAACCACACGTTTTCTAGACCTTTTCACAGCCATAAAATGCATCCGTTAGTCCTTGACAGAGTTCCCTACCCTTTCATATGCCTGAAGCCTGTTAAAGGTACCCCTTTTGGGCGGAGCCTTCCCGTAAAGGCTATCGTAGGGAGTACCCCCGGGGGGGCATGACCAACCCTTACCATTTCCCTCTCTTATTCATAGACCTACACAAGATGCGCGAAGCTGATGACAAGGCGGAAAAACGCGACGACTTGCAAGAGACTGAAGATTACGGCGACGAAGAAGACATCTTAGATCTGCGTATGCCGAAAGAAGGTGGGGCAAAAGGAGGTGGACGAGGAAAGGGCAAGAAGAGAAACCGTGGGAGACGGGCGCCGCGAGACAAGACACGCTTCAGACAGTCTTGACTTAACTACTGTTTTTAATTATCTCTTAGGTGGGCCTGAACCAAAAGAGAACATGTTGCGTTATTTTTAGAGCTTTTCCCGCATTAGGCCACGAGTAAGGATATACATGTACGAAAAGGTCCTTGGTTGATAGTATTTGGAAAAGGTCAGGAACAATGTACTAGATTTGGAATATTCTGTTTACACGGTACTCAATCAGTGTTCGCACACGCACGTGTTGTTGTTTTGAGAATATTCTATGCTGTGCAGACAGTTATCATGCCAGAAATTCATTAAGGGCAAGCCTTTTGTTTCCTTTGCCTTTGTGAAGGCAAAGTTGTGCTTAGTGGATGTGGCTCTTAAAGTCTAAAGTGTCATTTTTAAGGTCTGAGTATTGTTAATGGCAATGACAAAAGATTGTTACATTGTTCAGAAAATGTTAAGATGCTTTGTTGTCTTGTTGTCTTTAAAACAATTGGAGAATAGATAACTTGGGTGAAAAAAAAGACTTGCATTATAATTATTGTTCCTGTTGCAAGGTTATTGTTGTATATGTTTGCCTTGCCTCCTTAAGTTTGAGCGGAAGATGTAATGAGTGCAGAGTTCAGAAGCCTGTAAGATTTATGGGGCACATGTCAGTGGGAAATGTAGTTTCCATTGGAAGTTTCTGTTAAAGTTAAATATTTAAGTTGTTTTATTGACAGGGTGAATAAAGTGAAATTATTACATTATGACATCTTGGTTGATTGTGCTCTTGCTCCCGAGCCTTTTTCACATCCAAAAATTTGGGACAGAAGAAATTTGTACATTGACAACTAGATCACGACAGTGATGGAAATCTAGATAATTTATGTGATCTTAGTGGTAATCTAAGATAGTGGTTTTTTTTACAGCATGCTTGAGCTCATACATACAAAACTATTTAAAAGTGATTCTTATAAATATTAGTATTATTATTTGTCTTTCTCATGAATTGTAAAAGAGCTGAGAATGTTGAAAGGAGCACATATCCAAACCACTATCATAGTAGAAATTCCCTTTGCTTTCTCTGTTTGAATTAGTCACAGTTTGAGAATACTGTTTTTAATTCTAATATGTTTGTTTAAAAGTTTGTTTCGTTGGAATAACTCAGTTCTTATGGCAAAAAATTATTTCATCGACTGTAAATTTCTGATCATAAAAGCCTTAACCAGTTTCATATAATTATTTTGGTCCATTCTTATTGCCTCAATGGGTTCATTTGGTGCATTTTAGCCCAGTAGAAGGTTTTGACCATCAGAAAAAGCAGATAACTACCACTCCACTGTGAGGGTCCATAAAACAACTTGACCCTATTCTGCTGATGCAAACGTTCACTGCTTTCACTAGCAACACCTGTCCCCACTTAGCTGTTGGGTATGAGCTGTATTCCCAGGCCTCCATCAGCTTAAAGGACAGAGGGGCTCTGGGGATGAGAATTGCCCTTCCTGCATGACTTTCCATTGTCCTGAACACTGCACTTATCACCTTCTTCATCAATCATTGACAAGAAACATGCAGGAGAAAAAATATGCCTTTTGCAAATGGAGAGACACGACATAAATAAATCCATACAATAGCCACAGAATCTTGGAGAAACACAACCTTGAGTTAACATCATGGCCATTGCCATTCTTGGATACCAACCACTAACATTTCTTTTCCTTAGAAATCTTGTAATAACCTGATTTTGTACCAAGCCAAAGAATGCTTTACTACAACATTGAAGTTCTTATCTTTCACTTTGTGAGGAAGTCATATTCTCGAACAAGTCGCACTGTGACTGTTAGTAGCTCCCTGTCTTTGTCCCACTGTGCTTTGCCATTTTTACTGTCCACTGGGTGGGGAAGATGTACACCAAGTTTGCTGAAAAAGACAATAGCATTAACCATGTGGAAAGATATTTTAAAAACAACATTGTGACAACTTGGGGAGATCAGTGCGGGTAGGGTTGGAAACATTTTTATCTCGTTTGACCACTGTAAGCAGTGTTGGGACAAGGGGACACAAAGATGTTGCTTCTGAAAAATGGACAGTCTTGTAAGATGGCCACTTCTATGGAAGGTGGATACCCCTGTTAGACATTTCTTTTAAGAGGGATGCTTGAGTAGCCAATTAAAAACCTCATCAAGCTGGATTTGTCTCCACAAAATATATTACTTCTTCATTTGCACAAGCCAATTTTGATATTTTTAGGGTAACTCAACTCTCTTTAAGGCAGAAATAGCTTCTGTTACAGCTTACCCTGGTCCTAATGGTCTCAAGTGTGTTTAATTCCATTTTCTATTTTCACTTACTATTTAGGAGTTCTGCAGTTGAGAAATGTGTCTGTGACATCCAAATTAACATCATTGTACTCTGTATCAGGAAGCTTGATTTTTATCTGCAAGGCCAATGTAAGGGAAAGGTAAAAATTTGGTCAAGCCTGAGACTGCATGGAATCTTCTTGGCTTTATCATTTACAGATAACATGAGACCAAGTTCTTCAAAAAATGGATGAATATCTAATTGATATTAATAAGTTCAGTTGTTTAATTATTTATTTATTTATCTTTAAATTTATGATTAAGTTGAAAGGAAAGAACATTTTCAAGCATACACTGCTATTCACACTAGGCTGTTGTAAAACTGTGACTTTGAGTTGTAGGTAAAGTGTTGTTTATTATTTCAATTATAATGGTTCTAGAGACGAGCAACAGCTTTGACCCAAGGACTGATGTTGGGTGCAGTAACTACTGTAGCCACTGGAATTAAAACTCAACTAAGCTATGCTGAGAGCAGTCATTTTTCACAAACATGCTATGAGCATTGTTAGGATTTACCTACCACTAAATCTTCACAGCTTGCAGTAGATGGATTTCTGCCAGTCATCTGTAGATACATATCCTCTGTAGTCACTGCTTGCTTGAACACCATTTCATACCTGCAAAGTTGCAGTGAGAGATTGCATAAATTCAAACTAAATTGATTTTTCAAAGTTTATCCCAGATCCTTGATGGACCATGATTTGGCTGTTGCATTTTATCAGTACAAATGAGGTGTTTTGTCCCTGCCACGAAAACACATTGCCTAGTGTGTCCCAAGCTTAAGAGGACAATGTACAATATAAAACTAGAGGTTACAAATTGTAAGCATAATGCTGTGAGCAGATGCTGGGTAGTAAAACATCACCTGTGGGATGATGAACTGGCAACGCCCTTTTATAGAGTCAATTAATAGCTGTGGGGATAAAGGACTACAAGCTAAAGGAGTGCTAAAATCAAGAGTTATTTGTGATGTAAGCTTTTATTGGCCAGTTTACTTACTCTGGGGCTGGTCTTGGGTCAAATTCATCCTCACCATGACCTCCCTCTGGTATCTCTGCTCCACTCCAAATATCCCTGCTGTTTGTTGCTTCCTTTGACTCTGGAAGGCACCCTAAGTATCCAGTTCAATCATTATTTACATGCGTTCTTGACGAAGCTTAAGGTCAATGTAGCTAGATAAATTTTAATGGACTGAGAGGAAGTTGCAAGATAAATCCAAGTAAAACACCCAACCATCTCAACCAAAAAAGATTTATAAAATCTACAGAATTTTTTCTTGCAGGAACAAAGACAACAGCTATCTTGCCAGTGATAACAGAGGCAATGTGAGGCAGCGTGGACGAGCAGTTGGAGGGTAGGTGGACCCAAGTTCAAGTCCTGCCCTGACCCTTAGATGATTCAATTTTGATGTTGATGTGCCACTCTTGTCAAGAGCCAACTTGTTGGACTCCAATCAGTTGGAATTCTTAAACTCTGTTTTGTTATTTAAAAGGGGAGAGGATAATTAATATAAATATATTTTTTCAATATTTGTAAATGACCTTATATCCTAAAAGCAAGCTTTCAACCTCAGTGATTGGAGGAGAGCTTGGTGGTGAGAGGTTTGGTGGTGCCTGAAAATTGTTCTGGAGCCAGTGAGATGAGAGAATGATATTTATTGCTTGCAGGATTCTGTGAGAGAAAGACAGGCCCATTGCCTGCTCGGGGGTCTGAATCACAACACAAGATTAACAAAAACAACAACAACGTGCATCTACCAAAGCTATTCACAGAGCCTGCCATACAATAAAGACTGGAAGAAATATTTATCAGAGAGGGTAAGAGCTGCCGCGCTTGTAGGCTCGAATGTTCTTATTGTTCTGTTTTACTTTGTTGATTTTTCTTTCCCTAAATATTTAAATCAATGTGGTGCGTATGTCATTGTCGAGATTGATCACTACACAAAACTTCATATTATAACGATCTTGGTACTGATTAAGTCTTTATCTTTGCCATCAAGACTTCTTTCTAGCGTCCACATTCTAAATAGATGAATTTCCGTATTCTCATAGATCTACTAAGCTTAGTTATGCATGCAGCAATCTCATACTATTTGTTTACACAAACAGTTAATATAAATAGAGTCGAGAGTTGTATGCATAATAAATATGATGGGCTAAGCTGAAATCTTTCCAGGCGGACTTTTACAATAGTTATTCATCTAAGGAAAGCATCTTGTCACTGCTAAAAAGATTCTCACCGGGTTTTTCTATCTTTTTCGGCGGGCCTATACTTCCCGGGTTCGCCGTAGCAACAAGTTTCTTTCCTGGCCTTTTTTCGTCCTGCGATCAAGGACAACAAATAAGACTTTTAGATTTCATCCAGGCTGAAAGAAAAAGTTTAAGCAGTATTTTTCTATCTTACATCAGAGCTATCGTCGTCCTCTTCTGGCGATTTTAACAGTTCGGAAAGTGCTGCAATCCCACTCGGGTCGAACGCCATATTGTTTGCATTGGTAACCTGGCCTCATTTTAAAAGCTGTTCCCGCGATTTTTTATAGCCTGCGAAAACATCCGTTCCTCCTCGCTCTTCGTCGCTCGGGACGTTTCGCGCGGGACGTTTCGGGACGTTTCGCGCGTTTCGCGTTCCTCCGCGCGAAACGTCCCCAGCGGCGAAGAGCGAGGAGAAACGGATGTTTTCGCAGGCCAGGTTTTTTACCGCCTCGCCGTGCACAGCAAACCCAACAACAGACCGGAAAATACAAAATAGGAAGCTTCAAAGAGACCGTCTTCGTTTCGTCATTTTCTCATTAGCAATTTTCAACCATTGTGCTCTGACAATGAAAAATATGGACCAAACCTAGTATTGGATGGAGGAAAGACTTTCCTCCCATCCGATCCTTTCCCCGACTCAAGAAAGAGGCCCTGCCAGAGGTAGGGGGGCCCATTTTGGCCTTCTTTGGCAAAGTGATGTCCCTCCCAGCGTGACCTCAGCTTTAACTTGCCTTAGAACAAGTCAGGACGGGAGGGGAGGTTAGGAAAACGAAGAGTACACAGGCTAGTGCTGGGGAAACGGCCTGAAGCTTACTTACAGTAGTTTCCAGTTTTTCGCTTTAAAGCAAATCTTTTTGATGATGCAGCGGAACGACTTTTTGAGTGAAGCGATTAGACATCGTTTCTACAACAACCTCTCTTTCCCCTGAGATTTTCCCTCCTTCGCTCTCTAACTCCTTTCGAGGTCCTTTCGTGGGTAAACGAAACAAGGAATAAATTGAGGGATGTTGCGAAAAGATTACTGTTGAACAACCTTTAATAAGTATGCAGTAGTTGCAAGAGAGATGTCAATACAATGAACAATCGATCTAATTTGTTTGTACTCAGTTTTATTGAGGGGTTTAGATCGTCTTAAAACATAGAGTCAATTCAGGTAGATTTACCAGGAGTATGTGAATATGTTCTAGCGGAAACATCCACCTTTTGAGGCTTACAGTGGTTCTCGATGATATCAAATGCGACTGAAACTAATCATGGGTTTATATTACTTGAAGAGCGAGCGATCGATCTCACGGTTTATGAATCTAAAATCGACTTTTGTTTTCAAACCCTTGTGCCCAAATCGTGGGTGTGTTGTGTATTACTTGGCACCTAACTTCACTCTTTTTGAAATGTGACTACGTAAAACATGTTATTCGATGATTGCCACTGTCTGCAACTATCACGTGACCGCAACGATTGACAGCTACTGCATACGGGGTATCCAAGCAGCCGGGACTTGAACCCAACCTTCCAAAACTAGTGATGAAATTTCCCTCTGGATCAATCACTTGAATACGGTGATTCAAGCTATCAGCTACTAGAATATTTCCCACGTTATCTACAGCTAGTCCCCTAGGGTTCATTAATTGATCTTTTCCAGCCCCGCTTCGACCGATGACTGTAAACGACTTTGAATATTCACGAAAGAGTTTAAGTTGATGTCTCTCGCATTCCGAAATGATGACGTCATTCGATTTTGTGACGGCTACACCGCTGGGATACTGCAGATACATGGAACCGCCAATGAAGCCGAGGAAATGTCCGTCGATTCGAAATTTCTGTATTCTGTGATTTGGTCTGTCCGCCACTAGAATATTTCCATCGCGGTCTAGGGTCAAAGCAGATATTTCTGGACGTTTGTCCTTTTTACTGTAGACTGGAAGAAAATTATGGGACAGGGCACCATCGGAGCTAAAAACTTTAATTATCTGAGAATCTGTAGCTACAATATTCCCTCGTTTATTAACGTCAATAGCCACGGGTCCCGTGTTTCCGAATTCGATTGGTTGGCGAATTAGTTCCCCAACAGGGTCGAACACTAAGACACGACAGTTATTGCGGTCAGCGGCATAGATGTGCCCTTTGTAGCTTGCTACGCAGCATGGGAAGTCGAACTGAAGAGGGACACTGCGCATGCCCGGAGAACCAAGAGAATAGGAATTTTCGGGAAGAACATCAGAGTATTTCAGCACCTGAAAATAGAATAACTCAGGTTAAATTTCGTTACGTATCTGAATACATCTTATTATTATTATACATTGTAACCTCTGTCTGTCTTCGTATTGGCTAAGAACCTGCAGCTAATTTTGAATCAGCGCAACCTACAGATTAGTTAGTTATCTGCTAGCAGATTACTCACTAATCTGTAAGTTGCGCATGCAATGTATGATTCAGTGTCTAACTAAAGAGCAACGTGTGTTCCTGTGATGATGTGTTTGTCGTTATTTTCGTGAAAACAATGTATAATAAAGCAATTATTAGATTCGGTTTTTGTGATGTCCAGTTCCAGATATCACAAAAACCTCATCCAATAATTGTTTACAATATGAAATAAATGCCTGAGCAAGGTAAATAACTGCAGTTTATGCAGTTTATCCTATTTATTCTTCTTACAGGAAGCTGTCAAACGAACGCGCTCTAAGCCAGTGCGCATGTTTGTGTGCATTCGCCACTTTAGAAACGAGATGGAGACTGGGCCAAGTTGACTTTCTCAAAGACTTCTGGGATTGTTACTGGTTACATACTGTTGCTGTGTTGTTCAACACAGTAACGTTACTTTTTATCGAGTATTGAGCCTCACCTTTGATTTTGGCTTGTTAACTGTCTCTAACCTCCACAATGGAATTTTAAAAGCTTTATTAGCAATTCCGTCTCCCTTGGTTCGCTCCAGCTCGTCTTGTGTTTCCTCGACTTGATGTTGAAGATCAAATAATTCAAACTCGTTTTGCCGAATTTGCTGTTTCAATTTCCTAACGTCTTCTATCGTCTCCAAAATAATTTGATCAACTCCAGCTAGCTCTTTGGTTTTAAGAAAAACTGCCTCGCTACACTGTCGAACATAACTTCGTCTTTCCAACAGCTGTTTTCGAGTATCATCCACAGACTTGATAGTTTTATTTAGTGTTTCTTGTTTTTCATCTTTTTGTTTACTAAGAGTCTCTATTGTCCTGTTCGCCTTTTCTTTAGAGTGTTTATTCAAAACACTTTCAAAGACGTTTTTTCTCGTATCTACCTTTCCCCACGATTTTTCTTGGAATTTCTTCTCTTTTGCTCCTAACAAACTCTGAATTTCTTTGAGTTCCTTTTCCTGTGCCTCAAGCATGGCTTCGTTTTCTTGTGCTCTATCTTCAACAACACTCCTTTCTTGTATCGCCACTTCCCGCTGTTCTGTGATGCTGTCGATAGCTTCCTGACCAACAATTATTATTTCTTTCTGCGTGTCAACCAACATTTGTTTCTCTTCCAATGACTTTTTTAAATCCTCGCCTCTTGCGGCACAGTTCGCCAAATCTTCCAGCTGTCTTGTCATTAGCCTTTGCAGAGCGTTTATCCTGCGAGTCTTTAGGGCACTGTGATCACCTAATTCAAACACAAATAGATAGCTACGTTACTAACACTTGTTCTTTTGAAAACCCTCACTGCCTGAAGATTGAGTTAGAACAACTTTGCCTAGCGAAAAAAAGTATCGGCACTGTAGTGTCCTGCATGCTAAGCTGATACACTCTTTTTTTTCTATAAGAATATATTTTATAAGAATATCGAGGCTGAAATTTGCGAAATCTTAAGAATACTTTAAGAATAAACTCCAGGCTGAGATTTTGAAAAGGATATAATTTCGTGTGGTGAAAATCTGTAAATACAATACAAATATACGTTTTTAATTTATTCCTTTCTTTAAACGGCAAAACTAGCTAACTATATTTAACAAAACTATAATTGATACCTTAATATATTCTGAAACGGAAATGTCATAAGCTATTACTAAGAATAATACAAGAATATTTACAGCCTAAAATCGGCGGAAAAATAAGAATATTCAGCCTGGCCCGGGAAAACAATATTCTTATAAAAAAAAAAGAGTGTAGCTGCCAATTAAAGGTAAAATCACCTTATGTAAAGGACAGTCAACAGTTCCACAGTGAAGTAATTAGTAAATAACAGTACAGTTCATCTGTTTCATTCGGTGAATAGCCACACTTAGGGATTAATCCACAAATTTAGAATTGCACTGTGCAGCTAGCGTGCGCCAAATGGATCTTTTTAGAAAGATTTAATTTAGAGACTGAAAAGCAACAACCGACCGATTTTAATAAAAATGAAAGGCAATGCGTAGTAGCACGCCAGTCTATTTGAACTGGCAATTTAGATTACTGACTAAGAAGTTACAGAACCATATTGATTCCTAAGCGAGCAGTTAGGTCGTAAAATTCTGACCATTTGCTATCATATGATCGGCACCCGCAGACTGAAAAGTTAAAACCGGCTTACTTACCAGCTTACTTACTAAAAAAATAAAGTCATGAAAGATATTAATCATCGTGGATAAAATCTATAAACGGTTTAGTTTTATCGTTTGTCTCACCACCAAAGAAAAGTACTGTCCGATAGATTTCATAAGAATGATCACACTAAAAGAATAAAATCTTCCGAGGATAATTAACAACAAATCATGCGGGAAAGTAAATATTATTCATTATATTCACTTTTGTAATTGCAACGCTATTTGAGCTTATTGTCTTGAAATCGACACGGATGAGTGTAAAGTGATTAAGTATTTTTTCCCATACTTGTCAGTTAAATGCCTACATATTCTCACTCACCAAAGTCTAAACGGGTATGAGTGATCAATGTAAGATTGAAACAGAAACTCAGCTTTATATTATTTTATAACTGTACCTTCTTTAGATTGACCATTCATAAGATGCATTGCTTGCTTGTACTCATCTAGTAGATCTATCAACGAAGGCAGTTCGCAGTCTTGCAATAGTTTTCGCAAGAAGGACAGCTTTTTCTCGGTAACTAGACCGCGGTCTTGTAGAATGTGAATCAAATCGAAGCCACCTTTTAGTTTACCTAGCAGTTCTTTGTTGACATGTCCGCGAAGTGAAATCTTAATCTTGTGTATATTTTCGCGACTGAGCTGACTGGAAATTGTTCCTAGCAAAATGTTAAACGGTGAAATATGGTTGCGTTCAGGCACAACGTACGCCATGGGTCAAAATTCCGTCGACGCTTTTCTGCGACGACCAAAACAGCTGAGAAAACGCGTGGTAGACAAGCAGTTGCTAGGATTGTTAAGTCTGTTTAGGTAGTTTATTTTTCCTATTGACTGAAAAGTTAATTAAGTGCATCTTTTGTTAACGAGCAATTAATTGCGCTCAGGTTAATCCACTGCATTGAACTAGACAAAGGAATGCCGAGGCATCATACAAACTTCTTGCGAAATGATTGGCCTTAATTCGAGAAAATAAGCATTTTTTCATTAACTTTTTTACATCTACGCACAAGCATAAAAATAAAAAGTTACTGAAAATTAGTATCTTTGACTTAACTGGGGACTAAAAACTTCAAGGAAACCTACAAATCTTATTGTTACTCATTGTTTGCTATACCTAGCGTATGTGAATCTTAATTTATTTGATCTAATCACTCAGCTTTCTTAGTCTACGAATGGTGTTTGCTTTTGATTTGGTACGAATACGTATACGTACAACTGGCTCAGCCACGGTATCGAGCCTTACTCCTTGCAGTTAGGTTATAATCCCTATATTTTTTTTTTCAACACATGAGACTGGCTTAAAAGCATCGACTACTGAGTTAAAGTGACCGGTGATCTGCTTGGTCACTTCACATAAGACAATCCGGAATATGGGAAATTTTTGCTTTTGGAATCAGAAATCCTGGGCTTTGGAATGTGGAATCCCGAATACAGCTCAAGGAATCCGAATCCCACCAACGATTGGAATCCGAGATCCAAGTTCCACAAATAAAGAATCCGGAATCCAGTATCTGGAGTCCAGAATCCACGGCGTGGAATCCGGAATGTAAGACTGTCTTGGATTCTCTTACATGGGGCGAGCTTGGAGTAAAAACAATATACGAAAGGTGTCAGTTTTTTCTTTCCCGGTCCTTCGTGCGATACTACAATTTATTTTACAGTAACAGCGGCTTGATAAAGGGCTGACTGGCATTGGAATCCATATCCCTTGTCACAATCTCAGTTATAATGTGGGAGGTGTAACATAAACAAAAATAATAAAATAAAATAAAGTATTTTATGCCAGAAACATTAAAAGTGCAAAAGAAATTCATCATCAAGTGACGCGTAAAACAAGAATTCAACAATGCCTTAGTGCGTATAAATTCACATAGAGTACAGAATCTATGGTTCTGATAAAGAAACAATATCGTAAAGATCAGTGATCGGATCGCATTCGTTCCAGATTAGAGGTGCTTGGGAGTGATATGCGACAACGAACGGGGCGCGCTACGGACAAGATAGAGGAATTAAATTATACATACATCAAATCATAACTCAGTTATGAAAATGCTGGTCGCAGAGAGAAAAAAAAAATACTCAAACAGATAATTAAAAGGTGAGCAGTTTTCAATGATTTTTCTATTTACGGTTATAAGTGGAATTAGCTTAGCTAGTGTTGCAGTAGTCTGAGTCCCAGTCCTCTTTCTTCCATCCTGGCCAAAACGTTTGGGACAGTTTGTTTTTCATGTAAGGAAAATGCAATCCAAGTGGATCATTATACATTTCTGGGAAACTGCTCACCTACCCCTCCCCTAAAAAAGAAGTAAATGTTAATTTTGGCTTAGGGGAGGGGTAGCCTGGTAGGTGGGCAGTTTCCCAGAAACGTATGATGATCTATTCAAGTAAACCACCCCTCCCCCCTCCTCCCTAGACGATGTTGGGTGTTACAAGTCAAACATCTTTTACATATCTTTCACACGTTATTAGACTACGCGTGTCGCCTTTTCTCGCGTGGGGTGATTTTCACGCGCGCTTGCGTTTCGCTCGCTCTACTATCCCTGAGGAAAAATGGGGGACTACTCGTAGTCTAACACGTTATGGACTTCAACGTTGTTCAGGGTCTGGAGGGGTGGGGTGGTTGGGGGCGAAATCTTAAGGTCGTGTTTATGAGAGTGTATTGCATTGCCGGTTAGCTGCAAACTCCATACAAAAACACATTAAAAAAGGGAGGTCTCCCAAAACCTTTTTTCCAGCATTGTAGGTCTCGCGGAAGACCGAGTCCGGCAGCAACGCAAGCTAGAATTACCTTTGAATACGTGTATATTGCATGGCGTCATTGCTCAACGTTCGGTAATAGATTTGATTTATCACTATATTGGTTTATAATAGTGGTTATTATTATTCAGATTGAAAGTATTATCATTGCCAACAAACAAAGACCCCTCAGCTTAACGACGAACGACGATAGAAGGCTAATAATTACTCCTCAACACATACTCGCTTCTTATTAATATCATCAGTTTCTGCGACAGTTCTCGCTTGTTTTGTTCATTTGCTAGGGCACATTATATTTTATCTTATTCTTTTTTATGTCCAGGCATTCACCGGTATTTTTTTGTTAATCACATTAGCGCTACCATTTATCAAGCTCTCTTGTCTTCCCAAGCGCGCAAGATCTCCTGTGTTTTGTGCTGAACTAACTGAGCGAGTTCTTTGACGACTTTCGTTGCCGTTCAAATCTTGTTTGTTCGTCGCAAGTGTCGACAAAACTATCTTATTCTCTCCTTCGTTGTTATTATCCGCAGATTCATAGCCTGGTGTCCAAGGAATCAACTCGAGCGGCTCAATACTCTTTAGAAAAGTATTAACGGCTTGACGCTGAAAATGAAGCTCTTTTTCTCTCACGCGACGAAAATACTCCAAATCTATCTCTACATTTGTCGGAGCTCTACGGCGCTGTTTTTGGCTGATTTGTTTATCGCGAACATCACCACGAACATTGCTTTGCAGTGAGCTAAACTCGGGAACTTTGTAGTAAGACGTTCTAGCTGGCGCACTGCGAGCGCGATTTAATCTTTGAGTCACTGTCTTAAGTTGTCTTTCCCACATTCTGTTCCTTTTCTCCAAAGCGGTCATAGGTCTTGGGGGCATGTCTAACCATGCATTAGCCGTGTAACTATCGCTGTAGAATACCCCTCTGCTCTCTTGGGGTGGTTCGCATGATTTTGCTCTTCTGAATTTTGGCAATGGAGGTTTCGGACTCGCACTTAAACAACGCAACTGTCTGAGAGACATCCTTGCTTCGTTGTCGTCAGGATTTCTACCTTGCCTTTCTCTCAACTCTTTCGCTCGCCTGTGATTGCCATCTAAACTCTCTTTTACTTTGTCGTGATTTTTCGCAATGTCCACACTTGCAGAGAGCTTGCGTTGAAATCGGTGAACAACAAGTCGTTGGTCGGATGAGATCCTCGACACCCTTTGTTGTTCTTGTTTATCCAAACAGTCCAGCTCTTTCTTAAGCTGAATCTCTTCCTTCCAGTTGGCAGAGTGAACTTTCTGAGATTTTTCAGAACTTCCTGGTCCAGCTTTCTGTCTATCGATATAACTTGCGAAGTGGATCATTTTGGGTAATCAAAGCACCATACCGACCCTTCAGTAATATCAGTAGACTGACTTAACAATTTATCCCCAACAACTGAACAACTGTATGTTTAGCTTAGACATTCGTAAACTGTACTTCCACGGGTCAAAACATTAGAACAAAAGATGTAAGGCCCAAATTAGCATTACTTTGCGGGCACTAAGCCTTTTGTCATCCACGTACAATTTTGAAAGAACATGCAATTCGCTGATTGTTGTACCACGATTTTGGACGTAAGACATTTCAGATCCGCGATGTCCAGTGTCTCGACGTATCATGATTATGGTAAATAAACAATCCTTCTTCTAAATCAACCTATTTGAATCCCAGCGAATCAGTAAATTAAGCAAAAAGTCTTTGTTGGTCTTCCACTGACTTGTCTTTTACCACATTCAGAAAAGTTTTCCGTTTCGCTTGTCACTTAATTGCGAACCGCTAACATGTTGAACACAGCAGATTAAAAACGCATGGCAACCGAGCGTTAAGCTCTTTGTGTACAAAATATTAGATTGGTTAGTGTAGTGCAGTGTTTGTTAAGTTCTTGTTAAAAAGTGTCAGGACGGTGAAATACTTCTGTCATTTGCATAATAAACCAGTGTCGGCAAAAAGCAATCGGTTGTTTTCTTGCTTCAGTTATTTACACAAAAGGACTACTTAGGAAATCTTATTTAATTCCAAAAGTCTTAACTCAACTAGCAGGTTTATTGGGTAAATTAATTTTTGATGCTAATTTTCACGTTCTTCATCCACTCTCTGAAGAAACATTGAAGAACACTGAATAGGCAGTTCTTATTACTTTCTTTAAAACATCAATGTCGTTAAAACAGTCGAATTTATTGGGTAACGCTGCAGTGTTATGACATCAGATTATAAAATTATAGAGTGTTTTCACATGACGTCACGGCGGCCATATTGGTGTCCCAAAACAATGAAACGGTGGCTATGTTGGTGTTCCAAACCAATCCTCTGGGAGTTGAACTCTTTTCTTATGTAAAGGATTTCTTTGTTCCAAGAAATTTGCATAGATGCTGGCCACGTGAGTGAAAACACTCTATTAGTTTATCACCTAGCAACAGGAGTAAGGAAGAAAGGCCAGGCTACTAAGTACGTCAACAGCACTCTCTCCTCCGCAGAGGCTCCCGTCCCGGGCTCCCGCTTGGATAATCTCCTAAAATAGAAATATTTAAAAAATAGTTAGCGTGCGGTATATCATCCCCTGTGCGCCTTCTTTTTTCCTTCTCGACAAAAAGGTCTTTGGGGAGACCTCTCTGTTTTGAAGACTAATGGGAAAATAATAGGGAGCCTCAGCATCGACGACGGCAACGGCAGTGAAAACGTCACTTTTAAAATGAATTCCCGTTTTTCAAACACTGTCGCGCTTATTCCAGTTTGCTGAAAATGGCAAATGTAGGCGAATTTCCGTGGAGTTGTTTTCTTGAGGACCGCACTCAACTTTAGAGAGCGAAAAAGAAATTCGTCGTCGCTTGTTTACGTCCTCCGTAAACTTGCAATTAGGCATTTTCACGTCGTAGTCGTGCAAGGACGGTAAAGAAATGTTCAAAAAAGCGTGTTACACGTGCAAAGTTGTTGTTTTGCGTAATAAACCTATTGCTTTTTTGACGTCCTCGTTGCCGTCGCCGTCTTCGTTGCTAAAGCTCCCTAGTACTTCCCCAGGCATGACCTTCAGCGTTTTCTGTGGAACTACTCCGTTACTCCTAGGCTAGAGAGTTTGTTCACAGGCTACTCCTAGGCCTTCTGTTTTCGGAGTGGTTCTCACTAGGATGCAACGTCTTTTTCTTTCTGAAGCAACAGTGATCTTTACATTACTAATTTAAAAAAGGAAAAGAATAGAAAAAGAATAATGAAAAAAGAATTTCACTCTTTGAGATTCATCTTTTCCATTCCAAAATTTCTAAGGACTGAGTGACGTCTTCCCACATCCACTCTGTGACCCCTTTCCGCAGTGAAAATGGCCTTTCTTACGTTTTAAAAAAATGGTTTTAGGGTTAGGGTTAGGGTTAGTGGTTAGGGTTAGGGGTTAGGATTAGGGTTAGAGTTAGGGTTAGAATTGTAATAGGCCATTTGCACGGTAACGTCATTTTACTACTACGAAAAGAATTCTTTTGGGTTTTATTTTGATATTTAAATTTGGTAGCCCCAGTGACTTTTCAATAACAGAAGCCCTAATTTGCGCAAGAAAGCAAAACCCTGAAGGATCGTGGTCACAGTAGTAAAATGACGCCATCATGCAAATGGTCTATGTGACACAATTTCGGGGTGCCCCTCAGGGGAAACCAGGCGAAGACGGGTAGCCTGCACGGCATGTGCACGGAGCCGCATGCACAAGAGGTGTTAGTTTGGTTTCGGTGGTAGAGGTAGTTACTTACCTGTTGACGAATAAATAAGAAAATGAGCAGTCGTGAGCTGGCCCTTGTTGGTGCTGCTGTGTGCTCATCGCTTGCTATTGGGTATTTGGTGGGTAAATTTCACGGATCGCGAAGGTATGCAGATGATTATATTCAAAGACCGGGCCGAGAATTCAAGAAGACTGACGGGTTAAAAACGTTCCTGGATTACGTTGCTAAATATTCATCGCCAGAGCACTACTTGGTTACCGAACTGAGAAAGGTAGGTAAAGATTTCATGCAATATTTTCTCTTATGATTGGCTCTTCTTTTCTGTGTTGACCTTGTCCACTGTTGCGTGACCGCATAAGCGGCCGCTAATGTACATAGTTATGCAGTGTACGAAAATCCGGATTCCATGTTTAAGGGTAGTCGAGTGACTTCGTTTCAAACGTCGAACTTTTAATGAGACGAAACTAACGCATAAATTATTATAACGTATTTAAAGGTTAAGATTCTTCTACAGTGGAAGAGCACTTATCTTTCCGGCTAGTTCACAGGCAGCCTACTCAAATAATTAGAAACAAAACCCCAGTAGAAGGAAGCAACCATGTTGTAGTATTATATACATATAATGTATTATATTATATGACCAGTTCTGAACTCACATTCAACAGTTGCAATTTGAAGTAATATATCAAACATGAGATGCAGTGTTTCATCACCAGATGAAACACCGAGAAGAGAGTTGAAAATACGACGCGCAGCGGAGTATTTTTGACGAACTTCGAGGTGTTTCATCTGGTGATGAAACACTGTGTCGAATGTTTGATATTTCTTCTCAAACAAAATCATTTTTGAAGGAGAAATTAAGGATGCAAATACTAAGCAGTGTTTCATCCGATTTCCAAACACTCATTAAACATTAATTTCCTTTGTATTTTCTTAATGAATTATTAATGAGTTTGAGAATTAGGTAGGAAGTATTATTTTTTACACATATTTGTGATAAGATGATTTTTCTCATGACATCGTCCTTTTCCTACCCAATGTGTTGCCAGGTCACCATAAACTTTGGGTTCGAGCGGAGATTTTGAAACATACCATTTACATATTTGACACAGTGTTAAGTCAAGGTTGTTACGAAACACCTTGTATTTTACTCTCCATTTAAAATATTCATTATAAGCCGTGTTATTTTTATCCAGGTAATGAAGGTAGTCTGCCAGTTGTTTAACAGTTTTGAAGTCCATAACATTGATATAAGACCCAGGAATAACCAGCCTGGAGTAATTAGCCCCTCCCATCACAACTGGAACGACATTTATGTCTTCTCCTGAAAGACATGAAAAAAGAAAGAGATCGCTCTCAAAACAGTTGTCCCTCAAACAGCTCGTAATAATTCTACTTTTTAAAATTAAATTCCTGTTACATTTACTGGTGTATTCATGCAAACAGTCGCCTACAGGGTTTTGCTGCTTGTAAATTTCTCAATTTCTCATTTTGTTTTTTATAATTGTTTTAAACTTTAAATTGAACTCTCTTACTCTTTTAATCTAAAACTATTCCGAGTATGAGTAGCGGCATGAACTCTAGGTTTCTTCCCCACGTACGTTGGGTAGAAGAGATTTCGTAACGACCCCAAAGAATGTTTGTGTGTGTGGGAGGCTAGAACCAATGTTTTAGTTGTGCTAGAGCGCAATCTTTTTATCTTTCTTTGCTTTAAAACTCAGTCCGTAGTACGTGTTTTCGACTTAGTCCGCGGTCCGCAGTCCGCCTTCCATGTTTGAATTGACTGGGCCCAAGTTTGCTTCGTCGCGGTTTTGTTGCTAAGCAACTGCGGACTCCAACCCTATATAGTAAATAAGTCAAGTCAAGTCAAGTCAATCTTTATTTAAACACGGTAAAATCCATCAGGAATTTAAAAAATTAAAAATAACCTAACTATCCTAAACAAAATTCAAAACCTGACTACAACTAATCTAACTAAAACCTGTTTTTCATGAATGCCGTGTATAACATTAAAAATGAACATTAACTAATCTTTTAAATTGACTAAGAGATTCGGCTTCTCTCACATGACAGGGTAGGCTGTTCCAGAGAACTGCTCCGCTATAAGTAAAGCTGTTTTTCATGAAATTAGTTCGCGGAAATGGGACAAATAGTTTGTTAACAGAGTCCCTCAGGGAGTAACGCGTTTCATTTCGTTTAACAAACTTAGATGATAAATATTCAGGAACAAGGCCATTTAAAGACCTGTATACCATTATGGATTTCTGTATTTGAAATTGAGTGCTCAAGTCTTTCCAATCGAGTTGTCTAATCAAACGGTTAGCATCAGCATCATAGCTAGAGAAGGTTAAAACGCGAGCGGCACGGTTCTGAAGCTTCTGTAGCCTGTCAAATAATGTTTTACCACAATTACCCCAGACAAGATTGCAATAATCGAAATGAGATTGAATTAGTGAGTTGTATATATAGTGAAGGGTAGGTGGAGGGACAAAAGGTCTAATTCTTTTTATTGCTCCAATTCCGGAAGCGACCTTTTTAGATAATTTATCAATGTGTGTTTGCCACCGTAGATTTTCATCAATAAATATTCCAAGCGATTTGACAGAGGAAACGTGTTCTATCGGAACATTATTAATCGAGAGCTCAAGTGGGTTCGACAAAGTACTCAATTTTTGTCTGGAGCCAATTAGCATGAATTCAGTTTTAGAAGTGTTCAAAGTAAGTTTATTGGAAATAAGCCATTTGTTTAGGTTATCTAAATCGTGACTCAGAGTTAACTGTATTGAATTCACATCAACGCCAGCATAAGTAATGTGGGTGTCATCGGCATACATTCTAGGCTGGCACGAAGTAAAACAGTTTGGCAAGTCATTAATATAAATAAGAAATAAAAGGGGGCCAAGGATTGTTCCTTGCGGTACCCCACATTTAAGAGAGCAGATTCTAGAAAGAGAACCGTTAACAAGACATCGTTGTGTACGATTAGTTAAATACGACCTAAACCAATCAAGAGCTGTACCTTGTATTCCGTAAAGGTTCATTTTAGCTAGAAGGATATCGTGGTCAACGGTGTCGAAAGCCTTTTTAAATCGAGGAAAACCACAGCATTAACATTGCCACGATCAATATTAAAGGCCCAATTATCCGTAGCTTCCAGAAGGGCAGTTGCAGTTGAGTGTAACGAGCGAAAACCCGATTGATGATTAGAAATGATATCTTCATTGGTCAAAAAGTTATACAACTGATCATAAACAATCCTTTCAAACACTTTAGCTATAACGGAAATGACTGAAATAGGTCGATAATTATTCAGATCAGATGGCTCACCTTCCTTGAACAACGGAGTAACTCTAGCACATTTCCAATCATCAGGAAATATACCAGAGACTAAAGATTTATTAAAGAGATCACATAGTGAAACTGAAATAAGATCAGCACATTCACGTACAATTTTAGCAGAAATATTATCAAGACCAGTTGCTTTAGATCTACATAATTTGTTTAGATGTGAGAAAACAATGCTGCAGTTAGTCGAGGAGAAGCTGAAATTGTTGTTATTTACCTTTATATTATTGATATAACTTGAATTATTTTCAGCAGTTAGAGGTATTTCATTAGCAAGTCTGGGCCCAATTGTTGAAAAATGGTCATTAAAAGCATCAGAAAGCTCACTAGAATTAGAGATAATGGTATCATTCAATTTCAGTTCTTAAATAGGGATGCGACGGGGCACGACGCGATTTCCGACAAATTAATTATATTAACCCCTTGTTCGTTCGATAATTAAGCTTCTTTGTAGGATGGTCATATGTCTCTCTTGCCACTTTGCAGCTCGTGCTGTTTTGAGGAGAAAGGAAAAAGAAATCCTCTGGGATCATCAAGAAGTGGCATGGCATGTTATAGTTGTCATGCAATCAAAAAGGCAAAAAAAGAAAAAAAAAAAAAGAAAGAAATACTTACCAAGCCTTCCCCAATACTTTTCAGTGATGTAGTCCTCACATAAGGCGTTCTCGAAGGACAAATAAAACTTAAACTTTTTCAGGCAATCGGTTGGTGGAGTTGGACATCTTTTCTTTTCCCCAAAATGTTTAGAACATTTTCCAAATACATCAACTTCGATGTGTTCATTCAGCTCTTGGACAAAAGCCATTCGAGGTTGAGCGCTACAATGACTAACCATCCAGGCCACAAGTTCAGTTTTTCCTTGGGAGTAGTCCGGTATATATTTCAATTTATCTATTCTTTCTTCGTCGCTCAATTCCTCGTAACTTCCATATGGCGACAAGAAATCTGAGTCGCTTCGGTAAGTCCACGTTAAGTTAAACAGCCCGTTGAATGGAGCAGGATTCGGTGTACCATCTGGACTTTCCCACGAAGCGTAAACCCAGCGTTGTGAAGTGGGCCTCCTTTTCAGAAGCTTTCTCAGATGACCTATAGCCGGCATGTTTCTAGCGTGGAACACGACTAAGTCGCTTTCCTGAAATCGATGTTTGTCGTACGTCAGTTCGAAATCACCCGAGAGACATTTCTTTGCGGTAAATGAAAACTTGGTTTCAAATCCACAACGATCACGACCACTTATCCATTTTCGTCGCCCGAAAAACACAGTATAAACAAGCACAACTGTCCTTGTACCCGCTTCCAGAGTTACTGGTTTCCTTGCATTCATGTTAATTCTGTCTTCCATCATTAAGTGGTTATTTGTCGGTGGATGTGAGTTGTTTTTCATCCTCCTTATAAGCTTAAGTCCTCCAATATCATACAAAATTATTGCTACAAAAAGAAGAATGGAGATTCCAATGGTGAAACGGAAAAAACATTTTGCCCAAAACGTCGTTGCCATGTTGCCAAACAAAAGCTTGCGTACAAATTGTAAAGAAGACTTCCAAGATGGCTTGCAACGGAAAGCGCATCTAGACAAAATAGAGTTACATTGACCTACAATGAATCATTCGCCAAAGTAGTCCTTCGTCATATCAGACTTTATTCTTGTTTGTTGATTTGCAATATAAATTTCGGTGAAGCTATATCGAAGAAGCCCTAAAATATGGAATCCGGATTTCTTTTTGGATACCGGATTCCATAGGGCTGCCGCGCCAAAAGCCTTGCTGTAAACATTGCGCCTTTTGTTAAAACTCTCTCCCACCCACTCCGCCCGCACCCCTCAGTCCCACCCACGCCACCCCTCATAATAAGAGAGAGCAAAAAAGGTGTATGGTTAAGAATTGTCCGTGAAGCGAAAAAAAGGTTGACTAATTTTGTTATGTTTCGAAGGTGATTAGCGAGAAACTTAAGGAATTTTCCCCAAAGGCTACAGAAGCAGACCAAACTAACTTTATAACTCAACTGGCAAAAGCAATTGCGGCAAAAAAGGTACTTGAAGTAGGTAAGGTGCAACAATTATAAGTATTAATGAACTAATATCCATTTGTATTAAAATAATAGTGATTCACACGGGGCCAAACTTTTCATAGGTTCAGACATAGTTATTAGAGGAAACTGGTTATGAAAAGCGGCAAACATCAATGATAAAAACAACAGTGCTGCAGTTTATGTTCAAAGAACCGTGAAAATGCACAATCCTTTGTTTTCTGTTGGCAAATTGTTACGGAATAAATTAATGCAACGTTTTTATTGGTCAATACAATCAAAATGATGGAATTCTTTTGAACGTTGTGCACTTTCAGGTCCACAAAAACATATAACAAAGGAGTCTGACGGGTTTCATAACCATTCCACTCAATTAACTATGGTTCAGACTGTTTTCCAACCTTTCATGTGTTGTGAGTAAAACTTATCGCGTAAAACTTTGAAGAAACTCATGATTTAATGACATATTTTATGGTTAAGAAGCAAAATGTCCTGAAGTTTCATTTTTAGCGACCGGCAGATGAATGTTCTACAATGTGATAATTCACAATTTTACTAGCAAATTGAAAACGATATATGATTTGAACGTTCCACACAACCTCGGGCCCTCCCCCTAGGGCCAACATTGCCATATGGTGGCATTTACGAAAGTATCTTTATTTTTGTATGACTTTTAACGTTGAGGATTCACCCAGATGTGCCTTAAAAATAAGAAAAGGTCGGGAAAAGTCTCCTTAGAAGTGTTTACAGGAAAATCCACACTCGTTTAGTGGTTGCTTTACTTTGCTAATTTCTGGCGGTTAATGACACGAAAATTTCATAATCCACATTACAGCGAAAACATTCCTTAATTGATGAAGTTTTTCATGAAAAGCTTCGTTGCGTTGTAATATGTAGTGTCAAGGATTCTAAACAAGTCAGGGGCACCCAACGAGAATATAGTTCAAAACTACTTAAAAATAGCATTGTTAAACGTATTTTAGTATTTAAACGGTAGATAAAGGCATATTTTTATCCTCTAAACATTTTTTATCTGTTCGGATTTCCTAGCTGAAAGTCTAGTGATCCGAAAATTATAGGGATCAAAACTTGCCTTTTCGAAAATTTCAGCGAGAAAAAAGGCTCCCGAAAATTCTAGGTGACCTTTTTAGGGTAAAAATCCGTTAAAAAAAGGCAATTATACCATTTTTTAGATGTTCGAAAATCCTAGGAGAGGCAGGCGGGCAAGAAATTTTACAACAAATGTTTCGAAAATTCTAGATCTCAAATCGTCTTCCGAACAGATATTTTTCCGAAAATTGTCGTTGGGTGCCCCTGACAAGTAAATGCATTTTCTGTTTTCCAGGAACATTCGCGGGCACCACAGCGCTTAGCATCGCTCTTGTTTTACCAGATGAGGGAGAGATTGCGACAATAGACTTCAAAGATGACTGGGTTGCCACAGGCCGCCCAATCTGGGAAAAGGTAGCCTGAGAAGACCTATTGTAGCTCAGTGAATGACAATGTGTACCATGGAGCATACGTAGCCACTCGTTTAAACTTGTCCGTGCGTTTCAGATCGGATTGGAATTTGGAAATATTGGTTTTTGAGAAGAGGGGAAAGCCTGAGTACGCGGAGAAAAACCTTCAGGAGCAAGGAGAGAGAACCAATGACAAACTCAACCTATATATGGCGTCGGCGATGGGGTATGAACCCGGGCCAAATCGGTGGGAGGCGAGTGCTCTCACCACTGCGCCACCCTCGCTCCCCCTGTATTGTTTCGCAATGGTTCAAACCTCTGTTTTGTTTTTGTCAATATTTTTTATATTGACTACTAACAAAATAGTTACCTAACGTTGTTGACGCCGAAGTATTTGTTTATTTTTCCTAGGCTGGTGTAAGTCATAAGATAAGATCTATAGTGAAAAATGCGGCCCAAGCACTTGGTAAGCCTAAGTTTATAACCTTGAGGGCCATTTTCTCCTTTTCAGTCATGTCTAAAAGTGTGCTAAAACAAAACAAATCCTAACCCCCTACGTCCATTTTACCGGTCACGGTAATTGATCATCATGGGGTATCTTATATTGATTCCGTCTTGTTTTCTTAAGATGAACTGATCGCCAACGGCGAGCAAGAAACTTTCGATATGGTATACATTGACGCAGATAAGTGGAACTATCCAATTTATTACGACAAATGCATGGAGCTTGTGCGCAAAGGAGGACTTATTCTACTGGATGACGTAAGAGTTACTTAATAATTTTTACAAATCAAAAATAACATGTGCTTACAAGTAAAGACATCTTACGTTTGCTTTCACTCTTGTTTTTTTTTTTTTTGCACCAACCTCAATTCAAGGGTCTCTCTTTTGGGGGATGGCAAAAAGTGGAACCCTGTCCCTCCCCCCGCCCCCCTCTCCCCTGAGAAGAGTCTGTTTCGGGGAGAAGGGCGGGCTCATTTCTCTATCAGCAGCTAGTAATCAAGCCTTCAAAATTTTGTCTCAGCATTGTCTTCAATTTCTCTTAGGACGACTGTAATACCCAGGAGAAATTGGAAAAACTGATCACTTAGTTTTGTTTTGGTGGGGGGACAGGGTGGGGGTAAAGAGGCAACCTGGCATGGTCCCCAAGGCGTTGCAAAAAGCCGGTTTCCCACAAATCTGTTCTTCTTCCATCCACAGACGTTGTGGGAAGGATTCGTTTGCGACCCGAAGATCAACAGAGATGGCAGGACATGGGAGGTGGAGCCACTTAACTATCAGCGAGATTCTATTGAGTTGTACAATTATCATCTCAGGTCAATATATGAGAGAGTGGCTGTCCATATTCATGCTTTGAACAAAAAGATCGCTGACGATCCACGAGTTACTGTAAACATCCTACCCATCGGTTCAGGCCTTACAATTGCAACAAAACTGTAACATTGAAAAACAAATAGTTTGCAGTGTCACGATATTCTGTAATTTAACTGCGAAATGTCACTTACAGATTAATGGTGTGCGCATGCTTAATGAAGTAAGTTACTTATCATTGAACTTATCAGCCTTTCTCTATTGCGCATGACAACGCACGCGCGGAGTCAAAAGCGTGAGCTCTGGGGTCGAGATTGATTTAATCATAACGAACAATCACATCATGTGATCCGCAACTGAATTTTGCTTTGTTGGTAGTGTTGTATTCGGCATATATTCATACAAGGAGTCAATAAATTAGTTGTGTTGTTGCCCAATAATTCCGTTAAGTGTGAGATCGTTGTTATACTAAGCGACAGGATTTTGAAATTTGCTCTAGGAACAGTATTGATCATTATTCAAGTCAACGATGAAGCGATAAATAAAGTCGAAAAAATTAGCTTTCGAAGTTTCCTTGTTTTCGAACTATCTTTCTCGTGTACTTACTAATTATTTTTAATCTTAAAATCTCCGTGAATTATAAACAGTTTTACGCTGGATTTGAAGAAATTAAAAGATTGTAAATGGGTAAATTGGGGGGTAATTTTTAATTTAAAATAAGTCATTGTCTATCACATGTCATTCATAAGCCACCGGGGTTCATACAGGGCTTGGCTATGAGTTACCAGTGCTGGAGACGTTTTTGTGGTTACTCATTGCCTTAAATACCTCGAGACTATAATTCCTTTTTCAACTTAACTTCTTACTACAATCCTTAAAACTGCGTGAATAACAAAATATAATTATAAAAAAAATTCAAAGTGATTCAACCGCTTTGTGCAAATATTTACTTATATGTAGCATTGCGTTTGAAACAGTTTTATTATTTTAAACGAAGTTGGCTTTTCGACTTAACTTGTAAAGTAATGTCGTGCGGAATTACTTAGAAAGGATTAATTGCAACATGAATATCACAAAAGATTCATGACTTTTTAGCGAGTTTCAGCGTTTTTGGGATTCATACATAACCGCTGTGATCTTCATGGAAAACGTTCCGGCTCCGCTTCACATATATATGTATATAAGTTCCACCGGAATTGTGTTTTCAAACTAGCCTGACTGTATTCAAAGACTACTGTCTTCGTTTTTTCCAGCTTTAAGATAATTTTGTTGAACGAATGGTCATTATATGCAAACACTTGTCGCCTACTGACAGGAAACTTCAAGTTTGTAAACCCAAAAACGTCAACGGGCAAAATTCTCGTTTAAACAAACGAGGGTCTCATTTCGGGAAAAACAGCCGGCTTTCGACTTGAATTAAAGTCGATGATTAATTTCAACAGAGGCTTTATTCCGACTGAGAAATATGGAAGACATTCGAGTTTCAGAGAATGCAAGCCGATATGGAGAGGAGGAAAGCAACCAGACAGGTGTTGGTAAACGCAGCAGAAAAGTTAAGTTTTCACGGCCGCTGGAATATTGGAAAGAATTTGATAAAGAAACTGGGAATATAAGTGAACTGAAAGACTCGAGGGTAAAAGAAAACTTGGCACTTCAGAGTAAAAAACGAACCGACACAAGTAGACAAAACAACGATCCCAAAGGAAGGACAAAATCTCAGAGCATAGCAAAAGTCGTTGAAGCCTTTCAAAAACGACAGAATGAAAAGTTGAATGTGTTGAAACAGTCGGAAGAGAAAGAAAAGGATTGTATAAGCGGATGCAAACAAAACGTGAAACTCTCTGTGTTTACGCCAGGTTCTGTACACATAAAAAAGCCAGACAAAAACAGAAAACTACATTCTGTTGTAAACTGTCCTAAATTAACAACGGACGGAGCACTTTTGTGTAATTTTCAGAAAGAATCCTCGCGAATCCAAAATTACTGTACTTATTCATTTTCAACTTCTCTACGCATGTTAACCGGCTTTAAAGAGCGTCCTTTTTTGCCGATTGTTTGCTCAAGTCGCAAGTTATACGATGACCGTTTGCTTCCAAACACACCGGCGGAAAACTGTATGAGTGGAAATTATCAGACTGCTGGAAAAGCCTTGCCGCACGTAGTGAAAAAATTAACCACACCATACATTGTACAATTATTTGAATAACAGTTGCAATATTATGTACGTCGAAATTATTTATTGATTTATTTAAACGAAACATGTAGCACGCTCTGGAAAACGTGTCGGCAGAAAGCTCGACACGAAGCAAATGGTAATAAAAAAATTAACACCCGCTAAAGAAAAATATGGACTGGTCAATTTTTCTCGGAACATGTGTCGCAAAAAATTGCTAGATAACGTTGCAAGGAAAATTGCCTTGTGGTACAGCCCGTGACTTAAACGCCATTAACAACAAAAGAAAGCTCAAGAAATGTTGAAACAATGTTCAAAGACCAAATAAATTTTCAAATTTAAACCAGCTTTTCCAAGCTAACATCTCACAACGTATATGTTGACATTAGTTGCCCCAAATTTTGTTAACAAGTTATTTTTCAGCATGCCAGTATGGCATTCAGTCGCTCCTGACAGAAAATGTAACACGGCAGTACCCTACTCTTGCGCATGCGCAAGGCTTTCTGACCCCAAAAAAAATAAGGGTAAGAAGCGACGTTTCGACCGCGCTGTGGTCATTAACAAGTCGTTATTAAACATTATTAAGCATGACCCGATATTGACCGAAGCGCAGTCGGAGCGTCGTTTTGTTATTCCTCCTTGACTTTTGCCATTTAAAAATCCCTATGAATCTTTTTTTTATTATTCACTCGCACAGTTGGGCGTTGTTTTTCTGTTATTATAATAATTTCAGTAAGCCATTTAGAATTCACACCCTTTAACCTCAAGATCACAGCGGCCCAGACGGGAATCTTCGATTAAATCCAGAACCGATACGGGATTTTACCCGCGGCAACAAGACGGCTAGACGCGCGACAACTGGTCGCAAATTCCTTTGCGACCAAAAGCGAACATGGCTTAAAGTACCTAAGGCATCCTGGGCAACAAAAACAATTGTTATTCAGTCTCCAGACATAAAAACCTATTCTAATCCTATGTAAACCAGCTATTTCGAAGCCATTTTCACAGCTGCAATTCTTTTTCTGCATGTTTGAACAGGTTTCTAAGAATTCTGTGTAGTTTTATATGACATTAAGTACCACAGAAGCATATAAACGCTCCATGATTTCCATTTGAAAAAATAAAGTGTTTACTGAGTGCTTACGGTCCTTTGTTTTGACAGATAATTGTATTATTGTAATGAATATTGGTGTCATCTCTCTTGACCTTGTACTAAATACCATTGTGCTTTTTACCAATGAAAAACTTTGTTGCTTAATTACCTTCCACAAGCCTTTAATCTTAAAAGATTAAATCAGGTAGAGTGATGGGCATGTTACACGCTGAGTAAATAGAGGTTTAAGTTTTTTGCGTTGCCAACAGACAAAATTGAAACAAATCGGATTGCCGACAAGACAAGGCACCTTTGGGGTGACTCAAGACGAACCGAGTCTCAGTCGGTCGCATTCTACTTTTAACACGCGTAAATGGTGTAGAATTTCACGCGGAATTGTTCAAGACTCTTGGGGCTCAACGCCTTACGTCGTACGGTCTATACGATTTTATAAGTGTACAGATCTATCGACCGAAACAACGGGAAGACAAGACACTATAAAAAAAGGTGAAACAGTTGCTGTTTGACAGTATCAAAGAAAATCTGCACATCTATTTTTATAATAAACGTACGTGGCGTTTAAAACATCTTGAGCAAAATTGGCTCAGCGATCTTTCGCCGGAACTGTACGTGATAATTATGACAAAACCTCCAGGACGGGGAAAAAAGAAAGGCAAGATTCCTATATCTCAAGGACAAACTAAGGAACTTAGCTCAACTAAGGAAGATCGAACTAACCTGGGAGAGGAAGAAAACGACGAATACAGGGAAATGACAAAGGGAATAAACCTAGGCAGACTGAGTCTGACTGATCTAGTCTGCACAGACAGTTACAGTCTTTACGAAAGGACTTCGTTTAGAAAGCACTCGGAATTTAACGAGGCGGGCAAAAGTTTCAAGACTACTTTAGAGAAATATAACGCGGCAGACAGCAACAATAAAGGTCAACTTAAATCATCTCTACCTCCACTGAGGCACAAAAGAGATAACCATAAGCTGTTGCCCTTTGTGACTGAAAGACATGCAAGCGAGCATTCGGTGCTCGAAACAAAACCAGGCGACTACATGGAAAATAAACGAGAGATTATCGCTCCAACTTTATCTGAAAGTCGAAAAAAACTGGCGTTGAGTTTGTCCTTTGTGGGAATTTATGACCTGGACGAGATGTACGCCGAGAGAATAGGAAAAGGAAAAGAAAACAAAAGATTAAATACATTAAAAATAAACCAGGATCAAGGTTTTGAAACTTTAGACGAATCGGAAGGCACGTCTCATAAAGTTTCACCAGTTGCAGCGAAATTCGATAAAGAAAGAACGAAAACTTATGTTATTAAAACCCTAACGCTTGAAGACGAGAGCCCTTTAAGCCAACAAACTTTAATCCAGGATAAACTCATTCTACCTGAAATTAAAGAGCGTACACTACCCCGCGCACGTCCAGACAAAATTGTATACGGTGAATACAAAAAGATGAAGGACAACAGGTTACCCAGTATTGGTCGAAGTAAGAACAAGTTTAGCTACAAAGGTTCGGAACGACCGAATAGACACAGAAGAAAAGAGAGATTGCACGATAACTCTTTTGAACGTACTTATTTGGAGACAAAAATTCCACAGTTACCACTTTTAGTAAACGGCAGGTTAACATAACGATACATAGCCCAACCTTGTTCCCAGGCTCCTCTCTCTCTCGCTCCGATGGCCATGATTGTTGGCACAAACTTTAAGTTATTTATTTTAGAGTTTCAACTAGCTATGTATTCACTATTTAAGATTCTATTTATTTAATTGATCATCCACTTTTACATTCAAACTTCGTGCACTGTCCTAAAGGCTAAAGCTAAAGACGTCACACATATAGCGTTTGTATTTTCATGAACTGATGATTTCCTTCGCAATGAGTAATTTTGTTTCTAAGATTTAAATTTCTGGCTCTGAATGACTTTAGTTTATTAGTGAAGTGAATCATTCATTCGTAATCTTGCGCATGCGCTCAGTTGTGTCACGACTGGTCCAGCCAACACTAAAACAGGATTAAATTCACTCTTTCAAAGAAATTCCATTTTTTAGTCTTTAGACCTTTAGCTTTGTAATGCTGCATTTTGTGAGCGATAAGATACAAGTTGTATCTGAATATCTTTAGTCTTCTTCGTAGCCGTTTTTAGGGTCGTCTTGCTACGTTCCTCTCCACTTCGTGACGACCCTGATAACGGATTCGAGGGAGACTGGAGTTGTCTGAGATACCAACGCGGAGGGGACCGCAAAGACACCCAGGGACCCCTCCCCCTGGATTTTCGTAACAACAATGAACTTTAGACCAACGAATTCATTTTTTTCTTCAGTCTGTAATTCATTTATTTTGTTTCATAATAATTGTTCAATTAGACGAAGTGAGCGGACAAATTAAGGTTTGGCATGTTCTCTTGCCATTAGGCTCGATTACAAAGACCGGACTTGAGAGAGCCGGGCGGAAATGGAGCTTACTTACAATTCTTTTAAGAGCTTTACATAGTGTGATAACTCATAAGCTAGAGTGTACTTTTCCAAACTAAACTGTAAACAAATTGTTAGAACCTTTTTGCGAACGTTGTTGTCATTTTAATTAAGCTGTCGCGTTGCTATTAACTCCAGTCATTTTATTAAAAGACCAATTGTATGAAAAGCATTCATCTTTGAAATGCTTACAGCAGAGAGCGAACTGCAAGTTCGTCAAGGCAATTTATACAATCCATCGCATTATTTCATACGTATTTTTAACATAAGGCGTGCTCTTGAGTATATGCCAATAAGCAATTCATATAGACTTGTTCCTTTTATAGCAGGGGCAATTTATGTTCCTTTGTTTACAGAAGGATTATGGTGCAATTTGATAAAGAAATTATGCCTTGCTCAGATCATTCTTCAAAAAGGCAATTAATCACCAGTAATAATGCTTCTCGGAATACGACGACATTTTGGACAACCATAGTTGTTTCTGGTTTCTCGTGTCCACTGAAGCTGGTCAATTGCAGAAGAAAAGAACATGAAGGCCAATATTACAAGAATATTACGGTATGGCTGAAAAAATGGCGAAGACTTTGATCCCCTGATGAATATCACCAATTTGGTGACGCTATCCCGGTTGATAACGAGCGACTTGTATGCAAGAAAACTGATATATTTGTTCCCTAGAAGGGCTGTTGAGTATATTTCCAGTCAGAGGAGCGTGGCATTTTTTTGTACTTGTGTACAATGGCCAAATTAAGCCACCTTAATGTGTTATTCCAAGACGTTCAGGCCTTTAAAAGAAAAAGTTCTCTAAACATCAGCAAAAGTAAGACAAAACGGCCGCCATTCTTCCTGCCGAAGTTGAATATAACGAAAACATTGACAGAGGCAGGAAAATTTCACCATAAAGCTGATTTGGAGTTGGATGTACGCGGGCTCGAGAGAAAAACTTTACAAGGGGATGAAGTTTTAGGTAAGACAGGAATACAAAGTAAGAAAAAGACAAGATGGACGACTAAAAACAAGGTAAATAAACTTTCATCTCCTGGCAACAAGATGATAGATCAGGAAAGTCGCGACCCCTCTCTTCCGCCGGTATACTCCAAGTCTTTAACACCAACCCTCTCCAAAGAAAAGAATTTGAGCCTCTCGAATCCAAAGAAACTACCTGTACACGAGCTAGAGTTCGCGCTTAACACGCTATTGAAAGTGATCGAGAGAAGTAAAGAACAGAAAAAGACGACGAAGGAGAAATTTGAAAGGAGCGTTGTAAAGGGAGAGCAGAAGCCAATAAATGAAAAGACCCGCCTTGTAGAGAAGCCGAGAACTGGCCTTTCTTCCGAGTGTTCTATGTAAGTTATAGACAAAGAAACATTTAGTCAGACCAGCGCAACATAAAGCGACAACTTTGCCTTTTACAATCAAAACACACAAAAAAAGGTTGCGTTACAGAAAACACTGAAATATAATTTAAAAAAAGGGAGTAACAAAAAATCAAATAATGATTTTAAAGAGCATAGTTTCCCTCAATTCATTTAAATCTGCTTGTTGCTTAACAGTCTAAAATATTTTTCTGATACAACGAAATACTAGGAGAATGTGGAAAATTGTGCGTATCTCTGGAAGAATCCTTTCTATGCCCCAGCGTTGGTTGAGGATTTGTAAACAGGAATTACTATAGTTTCAAAGTTTACGACAAGTTTTAAAATTACTAGAATCAAGACGAGCTTGTAGGGCGATCGGGACAATATTCTGACCAAGTTTTCTGTGCCGACCCCTCCTGGAAGCTCCAAGATGACGACGACGGCAGCTAAAACGTCTCTTAAAAAGTGAATTCACGCTGTTTCGAAATTCATCGCTCTTATTCCATGTCGTTCAACTTGTCAAATGTTGGTGAATTTTTCTGGAATTGAATTCTAAAGGACTGCTTAGAAAATCGTTGTCTGGAGTTCACGCCCTCCAGAAAACGTGAAATTAGGCGGTTTCACGTCGTAGTCGTGAAAAGACGGCAAAGAAATGTACAAAAAGCGTGTAGCACGTGTAAAGTTGCTATTTGCCTAATACCTGTTGCTTTTATGATGTTTTGGCTGCTGTCGTGGTCGTCGTTGTTGAAGCTACCTAACAGTCAATAAATGAAGCGGCAGCGTCCCTAACAGTTCTATGATGCAGCTTGACGAAAAACCGACACAACATCACAGAATACCTCAAAGTGGCTTGGAAGCAACGAGCAAAATTCTAAACCAGTTGCATATAACTCATTTTTATTTAGCAAGTGAACAAGTCTTGCTCTAAACTATCCCCTAAAAGTGTTCTACTTGTACCTTGTCCTTTCTTACTTAGTAAGCTAAATTTCTGTTGTGGTAAGTTTTGCCTATAACATGCACAGTAAATGAACCGTTGTGCCCAAATTTCTCGGAACAGCGTTTTTCTTTCCCGTCATTGAACTCAATCTGAGCGGAAACTAAACAACCGCACAACGATGAATAAATAACACTCGATGTTACTGGCAAATTGGTGCACAAAAGAAAAATACCAAGTTTTACAGAGAATTAATAGTTACTAATGTCATGTAGATATGTCTGTTAGAAGTTATCGTCAGATAATACTGGAAGATTCCTTAGCCGTTCCCGCTTATTATATATTAAGAAAGTTGCTTGAGGTGAACTGGAGCAAAAAAATAATTTCCATCTTCAGGTTGAGAACGCTCGTGTGTATAACAGAATAGAGTTGACAGTGAGGACATTTCAATTCTCGTTTCTGTTCACTATCATATCACCAGTTTGGCGCAAGCCAGTCAAAGAATTTCATGGCTAATTCAAAACCAAGGAAGCAGGCCTATAAAACAAATAAAACCCCAGTGTTAAAGTTGTAGATGTAGATGTAGAAGACAAAAATAAAGCAAAACAGAATTCTAATAGAAGAGTTTTTGAAGAGCTTATTCCTCGATCGTACTGTTGAACCGTTTAAAGAAAAAACCCCGTGGATGTATTCTAATCACAAGAGACATGTGAAGAGTTTATCACATCCTATCTGATCAAGCACTGTTGAACTGTTTCTCAAGTGATAACCTCGTGGATTTACTTCCAGTGACATCAGACATGTGATCAGTTGTAGCCAATCACATCAAACATGTGATCAAGTGCAGCCAATCAAATCAAACACGTGATCTTCTCAGTCAATTAGAAGGACGCTTTGCCGCCCCCGGTCGCAGCCGCAGCAGCAAGTTTTCCCGCACTTCTCACGATGTGAGAGTACTCGAGTTATTGTGTCCCAGACTTTTGATTTTTCTTCCACTTCGTTACATGGACTATTTACTTTTCATTTTATTGGACAGAAGTGATAACTTTGTTTTTAAGCTTACCATAGGGCTCTTCTATCCAATATTTAAAGCGAACTTACCGCATTTGCCGGGAAAGCTCTAAGCATAACTGGTGTTAATCCTCTAAACAGGGCGCCCACGCCCTCCTCGCGCATCTGCAGAATAACAAATAGGAACACGCGTAAGTTTTGATCCAGAAAAGAAACGGAGCCTTGGGAGATATATGAAACTCTTGAGGTGGACAACGTGAAGCATCTTCAGACTTTAAGACGAATTGTAACGTTCAGAAGTTGTGACTGTAACAAGTGTTTCAAATAAAACAAATCTAGAGTCTTACCATGTGCCTAAACACATCTCTGACTCCATTAGGGTAAGTTCCCTCGGGTGCTATAAGGGTCAAAACATAAACCAACAGTGAGTAGAATGTACTTATCCAAAACTGGCATAACCTGACTGGAAAAAGCCATCAATGGCAAATCCGTTTGATATTTTAGATGGTACAAGGTAATATTTTCTTCCAAGCCCTGAAAAATAGCGGGTATGTAGTTTAAAAGATCTTTACAGACAAAATCTGGTAACGCATTGACGCGTGGTCGTCACGTGATAATACGCAGTATTATCACGTGTATTACCATGCGCAGCTCATGTAAGCCAATAGGAAAATTCACAATTACCCAGACTTCATTTCAAGTATAGTTTGTGCGTAAACAAGAAAAACATTTCGGTTTAATATTCTTAGTTATTTAAACCAAGTACGTAGAACTATTAATACCTCGAATGAATAAACGTGTATCGAAACGACTGGGAACCCACTGACCTGATCACATGACTGTGTATCGTGGGCTCGGTGCACAGCTCATCAACGTTATAACTATTTTGAGCTTATCTGCTGACCTGCTGATAATGCACTGAATTGGGGGCTCAATAATAATTTTTTTAACCAATAACTCCGCTTTTAGGCTTGGCTAAATGTATATCAAATATGATCAAGAAAGAATTGTATCTCACCTGTTTGTAATCTGGATTTAAGCACATCTGGAGCGATACCAATACCCCAGTTAAACATACCAGCAACACCTAAAGATGAAAACAACTTTTAACTCTTCTAATGACTTCTTTTCAGAGAATCCTACCAGTAAGATCCTTTACATCTGCATGTTATGACTTTTGTGTTATGGCTGTTTGCATGAGTGTTTTGTATTATGCCAATTTTTTGTCTGATGCCTTTCTCCTTCTCTTCTGCAAGTGGGTTGTTATGGCTTGTGACAACTGGGACTTCAGAAAAAGCTTTGACCATTCAGTCCCCTATTTTTCCGTAAGATCACCCTTACAAGCAGCCATCTTGGTTTCAAATGTACTGAGTCAACTTAGGGGAGAATAGCTTGCGAGGTAGTGAGAAACATATTGGAACATATTTTTCTATTTTTCTTGCCTCCCTCTCTCAAAGCAAAAAACGCCGGGGCCTGGCCCCTCGGTATATTAGAAACCAAGATGGCTGATGAGCGCTCGGCCCGACGACCTTACTAAAAAATAGGGAACCGTACGTTAAAAGTCTAAAAAGCTTTCTGTGTGTACATGAAATTCTTCTGTCAAGCAGCCCTTTTATTCAAGGGTTCTAACAGGTATTGGGAGCTTTTCCTGGTTTGTTGAAGGCACAGTGGAGGTTAGTCTGCTACACAGCCGTTTTTAGTGTCGTTTTTAGTGGTTTCTGTGTAGCAGACTAAGTGGAGGTCAGCAGGAAAATTTTCTACCTTCTTCAGCCATAAATGTCTATTCAATGAAAAAACCTTATGCCTTTCTCATAGAAGTTACGCTGAATTACTGTTCTCACCTCCAGCCATGAGAATGCTTAAAGGACCAACATCTTTTCGGCTGCAGAAGAAACAACACATTCAAATATTTATTATTTATAAAAGATAGAAATAAGGAGAATAACAGGAGCAGTCAAGTCCTTTGCAAACTTCATTATTTACTGGTCATGCCCTAGAGACGACAATTTCGCTGGGTTGTAGAAACTGTAACTTTTACACACATTGCAACTTAGAGGCCTTTGTACGGAGTTAATTCACAGATGAGCGGTTATCTTTCTACTTCCCCAAATATTTATGATTCAGCTTGATAGTCATAAAATTATTACTGGTAACAGCTCAATTTAAAATTCTACCATTGCATATTAACCCCAGATTGCAAGCTCCAAGCAGATGAAATGTTGTAATCATTAGTTAAGTGATTTTTGTGAAAAGAAAACACTACATAAAGTCCTATCAATACTTACGTCTTTCCCTTAGGAGTTAGTTGATTCAGAAGGAATTCATAAGAAGCAAAGTACATTCCTGTGGCTGGTACATCTGTAAAGAAATTAAACTGTTGAGTATTATTTAAGTACAATGTACTCTATATATCGCCCAATGCTGGGTAGTTTTGATTGTGACATCTTATTAAAGGATCATAACTAAGGTTAAGGCCTAATGTCAAACTTTTCATGAGATGAACCAACCTGTTGTTTGGATGTTATTTGGGTTGTTCTAAAAAAGTTAAGTTCATCTGTTGAGTCAAAAGTCTAACCAATCGGACATCATCAACTGAGTGGATGGATAGAATGTGTTGGTTGATCCGACCTCATAGAGACAAGCTTAACTGAGACAAACTTGGAACTTTCCATGAACTAAATCCATCCAGTTTAGTTGAAGTCTCAAGAAAGGTCAATGTTTTGCCTTGGCCTAACTGATCAAACTGTCTTTATTTTTGTCTTTTCACTAGTGGAACTTATTTTTACTCCAACAGTTTTTTCAAACTTCTTCCTCTGACCTAATCTTGAGAACTGGCTGAATTTTCGAGAGAACTTGCTCCTAATCGAGAAATGGTGTTGTTTCTAGTAGAGAGAGTTTCCAGGGAAAAAATTGTGAATTACACCTGACGAGAAACAGTTAAGATTTAAGGTCTGAGAATTTTTAGGTCACCTCTGAGTAAAGTAGCACATGTTCCCTTGTACACCCCACGGATTCCAGTTTCCTTGTAAACTTTTTTCACTACATCTACGGGGCCGGCATACTTCTTCTCTGCTCCAGATGCTTGTTGGATCTATGACATTTACAATAACTCATTTTGCAGCCTACAAAAATATACATTACCAGCCCCTCGCTACTTGTTCAATGTAGATTTAATCAAAACTGTCTAAAAAGTTTCAAACAGAATGAGCTTCAACCTCCCCCCCCACCTACCACAAAAAATTGGGATTACAATAAAAATAATTCTTTCAACTCTAACTGAACCTGTAATTTATGATACCAGTAATAATTTTTTTGGATTGTGACTTTTACGGGTGAGAGAAAACCACTTTCAATAATGGTGGGTGATCTGAATTTATCACTTCCCTAGACAAACACTGGAGTTAATTTGGTGATAAACCAAATCGTTTGGGCCCAGTTGTTCAAAAGCTGGTTAGCGCTATCCTGGGCTTAAATTTTAGCCCGGGTTTCTTTTTCTTTTTAACAAAAGCACTTTCTCTGATAATTTCTCTATTCCTCATAGAGTATTCAATCATCAAATTGTAGGCAAAGCGAATAAAACTGAATTTGCTTTTTAAGCTCTCATATCTGAGTTCAAATTTCACACCAACCCAGGGTTATCTTAACCCAGCCTTGAACAACCCTGCCTTTGAGAGTACATATTAAGTTATTGGTATTTAAAACCCTCAGGTGTACCATTCAAGCAAACCTATTGCTCCACCATGGTAACAGATAGGAATGGGAGAAGGTGGTGGGGGTTTGTAACCCCAACTTTCATTGTCATTCGCTGAGATGAAACATTTAATGAATAGCCTGTGATGCATGCCACAGGAAGGCAAAAATGTAGTATGATCATGATATGATGCAACTGCAGGTTTTGCTTAAAAAAGGCTCAACTGTAATATGTTACCTAAATCTACCCCTCTTCCTCTTGTATGTCCCATGGCTAAGGTATTAGTAATGTCTACCTGCAAGATACACTTTATTCGTTCTCCCGGTGCCATAATAGCTGTTGTACAAACTCCAGCAAAGAATCCTGAAGTCAGGATTTGAAAATACCTGTCAAAGAAAATAATTCATCATATTGTTATATATTATTATGCATACTATGCATTCCGCGAAAAGTGAACATGCGCTGTCTGTTGATGGGAAGAACAAACAAAAAATGCTCCTTTGGAGAGGGGACAACAAAGTATCATATGTATGAATTGTATGGATGGATCAATCACCACACTGTGGATATTTAGGCCAATAAATGCCAGTGATAAGAACTCGACAGCTCAACCTCTCCCCTACTTCCTAATGAAGAAGAGATTGTTATTATTGAGTTCCTAGATGTTGTTTAAAAACATTTTTCTTTCTGTTTCAATACAATCATTATTTTTTGTCATAGCAGCGGCATTGACATGGAGTGTTTTGTAATTTACTGTAGGGATTTATATTTTTTTACTCTCATAACCTCACCAACTGATTAAGCACTGATACCATAGCTGGAGAAAATTCATGTTTATTATTGAGGTTTGAAGTTTCCAGAAAGTGTAAGATCGCTGTTACTACAATCCTTGTCACATTAAGTTGGGACACCCTGTGCAGCACCCATACTCCAAGAAAAAGTTGTGCTCCTACCCTCGTTGAATTTTATACTTCTGTGATGCCAACTCACAAAAACCAACATTGAGGGGGTAGAAAATATCACGACTGAGGACTGTAGTAATAAGTTAATGGCCAAAACATGCAGTTTGACAACCACGACAATTTGTTCTAACCCTAAACTAAAATTTCCACTTGTGACACCAGCCACTAAATGACATTAATGCCACTCTCAAGGAAGGAATACTTACGTCGGATCATCATGAGGATTTTTAAGCTGTAGCTTCTTGCCCATGTTAAATCCCCAGAAACAGATTGCAAATATTGGGGCAACACCAACTACAGGAGCTGCCATTCCTTTGTATAATCCAAGAATTCCCTAGAAAACAGATACCAAACCCTTGAGATCTGAAACCTAAAGGTTCTGGCCAGAAACAACCAACACTGTCACCCCCCTCTACCAACAAACAATATACCCATGAAGGACACCTCTGATCTTCTCACATTCAGAATTTTGTTACTGCATGTGTTAAGGTGGAGAGAATCAACCAAGGAAGTGATTTACAAAAAGAAAATAATGGGTCAAAATCCATCTAAGAGATAAAACTGGAGGCAAACTTGATGCACTGGCTTCAGTCCTGTTCCATACATGGCAAGGCATAACATTCCAACCTAAATCACATGTGCAGGAAGGATGTACAGAAACAATGGGTGTGGCCAGAAGCCCATAACCAGGCGGAGCGAGCACCTTCCATGTACTTGTGCCATGGCGTTTTCTCCGACCAGTTTACTTTTAGAACTGTTTTGGTGCGAAGTTAGAATATGTTTTAAGTCCTACAAACTAGTGGGCAAACCTACAGACCTAAATACGATACTTTTTGCCTTTTAATGACTTTCAGTTTTACCTTTTGATGCATACACTTCCAATACGCTCTTACACGCAGTGGAGATTTCACTTTTGCGGGAAAAAGTGCCCTAAAGTGTGTCTAACAATATACCAACTAGTCGGTGAAAATGCCATGACACAGGCCTAGTGTGGGAGTCGCTTGCTCTGGGTTATGGGCTCCTGGTGTGGCATCCTTTAAAACAAAACTTACACTGTGGCTATTACTAAAAAGAAACTTACAGTCAAGTGCACCATGAGCTTAGCTTACTGATCTTACCTCTTTTCTAACTGTTTTCATGGCGCAGTCCAACGTTCCTGTGAACATTGGCTTCTGTCCAGGTTCAGGCGTTGGCATTGTTTGAAGGCGAACCTTTCAAAAATAAAATAATATTTTTTACCTGTTTTGTTATATATTACTTTTCTATGTTTTTTTTTTAAACATTCTCTGCTACGACTATTACACATCACATTATTACACATCACTGTGCCCATTCAATGTTTTTAATATAGTTTCCTCTACGTACAGACCTTTCTTGCGCACCACTGGACACTTTTGGAATGAAATTAGGAAAGAGCAAAACATAAAATTTATTATGTACATGAATGGAGTTGGAGCTCAAGTTCAAGTTTATTTCGCACTATTCAAGTTGATACATTATAAGATGGCTTACAGAATCAGTAGGTTAACAAATGATGAAAAGTAAATATAATATACAGGTTTGTCAAACGTTGCGTGACACAAATCGCGCCTCTAGCTGCAAAAAGTAAGCTTTAATCGAAAGTTTAACCTTTAAAAAATAGTTTTACCCAAATAAATATTTTGAAATTTAAAACCACGTTTCTTGATATTCGGTTAAAATTCGTAAGTCGAAGAATTGTGAAAACAAAACACTTACAATCAACGCGCATTTAAGAACTAACTAGATGGACTTTGTCCCCTGTGAGTATTGAAATAATAATATAAAATAAATCTAACTTCAAAATATGCTGAGTAACTCTGATGATTTCATATTTGACTCTGAGAGTAAAGTTAGATTACCTACAAACTTCTAAAGAGCGATTAAAAGTTGAAATTCTTACGAACTGGAAAACATCTAAAAACTTTTCTTCCACGAACACACATTTTTAGCTTAACTATTGGAGAGAAGATTCATACTGTATTTTTTCAACGTTACCTTGATAGTATCAAGGGGATGTCCAGTTACCACACAACATACTCCTCCAAAACCTCCTGCGAGGAAGTTCTTCGAGCCAGAAGTACTCCTCGTCTGTTTCTTTGGGCCATCTACCACCTTCTGTTCTGCCATTGACTCCGCCATGTTGACAGTCGCGTCATGAACTGGAAGAAAGTGGACTGGGGACAATCTTATACGAGAGAGCCTGCGTAAATTTCTGCGTTACACTTGTCCAGCGCGGGGGCGTCGGCGGGGGCGGTAAGAGTCCTCTGACTCCCTCTGACCGCCCCCGCCAACGCCCCCGCCAAATTGAGGTAGGATGGTCTGAGGACTCTCTAGAATAGAATTGAAACTGACTAACGGAAAGCCAATCTCTTTTTCCATGCATTTTTTACGGTTGGCGTAAAAAATATCTGAAAAATCTTTTTCCATACAGGCATTTTTTACGGTTGGCGTAAAAATAATATGTGAAAAGCAAACGCCGTCATCGATGTAAACAGCTCTTGTGCAATTTAAGTCAGTATAGCAAGTTGATTTGGTAGTCCCCTCATGTATGGTCTCCTTTGATGGGAAACTCAAATTTCCGCCACAGTCCTTTTCGCCCAAATTCCCTAGGCCTGGAGCCCTTGCCTGGAGTAAAGACCGTGATTTTGGGCACCACTTGCTAAATGTATCATGTAATTAAATAATATGTTTTAAAGGTTTTTGTCAATTTAGTGTCATTTGAAATTTCGTTGTTACAAAGGCCAAAAGTTAACTGCTGTTACAGACCCTCTGAAGTATCAAATGGTTGTTTGTTTCAAGACTGTGTCGTCGGACGCGACAGTTTTAACTCGAGTTTCACTGGTTACTATCCCTTGACATCAGACTTCTCTCTAACAACGTAAACAAGGGATATTGGGATATCTCTTGGGGTGGGAGGACGACGCGCCATAATACCAAACAAACATTTCATAATGGCAATGTTAAACTAAATTCAGACAAAGTCGAAGGATTGCTAAGTAGGGACTGAATTTGGATGAATTCTCTGTGAGGCTGACAAGGGGAGAGGAGATTTCCATTCGCCGGAAACGCCTGATAGACCTCCTCCTCAGGTTATGTAGGGGAAACAGCCTAAGAAGATATCATAATACTTACACGAGCAAACAAGTTTTCTCCGCTTTTATTCTTTTCCTTAAAACTTTTCTTCTGATCTGCTATTTGATAATTTTAAGACTTCTTCACTCTTGCGATAACAGCAAGCTAGCTATGAAATAAAAAAACTGTACAACGTTTTCACGGGTTGGCTGTCTTATCTTTCTCTCGAGTTCATATGACATAGGATCACTTCACAAGCGAAGTTTCCACATTGACATTTCATGATGCACTGTGATCTTCTAAAAATTAATAGCTTTTCCTGCGTATGCTGCAATGTTAGCTTCCCGCAACGCCTCTGACACAGTCTGCAATCAAAAAAGTACGCAGTTAGTACAAAAAATTAATACTGCTCAGTGACTTAGTTTACTCACAGGCGTATACGTAGAAATTGGTCTGCACAACCAACCTCGTCCCCAGGGCGCTTTTACCTGGCTTTGGAGGTGGGACGCCCTGGGGACGAGGTTGTCTGCACAACATAATAAACAGCAGTAAAGGAAAGTACAATTGCTCATTTCAATTGAATGCCCTCACTGTAGGACTTTAGCCACAGACTAGAACGATACCGAAGACGATGCGAAAAAATGAAAGCAATTACTAGGACAATAGGATTGAGGAAAGTACTGCTCAGTAGCTTTTATTTTAACGGATACACTTTGAGTGTCGTTCACATACTCAAATGCTGATTCCATTAAAAGGATTTGGAAGCACGCCTAAGGCATTTGGAAAAAGGCAGTTTGTATCACGTGCCCAAATCTCACCTTTACTCGTTATTAACTGTTGATTATATATCAACAGAAGTAGGAAGGTAGTTTCATATCTCGGGCAGTTTTTAAACACTCATTTCCAAATTTAAGAATTTGTCAACTTGAATCTAACGTTTATCGTTTGCCGAAAACGTGATTCTAAGCCTCTCTCACCAACACGGCGATTTCTACGAGCGGAATAATAATATCTACAAATTGTTTGAAAGAAAAAGTTTTAAAGACAAACTGACAAAATTTTGGTTTTGTCCCTGTCATCTAAAAATGGTTCTTACCGGGTGAGCATGACACACGCGCGCAATGTCCTCGCTAGATGCCCCATATTCCATTGCAAGTGTGGCTTCGTTGATCAGTTCTCCAGCAGCGGGCGCGATCATGTGACATCCCAGAAGGCGGTCAGTCTCCTTGTCAGACAGCACTTTCACAATACCATCTATTTCGGCGTTTGTTCGAGCGCGGCTGTTTGCGGAGAGAGGGAACTTTCCAATCTTGTACGCAACGCCCTGAAAAAAATCGCAGCACGTTCAAAGGTGTAAGGTCAGTTGAAAAGCATTTCACCAAGGAATAATTTTTTAAGGACTGAAACAGGCAGACTTAGTCACCCACGTCACCTTTTTCCATTGGCGATCTTGGGGCAGCTTTTGGGGCTGGCTAGTGTTTGGTTAGTCTGCTATACAGCCGTTTCCGTCATGCAACGCTCCACCCATGAGCGTTGCGTGACTGGTGTTTGGTCGCACTTAGCCTGCGTGGCAGGCGTTTGAAAGGGAAGGGAAAGGGAGATTTAGGCCCTCGCGTTACCCTCGCGCCCCAAACCCCCTTTCCCTACCCTTTCAAACGCCTGCCACGCAGGCTAGGTCGCACTGTACTATGGGGTTGTTTTAGGGACACACAGGAAGCTGGGTCAAAATTCGTCCCCAAAAAGAGTCACAAAGTTCAAATCGAAACAGCACCGACCCAGTCCTCGAAATGGCAGGTTCAACACACTTTTAAATGGTAAAATCTGAATTCTCCTTCTCATAGCCCCAGGGCAATGTAATTAGACATTGGCTGGCTATATACGACTTCAGAAGGACACATTAGAGTTATCTATTGATAGTCAATATTTTCCACCAGCACAATTAATTAATGAATAATGTTTGACTAAGGCGAAAGTTGACTTCAAATGCCCCCGCCCCCTCTCAAAAAGAAGGAAAAAAGAAAGCAAGACGGCGTTCTGGTTCTTTCCAAAGAAGAAAGCCATACCTCTTCTTTTAGCATTTCTTCTGTTTTTCCAACCCAAGCCACCTCAGGATGTGTGTAAATCACATTTGGGACACAGTTATAATCAATATGTACCGCGCCGCCCGCAATGCCTTCTACGCAGATTATACCTGCAGGGAAAAAACAATTATTCAAGGTAACTTGGGCTCTAAGTAAGCCTACGTAATGGGCGCCTCGGATGTCTCCCTCGCGCGCCCCGTTCTCTCTCTTGCGCCCATAACTTGCAAGCGCCTGCTATGCAGGCTATCTCTAGGTCACCTTTCAAGACTATGTGAATGAGTTTTTGGACAGCTTGAAGACAAAGAAATTCGCCTGACATGGCTTTCTTTTAGTCGGTGTCAGAAAGAAAACTAACGTCCTACAGTTGGCTCTCTCCCGTGGCCAAATAACGCTTTACCGGCTCAAAATCCTACTGAGATGAATGTGCCCTGGGACCCAAGCAAGGAAAAGTCAAAAAGTGCAAAGGAGAAGACATGACATTGTAACTGTAATTTGTTTACCCACGAAGCACAAAGGAGTTATTAAGAACCCGTTTAAACGTGTCCGTCCATTCCTGATCGAATGTGAATTTGGAAGTGTTGGTTTTTGAGAAGAAGGGAGAACCGGAGTACCCGGAGGGAAACCCCTAGGAGCAAGGGAGAGAACCAACAACAAACTCAACCCACATACGACGTCAAGCCGGGATATGACCCCGGGCCACATTGGTGGGGGAGGGGGGGTAAGTGGTCTCACCACTGCGCCACACGTGCTCTCCATGCCGTTTTCCGAAATGTTTACCAAGATAAAGCAACCAGTAAGTAGAGTGGCTGTGAAATTTCCCGCGTAAAGGACGCGCTGACTCAGCAAACAGCGCGCGAAAGAAACTTGAGTGTTACCTCCATTGTTGTTCTTGGACAAATGATTCAAACTGTGTTTTGGTTAAGTTTTTATGATGTTCTTAGCCACAGTAATAAAATAATACTCAGTCTGTGGAGGAAGAGATGTTACCAAATTCGTGCTCACCTTCATCTTCAGCTTTGTGTGCCAGCATCGGTCCGTGAATGCAGTCACCGATAGCATAAATACTGAAAACAATCACAATAAAACGAAAGAATTAATTTACATCGACCATTTTTATTCAAGAGAATCTAAATTCGTCAAGACGCATTTAACGGACGTTAAAGTCGACCTAATGTAAAAACGGGACACAAAAAAGCAGACGACACCGGTGTAAACAAAAATCCGGATTTTTATAAAGAAAGACGAAACACTGACTATTTCAGGTCGTTTCTGGACGAGCTGGGCATAAATGCGTCCCAGTTTACGGCGTCCCGTTTGCATACTAGACGCATTTAACGTCTGAGACGTTTAAGTCGTCTGTTAAGTGCGTCTGAATGACGCAGTGAAAACAAGACGTTAAAGTCGTCAGACGTTAAATGCGTCTTTCTTATTTACCGTTTTTATACCAGACTAATACAGTCCAAGCATCACAGGGCGAAATGCCATGGCTACATGACAGGCACACTATCATACATTTCTAACATACCTATACGCCTATATCTAAATGCCAAAACCAAAAAGTACGTTTCTAAGATGCAAATCCAACAATTTGAGTCTGCAGAGTGAAACAAACAACATCCCCGACAAAAGGAATGGTTTGTTTCTCTGCTGATAAGGCGATAAATTAAAGCCCTTCTCCAGGGGCTGACTAGCTTAAAATCTAACATGACAGCCTTGAAAAGTCCACCACTGAGAACATCTCCTTGTGGTTAGTGTCTGTTCCACTTCAATTTCCAATCTCTAGAAGGGGAGGTATTACCTGTAAGCGTCCACATTATTCACAACTTAAAAAAAGGTCTTATAGCTGTTGTTTAGGATGATTTAGGAAAAACTGCGGACTAGGGAAGTCCCCAAGGAGCTCCATGAGGAAGTGATAAACACAAAATGTTGCGACTTACCTTGGGACATTAGTCTGAAATCTTTCATTGACAACAACTCGGCCACGCGGATCTAGCGGAATTCCAACTTTCTAAGAGAAAAAGAAATTAATAATTTAAATGTACTAAGAAATTACCGCAAGGAAAAAGACATCTTAGATCAACCAGGAACACCCCAAATTCTCTGCGATCGCATTTTTTCTTGCTTTACTATTTTTAGAAAAATATGAAAGTGCATATAGTTTCGTTTAACAGTATTGCATAACACATGCCTCAAGTCCTAATCTTTTCGTGTAAGGCCGTCTTCCAACACAAACTAAAAGAACATCTCCTTCAATCTGTGGGACAAAAATGGAAACATCTCCAGTTAGGTACTTTGAGAAGTGAACATAACAACAAGAAACAGAAGAAAAAGGAATCACCAAACAACACTATCAGAGAATATTTTATGATTCATACCTCTTCTTTCTTGGAGCCATCCTTTGCTGATTCCACACTGCAAAAAACAGGAAAATCTAATGAAATTAAATGGTAACAAAGACAACAAAAAATTATAATAATAAATTTTAAACAACAACAACAATGACAAGAGTGATCACCATGGCAATTACAATGATGGTGTCAATGATGTTTCTGGTGATGATGATGATGATGATAATGATGGTTGTGAAGACGACAACAATCACGATAATGATGATGATGATGATGATTATGGTGACACTGCAGTGCCACCAAGTGCCACTGCTCCTGATAACAATGATAAAACAATTACTCTAAAATATAGCTAAATGGAATAAAAAATGTATAACAAAGACATAGTTCTCACCTGACTTTGATTCCACCCTCTGTTCTAACAGCACCTGTAATAAAAGTCCAATCAGGTTATTAAAGGGAATTAACAAATCAACGCTCATTTGCAACAAAATATCAAAGTTACTTAAAAGGGACTTAGGTTTCAAGTTACCCATAAGGACACAACTAATGAAGTCCTTGTGTAAGAGGTCGTGGGGGGAGGACAGGGGGGTGGAAGCCCAGGGGTGGGAGGGGTACGAGAGGCAGGAGACGAGAGAATGGGAGGGTTAGCAGGAGAACCAAATAAGGATCTTTATCACCTGATTTTGGGAGTTGCTACTAATACATGTTCTACTCTACTTACTTGTAACCATTGTGTTAAGTTTAAACTTCACTCCCTGTTTCTGTAGGATTCTCTGGAAATTTTTCCTGCAAAATCAAAACCAGTGAAATCCAGTGTTAACAAACTTCACTCACCTAGATGAAAGTAATTTTGAATTATCATCATTGGAATTTTTACGACACCCCCATCGCTTTTGAGTTCAAATCATTCACATGTACAGTCAGAGTTCTTTACTACATGCACTAAATGGAAACAGAAAATTGTCATTGGAACAGAGTTATCTGGAACTGCATAAGGTTTGGCACCTAAGAGACCAAAACAACTCTCCAAAATAGAAGGAAAGCAATAATTTTACAACAGACGATGAACTTACGAGACTTCCATGTCAATGCCAAGGCCACCAATATGTCCCAGAAACTCAATAGCTACAACCTCTGATCCAAGTCTAGACCAAACTGAACCCTAACAATCAATAACAGAACACTTGACTTGATAATATAACACTCTCTACAGACTACAGAAATTCAAGCCTAAGGATAATGTTGAATAGAACACCATGAGTGGTAACCTTGACAATATCCCATTTATTCTGGGATGGATACATAATCCACCTGAATACAACAGAACAGTCTTGTTTATGTTGTAGTTCAGTTTTCTCCCGAGAATCACATTTATTTTCCCATGTTTCAAACTGTTTATCATATACAATATTACCTTGCTAGCAAAATGTTTTAACCACAACATAAATAAGTGGTAAATAGACAAAAACGCATTTAAAAAATAATAATATACCAGTTGATATGCACTGTCTCACACCTATTGGCAAAGTGCTCAATGGAAGAACTAGAGAGTTATAAAAGTTATAAAAAAATAACATAATTATATATAATATGGCAAGAACCAACAGCTGCCAATTCCTGATGGCTACTGAAAACTCTTTTTTGTGAATGTATGGCTGAGACCTCTCCGGAAACCAAAGAAGGCAATACGATGTTCTACATGCTGTACAAATTGCCATAACTGACAAAAATGTACTAACCAATTCGACACCAATCACACCAGCACCAATCAAAATCATTTTTTCTGGAACTCTGTTCAGGGACAAAGCACCAGTGGATGATATTATTACTTTCTCATCAACCTGAAAGGGAAACGACAACATGAAAGTTAAAAATATATTTTTGTTAGTTAAATAGGATCACAGGGAACAACCCACCTCAGCTCCTGGGAAAGGCGTAACTTCTGATCCAGTAGCAATCAGGATATTTTTGGTCTGAATTACTTCTGAGCTTCCATCTTCCTTATATACAGTGACCTACAGATTGAAAAACATCCACATCTCACAAAACAGGAGTGAAAAACAAAACAGGCTGTGATCCGCTGAATTGTTACATTGATTATTTAACAAGGTCCCACAATGAAAATGAAAAAAAAATTATGAGATTTACATTACAACACAACTTTCTTTGACAATATTCAAATCAGTTTCAACTTTTACATAATTTGAGAAAAAAAATCAATTTAATTTGCATTAGCAAGACTTGGTGCTCTGAGGAAAATTGAAGGGAACCAAGTGCAGTGCATCTGTAAAATCCAGGGTGCCAAGCATATTATTTGTATGGAAAAACTAAGATTTTCTAGTCACCCGAGAGCAAAAGTTAGGCACCAGGAGCCACAGGGCTCTGCTAGAATACAGCCTTGATTACAAAAAAAAAGAAACTTTACGCACTTCATTTGGTCCAGAAATTGAACCATGTCCATCAACTCGTGTAACCTGCAAGGAAAACAGGAAATGATTCATAAAAAAAAGCAGGTTCATTCTGAAGGTAGAAATTATTGGCCCAGAACCTTACGCCAACACTAAAAAAACTTCTGAGATAAAATATATTGGGAGGCAAAGCCAATACAGTACCTTATTCTGTTTAAACAAGTGGGCTATTCCATTTGTTAGTGTCTTTACAGCTGTTGATTTTTGTTCCATCATCTTCTCTAGGTTTAATTTCACTTCACCCACTATAAAAAGCAAATCAAATTATTACATACTGTCAATACTATGCCATGCTGCTTGAGAGAAAAAATGGAAGAAAGAAAGGAAAAAAAATTCTGCCCCTGGACCTCCCAGCCTCCAGTCCCAATTCCCACCCTAAAAACGATTTTGTGGATGAGAAGCCTACTGAGTTAGGATTCCTTCTCTCAATGGATGTCTTTGAAGTCAAGTCAATAGGGGGGATTACTTTTCACAAATATTGTTAAATATATAATAGCAACAATCTTTTTTTTGCAGCTGGCAGCCAGCATGAATTGAACAAACAAATATTTGTTGTACATTGCCATAAAATAAACAAGTAAATAATAAAGAACATTTTGATTTGGTACTTACCCTCTATTCCTCTGTTTTTAAAATCTGCCTTTGCTTGGTGGTATAGGTGTGAGTTGTTCAACAATGCCTAAAAGAGATTAAGAAAACATTTTTGTTGCATTTGTGTCCTTAGGTGATGCTCAGAATCACATTTGCAAGGAACATTCACCATTTTGAGTTTGCTGAGTTGATTAGCTGTGTTACATTTGATAAATAACTGGTGAAATTGGCTGTTCCTGAAGAAGAATAACAAGCTGGTCCTGGTTCACAGGAGAGCCATACCACAAATAACTGTTTCTCACCTTGGATGGTATACAGCCAACATTCAGGCATGTTCCTCCTAAAGTCTTTTCTTTTTCTATACACACAGTCTGTAAAAAGAGGAAAAGCTAAGATTAACCCATTTGAGCTGAGAATTTTGCCTTAAAACTTAATTTGACACTAGTCAAGCCAGTTTTTGGCTACTATCTGTCCAAAAAGAACCACAACTTACCAAAACATCAAACACTAGCTAAACATGTACTGACTTTTGCTCCGTTAATGCAAAATTAAGGCTCTGCAAGTTTGGATGTGGCCGAGTGTAAACTTTTCGACAAAAACAAAAAAGATCCCTGCCTCCCCATCTTTTACTGTCACTTCCTCTCCTCCGCAGTTCTCTTGCTTTTCGCCTTAATTTGGGGAAAAGTTTTTTTGAGAAATTTTGATTCTTGTGCATGACTGTGCTAGTTTTTAATTGCATCTAGGTCATTTTCTATGTAAAAAATTAATTGCTTGTTTTTTTGCTTGTGTCACTAGTACAAACTAGACTTTATTAAGCATGTATATGTTGTGGTTCAATTTTATCCTTGGTTCAAATTTTCTTTCCTTTTGTTTCAAACTCATTATCATGTTATTATCATACATTACCATACCCAAAAAAAAAGAAAAGAAAATTTGAACCAAGGATAAAATTGAACCACAACATATACAGCATATTATCATGCTATCAACACGTACCTTCATTCCAAGTTGAGCTGCCTTAATTGATGCTACATATCCTCCTGGACCAGAGCCAATCACCACAAGATCCACTTCACCTTCAAAGAAATAAAGAAATGTAGGTGTTCAGAGGTCAGAGGCTTCTTAAAGAAACCTCTTCTTAACAATAAAATTATTATGAGGTCACCAAAAAGAAAACCCAAATCTGTCAATTCACAGCCAAGTCAGTTAAAAGAAGAATGAAAGGTTCCCAGGCAAAAAGTCAACTACCAGGTAATATGGACCCAGGAAGAGGGGGGGCAGTACACCCTATAATGGCCCATATGGGGAGGCTCCGCCCGAAAGGGGTACCTTTTTCAGGCCTCAGGTATATGAAAGGGCAGGGATTTTACTCATTGAAGTATATGAAAGGGTAGGAAAATCTGTCATTTGGGTCTGTGAAAGGACCCAAAGGGCCAGACAGATGAATTTTATGGCTTTATAAAATCAGGAAAATGTTCTATTTTTGTGATGAATTCCTATTTAAAGGACAATGCATTTACAGCAGTTGAAAGGGATGCAAAGTTCTAAATGAGGTATGTGAAAGGGGTGCCATTTGTCAATAGAAGGTATACGAAAGGGGTAACTTTTTCGTGAAGAATGGTATCTAAATAGGGTAAGGGGTTGGACCTCTGGGTGGAGCCTCCCCATATGAAAATTTGTTGAGTAACCTCCCCCCTGGGATATGGACAGACAAAAACAAAACAAAAAACAGTCAAAACAGTCAGTTGGATTGGTCTCCTGTTATGCTCCTAGTTTGAGTGAAATATAACCCCTCCCCTCACTAAAAATAACCTGCACCCCCACTTCTTCCCTATAAGGCAATCATCACAAGATATCATCTCATAAAATATGTGATCCAGTTTCCAAGTAAGAATCTAGAATACCCAGCCACTAGTCAGCTTCATTACTTCCTACTTTGACCTATCTGCTGCCCCATGTTTGATGACTAAAGATGCCATTGAAGAATTAGATGCAACTGTCACTGTGGTCAACAGCACAGTCATGATGTGGACGGACAACAATGAGATGGAAGGGTTTGATTAGACTGACAAAAAGGCTGTAAATGTAGCCACCAAGTCTGTAGTAGTTGCTTGAAAAAGCATGACACCCGGCCATGGACCAGGGTGGCAGCTAGCATTCCGAGGGTCAGTTTAAAAAAAACTTATACAAATGTAATTTACAAGTGCAGCTGTTGTTTTAGAGTCTCATAAATTAACTACACTGGTAAATTACACTTGTAAAGGTTTCGTTAAATTGAACCCAGAAAAGTGCCTGAATATTCCAATATCTAGCCAGCAGACATTACGTAAGCTTAGTTGTAACAAGTCAAACTTGAATTAGCAACATACTATATAAACTTGAGGCATAACTATAGAGATCACATATAAGCTTAACTAACAGCTAGTTTACCTTCAGTTGCATAACTTCTAGTAATACTAGTTCCGACAACGGGGATATGTCTGGTCCATTTCAAAGCCTGTAAAATTAAAACGACCATGGAGCATTTCTAGTGCAAGCTTTAACATCTAGTATACTAGATAAGATGAAGAATGTATATTAGTAGGAAAACCTCCCTAATGTATTTTTCTGACCTCTGGAATCCTTGAAGATATGCCACAACTACGGCGCACAAATGGCAACATGTTTTTAAGAGAAAATTGACTAAGACGTTATCAAATCTTGCTCCTCTCCCCCAATCATATGTCGATGGTTCTCAGGGAAATGCAATATTTTTGCGAATACCCGCAAACGTCCCTCTCGCGGGCTCGAATAAGTAAAATAATTGCATGTACTTTAGGGTATTACCGCTGTCAGCGGGCGCAAGTAATTACCGAAAAGAATCGCATCCAGTCGCATCGTTTTTTTGCAAGATCGATCGCAGAAGATTGCAGATAGAATCACAGGAAATCTAAATGCTCCTTTCATCGTCTCTGTTTGTCCTGTTTCCTCTTTTGTCAGCTTTTGCTGTCGTATGGACCTTCAGAATCTTCGAGCGCGCTAAAGTTGAACTTGGCTTCGAACATTATGCCGAGAAAGCGGACCCTACCACTTTCCTCAAAATGCCAGCAAACGCTGGCATTAACTTCGGTTATACTGTAGTTGGATTGTATTGGCTGTGGAGAGTGAAAAAGCAGAAAAAAAAGTTGAGAGATCAAGTATTTTTTTATTACATGTTTTCGTGGATGTCTGTGTTCTACGGGTTTGTTCAGTTTGGAAGAATCGTGACACAAACTCACTTGTTTGCAGTGATAGATCAATGGTTTACACTTCCCTTCTTTGCATGGATTGTGTGTTGGAATGAGTTCGTTTATCGAGGCTACTGGCAAACTGGTCGCTATCTCTTTATCATGCGTATTTCTGTTTTAAGTTACCTCGTCGTGTTGTTTCATGATCTGGGTTTTGAAGCTGTCCTTGGTCTTCACATCTTAGCTGCTTTGTTATATTCTCTCCGAACCCAGTGTAAACCAGGCCTAGGAACCTCTAGATCGTGGATATCTTTTATCTTAGCCCTTACCGCTTGTGCTGGTTTTGTTTGCCTGAAACTGGCGGATCATTTGTTAGCTAGTTTTTCTCTCTTTCAAACCTTCACTGGGCATTTTTGGTCAAAAGTTTGTGATGTTGCACAAATTCATTTTGCTGCAGATTTCTTCATGAATTTACAGACTTATAAAGTAAATAACAAGCACAATTAAAAGGGTTTGACACCAGTATAAAGTGGTGGCTCCTTGCCATTGCATTGTTTGCTTAAGGTGGGGACACACTAGGCGACATGCTGCTGCAACACATCGGGGCAAGAAATCACTCCTTGTTGACAGGTTAGGCAACAAATTGCGTGACACATTGCAGCAAAAAATCGCTTTGTGTGTTATAGGGAATTGTCATGAAAATCTTTGTTTCTACAACAGAGTTTTGTTGCTGCAACAAGTTGTACAACTTCAACCTGATTTGATTTTGTACTACTTCTAGTGGTGACAAAATTCAGTCGAGAGAAACTTGGCTCCACACTGTCTCATTACCCAGGCTCTGGTTGTTCAAATGTTGGAAAGCACTATCCACCAAGCCCATGGTTGTTCAAACATTGGATAGTGCTATTCAGTGAATTAATCTCCATCCAGTAGATAAATATAATGGGATCAAACAAAAAGATTTACTTGCTAAAACACTATCCAGGGGACAAGTATTAAGCAAACCAATAATGCATTAGCAACTGGACAGGGATTTATCCAGGGGATAGCACTATCCACCTTTGAAAAACTGGGGCGAGATAAATCACTATCCAGCAGCTAAGCACTAGGGAAACCAATCATGTTATCCACTGGATAGATACTTATCCACAACTGACATTAATGCTAATATAATGCCGGATGTTACCAGCTATGTCTGTTGGCCCCAGTTGTCTCATGCTACAGAACTCAGTTTCAGGCTCGGCCAGAGTTCCGGGGGGTGGAGGGGGTGCTCAAAGAAATTTTATATGGGGAGGCTCTTCCCCGATGTCTGACCCCTTACCCTGTTATAAACCTTTTTTGACAGGAAAGGCACCCATTTGGTATAACTTTCATTGGCAAATAGTATCTGTACTTTAGAATGTTGCATCCCTTTCAACTGCTATAAAACTAATGCACTGTCTTTAAAATATGAATAAAACTTTTGTTCTCTTTTCCACAATCATAAAATGCGCCTGTAAGCCTTTTTAGGTCCTTTCACAGATGCAACAACAGATTTCCCTGCCCCTTCATGGTGAATGTCAATCAGCACTAAACACAGAAAAATTACTGCACATTTCAAAAACATGCGAATTTCTGAAGTTCATAACCTAATTGACATATGCGTTTTTTTTTCTGCCGTCAATCATCTCACCGGACCTCTTAGGAAAGAGAGGTTTACTTCAATAGGCTCAAAAAGTCATGATTTGTGATGGGTGTATTTTGATCCATTTTGTGTGTTTCTTTGTTTCATTCTGATAGTACTTATGATTGACGGCGGTGAAAAACGCATTTATGAAGGTGGCTTTTGGACTTCAGAGTTCTCGTCTTTTTGAAAAGTGCCATAAGTTTGTCTGATTTTATTTTTTATTGAAGAATTTTTAATGTCCTCATGTGTTAAAGAGTAATCTCAAACGTGTTTAATATATACAATTGTCTGATACAATAATAACATTGTAAGTCTTACTGTACATATCAAAGTGTGAAAGACCTGTGCTGAATACTTTCTATTATTAGAAAGGGTACATAACTTGAACAATCATACATTTTTGTGTAGAAGAAAAAACCTTTGTGATGGCATCTTGATTGCAATGATTCTGATGCTGATAGTTACTTTTTACGAAGACCATGAATAATTTTAACTTTTCTACTATTACTACTTTTTGTATACTTTCTTATACAACTAATCTCAAAAACTCACTATATTAACTGACATGATAAAAAATTAATTTTGAAAAAGAAACACTCAATGTTTTGTATTTCATAGCACCTCTTTCATTTTCTAACAAAAATTCAAATATCAAATATTTAAAAGTGGGCGTTACATATTACATATAAATAAATGCAACAAATCACATTCTTTCACAACTTTTAAAGACTTGTCTCCCTATCTAACGAAGACACTGACAGTAGGGAAGTATCATCACTTGAAGACTTGAACTTTAATTCCAGCGTGGTATTTGAGTCCTTGAGAAGGTCTGTGACCTTGTGTGCAAACTTGTCTCTTACTCTGTTAAACTCCATAACACTCTCGGGCTCTTCACTGATCCAGAACGTACTGAACTCAAAAAACAGATAACCTACAACGAGACAACATTGTAGTGTTATGACAGTTACTAAGAGCTTGTTTAAAGGTTGAATTGAAGGCTAGCCAAAGTCAAAAAAAATACACAGTTATTTTTTAAAGTAGAAGGGTTCTCAAGGTTGAGTAGGATCTAGGAGGGGAAAGATGAAAAGTTAGTTTGAAAGTTGACTTTTCCATTTCAGTTGAGGCGATTACTAGCTGGGTTGGTTGAGTGCCATAAAAAACTGAAAACAGGCACGGGTCCAGGGATTTTGTATTGGAGGACAGCCCAAACATGTGCTCACTATTGGAGAGTGTTTCCAGGGGCAGATCCAGGATTTTTTTTTAGGAGAGGGTGCACTCGTCTCTTGCTCTACTTCAACACCAATAAACCACATAGTTTTTTTTTTACAGAATACAAGTTGTATTAGAAAACACAGGTCACCTCGGGGGGGGGGGGCTCCCTGCATCCTCCCCCTAGATCTGCCCCTGGTTTCAGCCAATTATTTTCAGCCTTCTTTGCCAATACACCTTATTTTCTAGTATACTAAACTACTTTTACCTTAATATGTGATCCTTGAGTGGTAACAATTTCAATTTCAGGGACAGAGCCGAGTAGTAACATTGAAAACATAACATTGTACGTAAAAAGTTTATTAAAATGGTCAGATGTTTGGACCATAAACTTCATGATAACAATAAATTTGCTCCCAACACCAAAGGATAAACCTGGCTGACAGTCTAAATAATTCCAACAAAATTTAAAATAAAAGAGTGAACATACTCACAATAAACCTGGTGAAAGTCAACCACAGTTGGCTGGCCTTGTCTGCAGTTGTAAAAGTGACTTCTAAGGATTCCTTCGTTCAAAAACTGAAGAGCCAATGATGTGATGTTGATGCCAGCAATGGCATAAGAAAACCTGTAAGAAAAAGATGATAACATTTATTTCCATAGAGGGTGCACAGTTTTGACATTACTGTTCCTAGAAGCATTCAGGCTGAGCATCAAGGAATCTAGCGAATGGCTTAACTTGTCATCAGTCTCTTTGCAACACAGTGACTGGGGTAAAAGACTTTATCTGAGGGTCATGGGTTCAAGTACAGCCATCATTGCCCCATGCCAGCTCACAATTGTGATAAATAACAAGAACGAGCTTAAAGGGGTTAGGTTGAGCTTGCTTGGAGATTAGATAAAAAATGAAGAGACAATAATTATTCTTAACGAAAGTGGGAGCTGAGACCATTATAACTAAGTTCATGTGGCAAACAATCTTGCATACTGCTAGGACCAGAATGCTGACACATGCAATCATATTAAACAATGTGATGGTCAATTTCAGGCCTGGTGAATATATGAGAATGATTTTTTTAGGCAGTGGCAGATGATAAAGAGTTTTTTTAACCACACCCAAACTTGCGTTTGAACCCCAAATTTGAAGTACTTAAAACATTAGTTATGTGGAGGGAGGCTAAGCACATGAATTCTCCATGATGGATTTTCCAAGAACAACACACACCTGTTATGTTTACTTACAAACAATTTTAAGTACAACATTAGATGTGTAATTTAGCCTACCAGAAATGTGGATGATGAGAGTGTGCCAAAACTTTTCTTGCTGCATCTGTGTGTTTTGATGCAAAAAATCTGCAGGCAAAACAATTTCAGTAAATCAATACGCACACTGAATTTATTGTTACTAATGTAACTTTTACGATAAAAAAAAAATACACATGTACATACTTACAATAAGTTATCAAGAGCAAGAACACCTGGAACAAAAAAAAAAACAGAAAAGTCAGGAATCATAACTATCTTGTTTTATTATAAAGGGGTGCATAAAAAATAGTCTACTGTATGTGGAAACACTATAGATTTTGTGTCGTTTTTTTTTTTCCAGTTTTTCATAAGGAAATGCAAAGAGATTTGATCAACTTTTAAGCTGAAAATTTTTTTTTTACCTAAGATGTATACTTGAAACAACAATACATTTGTACAAATGACTGCCATACACTGAGCTGCTACACTTGCATCAAAATATTACCTAACAAATCAAGCTTGTCCTTCGAGAAAGTCGCCTGATATTAATATTTAACAGCTGTACTTAACGTCTCAAAAACGTAACAGACATTGCATCATTACTGATCAAGTTGGTCATGAAAACACTCTGGCCCAACAGATTCCGTCATTCTTACGAACTTAAAGTGAGCATCAAGCTATCTGACAGCAGTTTCGAATGATATCTCCTACAGAACATTATTATTGACATGACTTTTTGACTTCCACTAGGTTAACTATTGAGTATTTTCTTACCCATTCCTCTAAAGTCAGTTTGGGGATCTGTTCCTTGAAAGCCAATATCTCCCCACTGCTTGCAAACTCTTTCTTTAAGTGGAGTGTGTGGCATCATTAGGTTCCAAAGCTTAAGATGCAAGGAGTAAATTCAACATAAATTGTTTGTGCTTGATTTGCTTAATGTAACTAGACTATTTCCAAGTTCCAAAAACTCTCATTTTCAAAACGAGGGCAAGTGCTCAACCTTTCTTGTGTAAATGAGTTTTATTATTTTTACCGGGAGTGGGGGTACTCCTGGGAATTTTAGGCGGGGTGTGACGCCCGGTTCTTCAAATCCTGACCCGATTTCAGACCAAAAAATGTAATTTTCCACACCCGTTTTCAGTCCTGGCCTTAGCTTTAGGCAGAAATTGTTGTTATCATTACTTAACTTAGAGTGCAAACAAAAAAAAAGTATTCTAATACATTTTGAATTCACATATTTTTCTTTCTTTCTTACTCATTTGGAATTGAAACGATAAATACCTTCATACACGCGGTAGTTCCCTTGAAAACCATACCCGATTCCAGACCAAAATGGGCAAAGTGTATACCCGTTTTCAGACCAAAACGGCACAAAAACCCTACCCTATGGGGCGGCATATACCTATATGGTTTATTCATGGGAGTAACCTCTGCAGGTATTTGTATGAGAATAAAAAATAATTTTCTCTTCAAAGGCTCTGCACTTAGCCTAATTTTGGAACAGATGCTTGGGCAGCTCAGAAATGGCCAGTTATCCTCTGTGGTATAACAGAGGAAACTCTTGGAAATTGGAATTAGTAAATTAGTTTGACATCATGTGCATAAAGAATATAATATTACATGTAAATGCTTTTGTCAGCAGAAAGCTAGAGGAAATATTATAAACTAAGATACCAATACCAAGAACTACACCAGGAACTTAAAAGTACAGTAAGATAGCCAATATAAATGAAATTAAGACTAATTTAAGAGACACAAAGCATGTACCTGCATTAATCGTTTCTCGTGAGAGGAATTTTCTGATGTATATGCTTCCTTTCTTAGCTGTTCAACCTCATAACAAAGATCATTATAGCCACATATCTGACTCAAACAAATGAACATGGAATCTACAAATCTGGAAAATTAATTCACAAATACAAATGAAAATTTGTAACCTTCACCACTGATATTGATTAATCATTAAGAGTATTTTACACCTGATCAAAAGAGGTGGAAAATTGTAAAGTACTATGCTAGGTGGAAGAAACATGTCTCTGCCACTGTCCTTGTGGGGCTATGTACGTATCTATATACATGTCTATAAAATGTATGGGTGTATTTATTTATGCACACATACTCTGATGCACTTGTAAATAACATGGGATAATAACATAACCCTTATAACAGTAATATTTTAATACTTACACACTTTCTTGTGCTCTGTCGATTTTCTTCAATGTGATGATCAAAGTAAGAGCTTCTTGGATGTTTACATTAGTTTTTTCAACTAGATCATTAAGTTCCTGTAACGATATTTAATTTATAAATATTATCAGCCACATCGATCACAATACATTATAGCTGAAAACTGAAACTGTAGCTGGACAAAAATATTTAACATACAGACACATACATTAAATTTTTAACAAAACTTTCCTGTGCTTCAAAATTATGAATGCAGCAGCATCTCAAGCAAGTAACAGGAGACATGAGGTATTTTTCTTTCAGCAAAGCAGCTTGGTGATAATTTTTTTATTAGCTAAGGGTGCTTTCCAGTTGTCATCTGGAACTGACCATGCAGACTATTCCCATCGTAATGAGAATTTCAAAAGAAGATATCCAGCCAGATCAGTCACATCTTACATAGTGTGCACGGATGAGATGGTTATTCCACAAAAACCCTTGGGAAAAACCTATTTCATTGTCAAAATGGCTGGTCTAGCCATGAACCGGTTAGCCAGTTGTGACTTTTGGAAAGTGCTGTAAGATTTGTTTGGGTCTACACTATGTTCAGTTGCTTAATTGAAATAAATATGTAGTGAACTAACCTTTGTTCTGGATTGCCTCAAGGACTTTTCTGGTGAGCAAAAAATATCACAGAATTACAAAGAGTGTTTGATACATGTATCTCTTTTCAAGAAAAATCTAACTGCCAATATCAAACCCTTTTAAATTTTGTATTTCTGAGGAGTTATCACCTAACACAATAATACAAGCCAAAAGAATATTAAAAACTATATATTACTGACAAGAAACACAATTCTAGCAGTCTGTCCAACAAAGAAATGAAATCAAAATTTTATGCTTTGTTAAGCTTACCAACTTTGCATGTCCTCTGTGCCCCATGTCTAGTTTTATAACAGATCCTCTGTAACTCACATTGTCCCGTGGATAAATGGAGAAGTAACTTGACAAGTCGCCGATACCAGAAGAAAAAGGAAAGGTACTTCCACATATCTGCCATAATTATCACTTCATCTGCTAGCTCCTACAGTGTTAAAAAATGCAAAACCGTAAATAAAAAGCACTAGGAAAAGGATAAAAATTTGGCTTGTATAAGAAGCCTGTAAAGTTAGCTTCAAGATCAAAGAAGATTAAATAATAACCAGTAGAACATTTCCTTTCATCGAAATGCCTATATGTTAAGAGTAAGAAATAAAACCATTTTGCCCCTGAATAGAATGCTGGTTTTTCAATAACCAGGTCAGCTAATATATCTATGTAGAAAAATATCTGATTTTCTCAAAAAATTTGATGACAGAGCATTCCATTAAATTGAAGCATATCTCAACTGACTCTGAAGAGTACATGTAGATCCTAAATAGTTTATGGATAGTTATATATCACAGGTTATAATATAGTACTACAGTATCTAAAACTATAGTTGTCAGCGATATCAATAAAAAATGCCGCTATGCCACTGGGTAATACTTTGGCTGAATCTCCAGCCATGATAATGTTTACGGTCACCCTTGACATTCAGCAAAACATTTCAAAACATATACAGAGCAGAATCTTTGACTTTCGAACTCTTGATTTCTTAATGAACCTCCAGATTAACTGACATCCTTTACCCAGTCAAAGACAGTAAGTAATTTAACCCCTGATTTTTCAAACCTCTCTATAATGATATTATGTAATTAGCCAATTGACTTATTGTACCCATCAGGTTTGAAATGAGTGGCATTCTTCTCCTACCGAGAGCTGCACGGTCATCTTCTAAGCTAACTACGTCATTTTTAATGAATGCAATAAGAATTTTTTTCTGGCAGTGATATTTCAAAATGTATCCACTACAGGTATATATGTTTGTAAAAGATGAATTTCATTACAGATGTGTGTAATAGTCTGAAGGTATTTTGTAAACCACTCTCCTGTTTGTGATTTTAAACACTACAATATTTATCACTGCAATAATTATTACTTAAGTTAGTGACTGTATGAATATTAAAGTCAGGCAGCTTGCATTTCGCCTGAGAACACAAAACAACCTGTGCAAAAAGCTTTGACTTGAAGATGTCCACCTCAGCTTTTCGCAAACCAGAAAACGGCTTAATTTCCCTTCCAAAAGCCTTTGAATAGAGCCAAACGATCAAAATAAAAGAAAGCTTAATCGTACCATGATACTGCTGAGAAAATAACGTTGGACGCCTTGACAACGCGCTTGATAAGAACACAAATGATGTGACTGGCTAGCTAGTAGTGGTCCACGGTTACGCTAACTTTCATAATGGGGAACTTCTCTTTAACACCTCCTTGATGCTGACGAGATTTCGGAAATGGTGTACTAAAACATGCAAGGCTCGTCCTGATACAAATATGTAAGCACGCAAACATCCACACCTTTATCGGAATACCTCGGATCAATCAGACGCTTCTGGGATGACTGATAACATCTGGTTTATAAGCTTAGGTGCTGCAGCCCAGACAAGGCAACAGAGTCGCTGTTTAAAACCTTATCGGACACTTAACACTATTTCTAATCAATCAATAAAATAGCTATAAGTTTAACCATAAAACACAATTCGTAAACATCCATGTTTCTTGGAACAGGTCATCGTTGCTGATGGTCATGAGGTCAGACTGGACGGTTTTGCTAACCCTCTGACTAGCTTGTGCCGGCCGGAAAAGGTTTGGCCGTAGGTCGTTTAGTAAGGGATTATCACCATTAAGGTAAACAGATTTTTGAAAAAAAGAACTATTTTTACCTCCTATGACGTAAATTATTTCCTGACCGCTAATTAAAACGAACCAAGCCCATCAAAATAACTTCGTCCAGCTGAATCGACCCTTCTCCGCAGAACGAAGAAATAGGAGTCAGTTCCTGCATTCTTATCATGAAGTAAACAATGCATTGTCTGCTGACCAGTATCCTCGACGTCAAAGGGCGGGGACTTACTCTCAGCGGAGGGGTCGGTCGCTACTAGTGAAAGATTTCTTTTAATCAAGCAGCTTTGACAGACCAATTTCAGCAAAATGCATGGGAAAACTATCCTTTTAAACTTGAGCCTATACTCTGCCCCCGCTAAGTCATGCTTGGTGAGGAACTTTCCACAACTCTCACTGGACCCACCCTTCCCCGCTACCACCTTCCCTCAGGTTCACGTAAAAGTCAGGCGGGGGTGTAGTGCTTTTCACCGATATCTCCTCCAAAGGGACACTTATAAATTGAAACACATAATGTCTAACAAATCAGCCCCAAAATAATTCACTGACCATAAATTCCCACCAATTTTCCCCATGATCTAAACCTGAAGGAAACGTAGCATACCGCGGTTTTCTCTAATCATTTGTTTTCAGGTGAAAGACTCGCGAAAGATTCCGTAATGGGGCTGACCCAAAACGTCCAAAAACCGAAGGACCCTGTTATCCCGTCAATGGAAGCTGCCTTCCTGGAGAGCTCTCTTTAGTGTGGAACTGTGAAGTCTTGCAAGGACCACTTGGACAAACAACAGCGAAGAGAACAGGATTTTGGTATGGCAGGATCAGCAAGTATAGAGTAAAATTTAATTATCCGTCCATAGCTGTCCGGTGGCCATGAATTTAGAGCTTTCGGTTACCGAACCATAGGATTTCACCCGTCCTCAGTATTTAAAGTTAGAAATAAATTAATAGGATAAACAGTAGCCAATCAGTTATCAGTTTTGTATGGGAAAGTCTTCTTAATCTTGTCTGGTCCTCAGTGTGGTCCTGTCGTTAAAAACAAATACAAATCATTATCACGGTTCTGAAAATGTTTTCAAAGCCTTTGAAGCTCTTATCTTTGCCACAGTTTTTTAAAGTAGCGGCAGTATCCCTTGATACACTGTCTTCATTTATGATCTTCTTAGGCCGGCTCACTTATCCTGACGTTGCAACTGTGTGACTGGTCACATAACGAAGAAGGCCAATCTGTGCGCAAGGTATGCCTTGCGTTGACTGTGGTGATTAACTTGTTTAATAGAGTCAAAGAACAATGTAGACAGGTCTTTTCTTAAGAAGAAAGAGTAGGTGGAAAGTTTGGCAGATCATCAGTTTTGGCCGGAAGAGTTTCGGATTTAGGGATTATTTTTAAGGATTTGAGTTAAGTGCAGTGGATTACGGAATAATGTCCTCACCCTGTTCACTATAAGCAGTACATAATGCGAAATTCTTCGCGCTTCTCTGTGGGGGGTTATCTTTAGTGAAAAAAAAAAAAAAGAATCCCGCACATATAAATTAAGATTAAGGACTTGACAAATTCCTTGTTAAAGCCCAAAAAATGCATACTTGTATTAACTTCCTGTCACCAGAAATAGAAATTCCTCGGCTCTGAGATAGTTAAAAATATTTTCGTTTTGGCAACCCCCACATTTTGTCTCCCATGGGCGCGCACGCTGTTATATATAGGAGCTGACCATAACAATTAGTGATGACGTCGTAATGTATGGGCCAATCAGAAGTGGAGTTACCCACCTACGGCCAGCGAGTCTTCGTTTTATTCGTTAACAAATAAAGAATTCCCGCAACGTACTCCTTCATCATGGATTGTCATTGGGCGTTGGAGATACTAAGCGCAGTTGACGTCATAGAGAACATGTTAGCTTGTTTGACTGTATAAAAAAGAAGACTAACCGCAAAAATGTTTCCTCGCAACTCTTAAAATCCCCTCAAAATTTTACATGCAATTGAACGTTTTAGGAAAGTGAAAACTGCATGTTCTTATTTTTCTCTCCATCACATTTTTGAATCCGAAAAGTTTAGGTTTTCTTTTTCTACGAAAATTAGCCTAACATGGGGAGTAAAATGTGAGAAAATAATAAACCCAGAAAATCGTAGGGAATTTATTACATAAGCTTCGAAAATTGTACCCGAATCTGGGAAGCAAGCAATCGAAAATTACAGGCGATATTTGTACTTCTCTGAATAGATAATTCACAGAAAACAGTCTTTGGGTGCCCCTGATTATGTGGGTCTCATACTAAACGGACTCGCACCCAGCCATACCCGTTTTGAAACTAGGCAATAGAAATACAACGCTGGAACTTGCTTTCAATCCTTGCTTCTAAAATTGAATAGAAATACACACTCAAAATTCACTAAGGAGTTGGTTTTGGCCAGATTTTGGTAGCGTCGGTGATGTCGAAGGTTGGTCGAATCTCAGTTCCAAAGTTTGGTTACAGTGCACTGATGTACTTTTTCGAGTAAGCAAACTTTCAGTGTAATAGTTGCCGTACCTTAATTGATTGTTTACGCAAAGGAAGTTTGAGGTGAGATAAAGTGCTGTCTCCCGCTTCCTTCCCTTACCCTAACCCCTCCTCCCCTATTCATAAACAAGTCTTTTTTAACTTGAGCGACTGAATTCAATGCGCGGAGCAACGCAGAAAATCTGCACCAGCATCATACCCTTTTTGGTTCTTTCATGTGTTTATCGTCACTTTAACTTTGGCGCGGTCTGTAAGAATTCAAATCTGTTAAAATATGCCTATATTTGACAACTTGAGCGAGTTGTATTGGCGATTATACTCCCTTGCGGCAAGAAAGAATAACCTTAGCTGAACTAACTTAGACCGCGTGCGGTCCTTAGAGCCACACCCTCAAGCGTGCTATCAATCTACTGTGACTCAAAGGAAAAACAAGAGACTGCTCTAACACTAATTTGCCACTTTGTTGCTTTCGCTGCAGTCGCCACGGTTGCTTTGAAAGCTTACGTACGAGTGAGATTTATCACCGTGCTACACCATCATAAAAAATCGCCGAAAAATAATTAATCGCAATAACTATTTCAAGGCAAATTCAAGGGGAGTCATACACTCAATCCGTGGAGGGAAATGCATGACAGAAGAAACCCATCACGCCCAAGTAACTCTGGAGTACTTGCAGTTAAATCAGAGCCTGACTTGATATTAACTTCGAAATCATTTTGTTTGAGCTAGATATTATGTCAAACACTGGACAAATTATTTTGTCACAATCTTAGACATTCTCTTCTTGTTTCGATGCGTGTTTCCACACCACAGGTCGCAGTAATTACGGCAAAGGTAAAAAATGGTTAAAACGCACACGAGGAATGGGGGTCAGTTTGGAGAGTGACCTGTTGCAGCTGTAAAGGGAGGACGACAGCATAATCTATAACAAACTGGAACGCTCGGAAGCACCCCTTTTTGATGCATGTTGAGGACAACAACACTAAACAACGAAAAAAAGACGACTGGAGATTAAAATCAAAACATAACGCCCAATGACAGGAAAAAAGATTTGTAACCATAACGAACGTCACGCAGCTGTATGTTTTATTTTACGGATAAATGGTGAAAGACTAACGTTAAAAACAAAACGCCGAGCAAAGATGTAACCAGAAGAAGTTTTATTTGTTCTAAATACAATGTTTAAAGCCTGAATTAAACCGCGGCTGCCTAGCTCAATCAGTAGAGCGTTTGCATGACTTTAGAGCCTTAAGGTCGTGGGTTTTAAATCCTGGAATCGGACCAATACTGAGAAATGAAGATACTGCCTTTGCCCTGCAAAAGGCTAGACTTTCACTTGGCTCGGATGACTTCGTCGTATATAATGGCGCTCCTCCCGTCTCCATTAGGAGAAGTAAAAGTGGTGTCTTCAGTTAGTTAGTACTTTTGTGCCGACATACTATTACAGGAGCCTACCACTGACAATCAATTAAAGTGCTTTGCATTTTTTTAAATCCCCTTTTGCTTCTCCGATACCGTGTTAGGCAAAGCATCACATCTTTCTTTGAACAATTTTTTGTAATTTTATCAACTCAAACCCGATGCAACGATGCACGATTCTACGATTATTACAATAGTGAAAAAGTACTACAATTCAGAAATGATTAAAAGGTGAGCAGCTGCAGAAAAATGAGAAGAATCAAAATAAGGAGAGACACGCACGGGGGCACGAAATATATTAGTGCTTCTGGTTGACCCGAGGAAATGCAAGAATTTCATGAAATTGAGGAACAGTACCTATTTCCTATTGTAGCGAGAATAGTTACACATCTGAGTAAACCTTTTATTTTATTTAGTACCACAACACATTTTGAATCCCGAAACCTTTTTACAGGTGAAGCAAAATTACACTGGCTGACCATGATAAACGGTTGTGGCCGGGTGAGCTGATTTTTTTGACGAGAACTTGTGATTAATAGGTTAATAAGAGTTGGTATAATGCTTATTGTCTCATTATATTTTGGAGCAGCTGTACGTTTATGCGAGGCCAGCTGAACATTACTGGCTGAGTAACATCAACAAGAACTGAACGCTGAGCATCTCATTTTATTCGAGAGAAATTTTTAATAGACCTACAACCCTGGACAAAATAGTTGGAACACTTCAACCAAAAAACGTGAAGTCCAAAGACTACTGCAAAGCCAAGAGATCATTCTCTCTTGGCAAAGCTGATCATTACAACATATATTGCTTTTTCATTACAATATTTCGGCTGGCCATACCCATAAGGCCTTCTTCAGGTTTAACAGATGTGTATTACATCTGTAAACCTGAAGTAGGCTGGTATAGTATGGCCAGCCGGAATATTGTTATGCAAAAGCAATATCCGTTGTTATTATCAGCTTTGCAGTAGTCTTCGGCCTTCTCGTTTTTTGTTCTTGATATTTTAGCTGATTAAATCTCTATTCTTATAGAGATCCAACGTTGACAACCGGTAGGATCTTCGTCCATGGTTTTTGCTGTTAATTTTTTTATCATTGGAACACTTGGTCGATTCAGTCGACCCTCGCCTCCGCCATCACAAAGTTGAAAATCGCTTAAGTTTTCCCAAACTGCGCTTTTTAACAACATTGCAAGGGGGCGATTGGACGGCTGTGTGCATTCCCAAAGGTACATAGTGTAGGTGTAAAATTGCTCAGTGAGAACTGGGTATCACATCAAATCACTGTACAAAAGCAAAAGTAAAGATTAACGATGATGATGATGATGATGATGATGGTAATTATGTTCGTGATTATCATACTAATAATATATTGATCAAACTTTGATTCATAGTAATTAACGAAATCAATACTACTATCCTAAGTAGTCCAGTAAGGTTTGTTGCGTCGCTAGTGTTTTATATTTGACGTCCCATACTGAGTCAGCCTTGAGACGGGGAGGGTTTATATAATACGAGAAGACAAGAAAAGCTATATACTATTTTGCAGCTAGAGCAAAGTCAGAACTTTCCTACAGCTCCGGCTGGAAAACGAACTTGGAACTAGTGAGCTAGCCAGGTGATTCCCTGTTATAGAAGAGGCCTCAGTTTCCCCTGGTATTCGGCGGGCAGGACAACTTCATAAGACAGCAAGAACAACATGATTATAATACCAGAACTAAGCTAAATTTCAGACTTCCAAGTGTCAAAAGGAATTGGGGCAAACAACGGACTGCATTTTATGCCATCAAGGATTTTATAACGCCCTTAGCTAGGCAATCAGATAATTCGAGAATCTAAATATTATTAAACATAATCTTTTTAAATTTGTACTTTAAATGAATTTGAGTTAATATCTTCTACATTTTAATAGTTTTTATATATTTTAGCTTTTTAACGTCTTCGCGAATTGTGTGCATTTTGTATTTTTTTTTAATTTTATGAGATCCTTTTTGTAAGCCATATTTTATATGAAAAAGTTATCTCAATAAAATTTATTATTGTTATCACTATTATCATTATTATTATTATTATTATTAAAGAGACCTCTGCCCGCCGAATACCAGGTGATAGCATAAAGAGACAGCCCAACCATGAAACAAGACAAACTAACAGTGAAGAGAGACCTGCTGACTTCACTCGCCAAAGGTTTTTACAACTTTGGAGCTTTTCTTCAAAATGCAGACATTAAAGACCAAAAAAATGGTTGTCGAAAAGGGCTTGATTATTAAATTGGGCTCAAGCCCTTCTAAATTTTTATTTGAAAAACCGTTTATTAAGGCATCTGAGACACTTGTTCTAAAAAGAAATAGTCTCAACTTTAAAAAAATATAACCAGGATATGATTTTTCTTCCAAAACGATAGTCCATCCCATTGTTCCGCGATTATATCTTAGATTGGTATTTTCTTGCTGACTATTTTTAACCCTGCAATCAAAAAGATAAAATCCGTCTCAGCTGTCTAAACGTTGCAAACGTTACGTGGCGGCAAATAAACGTTAAACCTAAAACGAAAACTACAAACCATTGTGCAATTGCTAAAGGGTGACGCTCACCCGTGGTCCTTCGTAGTGATTACATTTTTATCACGTTCGAAAGTTTCGATCCCATGGCGAGTTTTTGTCCTTTATTTGGGTCACTTATAAATAAACTTCCTTTGTTCAATTTTGCAGGAGTCAGTGATTAATTTCAATTTCTATAAAACAGGATTGAGCCTGTTGTTCAAATCTCACGAATCAATATTTTCTCGATGCTTTTAATTTCTGTGACAAAGAAAAACGGTGATTCGCATTACTCGTTAAAGATAGCGAGAAAGTGAGGCGATTGTTGAAACACTTCCTCTTGGATACTTAATGAGAATAGTTGCCTCCGAAAAAATTCAGGTGTCAGGGCAGTGTTGAAACGAACACACTAGTTTCCGTGGCTTTGTAATTTCTTGTGCGTGACTTTTGATTGGCTTTTGATAGGTTTTGATGCTTACCCAAACATGGACAAGCCAACATGACTTCCGGTGACCGAATATAAATAAGTGGCAACGTACCAAATGTCGTCTTTTGGACTGCTGTATTTGATGAAGAGCTAAGCAAAGAAATGATATAACGCCAGGGGATCAAAACTGTTCAATGAAAACTTTCCACGTACTATTAATGAGTTCGTAGGTCGTGAATTATTTATGCTAATATATTTCAAAGTGATCACGTGCTCTCGCGAGCACCTGTGCTCCAAAATCCCATGAGGCCAATTTGCGCAAGTTTAGTTTGTGTATGAGAATTCCACCTAAAAGCTATAGGCCTTCGAACCGCAGGCATGGCCGCCGCACTTGGAGTGATTTTATTTACCTACATTAGCTTAGTCTTTCTAGTTACCCATAGGATATGTATGATGCAGTGTAATCCGATGTCCAGACCTGGTAAGAGTCGTTAAAGTGAAAGAACAGAGGCAGTGTTGTTGTTGGTTGCGCGCGATTGTTCTCCCGGATCGATCGTGGCAACGGCTGGATCGGGGAACTTTATAACTCGTTTATATTTAGAGTCTGTGGTTTAAAACTCTAATGTGTTAAACTTCAACATTTGTAGGAGTATACCAGGGAGATATGGGCGATATGCGGTTCTCTGGAAGCCACGTACAGGTAAACGTTTGCTGTCAAACTTCCTGAAACGTGGGTTGCGTTAGGTTTTTAACTTAACTTGTTATGTTTTGCAATGCAAATAGAGAACTTGGAACTGTGGCGTTATAACTTTTGCTAGGTCAACTCACCACCTTGCTTTACTCAACCGGAAGCCAAGTCGACTCTTTGCTTGCATCTTCACGTTATTTGAGTTTGTTAATTGTCGACAAACTACAGGTTACTCCAAGTTGTATTTTATGACGGTGCATGTCTATTTGAACACTGTCAAACTACAGTTGCGTTTTCGTTTAATAACCCGGTATTATTTTGTTATCTTCCTAGGCCGATGGCTCACATCATAACAGAAGGTACAGTAAAGTAGAAAAATATGGTTTATAGTCAGTAAGAAAACAAAGAAACGATAAATTTCTACTAATAGGGTGGATAGGTCTAGGAACCAACACCCCCATTCTCATGTTGAAACTGTCTAGTCGCCCACGTAACACGAGGCTTTCTTGCTGCAGTTGTTTTTAGGATCAGTTTGCCTATTGTTCAAGTGTTTAAGTAAGCAGTGAGTGTGTTTACTGGTTTCATTAAATCCCTAGTCTTTACTTAATTCCTTTCTGCGAAACTTGTTTCTGGCCTCAAATGACACGCTCTTGATTCTTCGTGACAATATTTTATTACGGTCATATTAAAACCGTACGTTCGTATATTAACCGTGTCATCGCCGTATAATTCTGCGCTTAGCTTCAATTTAGTCCGTTTGAACCGCTATAATGTAAGTCTTATTGCAAGATACTGTAGACTTTTTCTGGTCTTGCTTGCGTGTTTCTCGAGAAAAGCGAAATGTGAATGGACTTTAGATCGATCTCTTTCTGTTTAATAATTTTTGGGGGTGACTAGTTTGTTATTTAGCTTATCATGTGTTGTATCTTCCGTTGGTCTGCTGTAGTAATGTACTGGTATTCTTTTCTTTTATCTCTTATTCCTAATTTTAACGTTTAATTTTACCAGCGTAAATTTCATAGATGACAATTTTAAATCTTTTAAGGTGACAGGAAATGTAATGCTAATCAACAGAAATAGTGATTGATCAATACTTTTTACAATCGAATTGACAGTGAAATTCTCGTGCTAGTATTTGACCTGATCAATCTGACTCTTGAACCTTTTAAATATTTTCTGAGGGAGTTTTTGTGTTTTAATGTTTTCATAGTTCAAACGATGATAATCTAAACACTCCGGATAGTAAGCAATAAAAATTATTGCTACCTTATTATGGAATCTTATTATGTTTTGACTGGAAAAGTTATATATATATTTTTGGTTTCTTCTTTTCAGGGGGCAGCCCAATATTAGACATATTCGGTTTGAGCCATCATATTTAGATTTCTACGAACAGTAAGTTGTAAATTAATGTATTTTTTTCTCTTCAGTGTATTGTATTTAAAAACGCAGGTTGTACAAGATTATGTTGTACAACTTTTAATTTGTCATCTGATCAGTTTTGGTCACTGGTATACCCTGTGATATCTTTTGATTATCACATGTTTGGAGTACTAAAACTTTTAAGATGAATACTGTGAGATAGATTTAACAGTGCTTCTGGTAACGATATTACAATTATTATTAGACTTTGGACTTTGGAAGAGTTTCCATGTTCAAGTGAGAATAAAACTAAAGTGCATTTTAAGTACTTTCATTAAATCAGTGAGTTCCAGTAACTATTGAGTCATTGTGTTAGGCTAGGGATGATTAACGATAAAAAAACTCACTGACTTTATATAACTAAGTAATGCAAGAGTGAAAGTTGCACACATTTGCATAGCTGGTAGCTGCATGTTAGCAGTAATGATAAATCTAAAAAAACTCGGCTACACTTGTTCACGTGATGTACTTGACGTTAACTTGATGCAAAATTCAGTGACCTGGAAATGAGAGGCAGGTTAATTTAATATCTTATCCCTCTTAGTGGATTGTGTTCTTTGTGTGCTCTGATTGACAAAAAAATATTTGGACTTGCTTGGTAACATAATATTGGCTCATCACATCCAGGCCTTGTTTTTCAATTCAGATTTTCACATAATTTGTAAGTAAAGATTGGCATGTGCCCAAATAGTTATATCAAATTTGTTGTGTGTGTAACTGGTGTGAAGGGAATTGATAAGCCTGAATGCTCTTGTGGTTCTATATTTTCCTTCTTTGAAAGTAGCCAGGAATCCCCCCCCCTGCCCCCTGCCCATAATGCATCAGTCATTTGAAACCCTGGCCCCCAACCCCAGGGGCATAGCAGGAAATAGCGGGGATATAACACGGCCAAGGCCAGGATTAACACACTTTTAACAGCATGTCAGCCCTGGGGGCGTTGGAATTAATACCTGTTTTACTCAGGTCATGAGCGGGGATTTAACGGCACATACGCATTTTCAGAAGCGGGGACAGAAGCAGGGATTTAACAGGGGCCTCCAGGGGCTTATTTTCCGAGGGGGGATTTAATGGAAGGTTTTTTGCATCATGAGTTTGGGGTGCTTATATTTGGAGGGGCTTCTACACGGAGGGGCTTATTTTCGGAAATTTACGGTATTTTCGGAGTTGGAAAACAAATCCAGCTAGTGGTCAGGGTGGGACTTGACCCTTCTGATTGCAAGTCTAGCACTCTGCTTGGCCATGCTACCTCACAGAGAGGTACATAAATGTTTTCTAATCAGTATTTGTACATATTATTCTTTAAGGTCTGTGGGTATGCCAAGCATACGAACAGTAGCTATTATAAACCCACATACAGAGCAGACTCTACAGCTGCAATCTCTATCTGGGAGTACTGTACATTTCCATGCTTCTTTTTTTCAATCAAAAGTAAGTGGTGATGCTGATACTAAGTTCTTGTATGTAGGACCAAAACAGCGAGTGAAATGTGCGAGTGCAGAAAATTTAATCAGTGATTGAAAGAATGAGGCATGTAACAAAATAGTGCACTGATTTTACTGAAATGCAATGGGCTGGAGGATATTTTCTGCAATCCTGTACTTGTCCTTTGAATGGTAGAAAAATAGTCTGTGAAAACAGCTGTTTCTCCTTGCTGGTCGCTGCTGGGGATGTTTCGCGCGGAGCACCATCTGCGACTAAGTGGCAGGAATTCCATACTGATGATGGAAATCAATGTTTACATAATAAATGCGGTAGTCATGGGGTTCCCATTGCAAATTTGTTCAATTTTACTTTTCTCCTGACCGATTTTGGTAAAGTGTTGTGTTCATCTGCGAACGAGCTCCAGCAAAAATAAATGCTTCTTCTAGAGAAGACTATATTCCTCAAATTTTGACTGTTTTGTTAGAGATTCATCATGTTTTCATTTGACCTTTGTAGCCTTTTGTCTTTTGTCTGGCATTCATAAACAATAGCTAAAACAATGTAACTACTCTGTCGACCAATCAGTGCTTCTGACTGGATTCTGGACAGATTGTAACGCCGTCAATACGGAATTTCTGTTGCTGAGTCGCAGACGTTCCTCCCCGCAAAACGTCCCCTGTTTTCGCAGGCTAGTAGAAAAGATAACCAGGGATGTTACTAAGATTTTAAGTTGCCGGATAAATACAACAAGTAGGTGGGTAATCAAACAGCTAGGGATTTCCTTTGGCTCTATTTTTCTTCTATTTTCCTATGAAAGTAGCCAGGGGCCATGTTCATAGTAGCCAGGGAAAATCCCCGGCCCCTGGCTCTTCATGACATCCCTGGGTAACTTGTTTGCTTTGTGGTCTGATTTAAACAGCCTTTTTTTAAATCAAACTACAGTCAGCTCTCTTTTAACGGACACTTCACTAAGACAGACACTCAGAGAGTTGATTCCTGCCTTTCTGTATTCCTTTAAGTTGACTCTGTATGAGATGGACACATTGTTCCTGTCCCAAAGGTGTCTGTCTAGAAGGAAGTTGACTGTATTCTTAATTTGAAGCATGATTGCCATGATGCGTCAGTGATTTTGTTACCTCTGTGTCCTGCGTCCCTGATGCATAAAAAGAGGCAAAATAATTCATTACATGCGTCCTGTGGGATGCAAAGATCGATTGATTGATCGAGCTGAAGATGTTTTTGTAGAATATCTTGTTTGTGTGATTTCTGTGACTGTTCTTGTTGCTGTTGTTTAATGAGGTATATTTATTTTAGTCTTTGTTGTGCTTTATGATAGGAGTTTTTTATTCCAGTAAACTGTATTACAGAGTTTTGAAGTCTGTCTTCAGATTAATTGTCTGCATGGTTACATAAAGGCCCCCAAAAAATTCAGTTTAAGAGTCATTGTTTCTTGATCTGGAACCCAATGACTCTGGACTGGGACTCATGATTTGTTTTGCAAGATGAGCCCCAGGACTCACCATAACTATTGGTAACAAAATCACTGATGCTTTGCAAAATACCTTCAATTGAACTTGTGTCTTTTTGTCTACAGGTAGTTCAAGCATTAGGAAATACAACATTTGAAATTGTGTTTTTAGCAAGACTAGTTGGAAATGTAGAAAATACATTATTTATTCACACCTCCAGAGGAGTTTATCCTTATCAGGTAGATTAAAAAGTCCTGAATATTAATACACTGGTGAAAATGTGCATATTAATTGTGGTGAATGATTTTATTATGATCTGTAATTCCTCACTGCAAAGAATTCCTTTCTTGACTTCCTGTTGTGCTAACTCCCTGTTTTTCTATCATTTTACCTTCAGGGTCGAAAAATATTGTTGCTTTTTTCACAAAATGACTGTATACTTACGTGCCCTTGATATCCATTGTACACTTTCTCTAAAATGACAGGTGTTAATGGCATTTTGCATTGTAGTTGTAGCTAACTTATAAAAGCTTTGTTAGTACAAGTAGACAGGGTTCCTACAGAGTCTGTTACTCATCATCAAATCCCATTCAATCTAGCCAATAGCCAAGACACATAATCACAGAGCAAGAGGTTTCAGAATTCTGTTATGTCTGCATTGCACGATGGTTACGGTACATTTGCAGTGCATCATAAAAAAAGCTTGTTTGACTATTTTGGTAACCTTGAGTCTTGAAAAATAAACAATAATTGTTTATTGTTTTGTTAAAAGTCTGGAAAAAGTCTTGAATTTTGGATGCAAAATCTGTATGAACCCTGAGTGGAGTTATTTGATGATGCTCAGCTCTTGGTCCTTTGATTCTTATCAGTGTCATGCTTACTGTTTATCATTTCAGGTGTTTGGAGTTGGGGTTCCAAACCCATACAGATTGCGTCCTTTTCTAGGGGCAAGAGTACCCCTGAACTTTAGTTTTTCTTCTCTCATAAACATGCATAATCCATATAGTTTTCCTCTTCAAGTAAGTAGTTTTAAGAAATTTGTATTATAATTAATGGGTGCTAATGTGGTTTGTTTTTCGCCAAAGTCACTCATGATTTGCCACTGTTTGGCTTTACAGTTCAGTTGGCAGAGCGACAGTAGTTTTAATTATGGTTGTAATTCCCACCAATACTCAGATAATTTTTTCCTTGCTTTGCATTTTTCCGTGATATCCTATACAAAGGCTAACTAATGGGGAAAATTTCAAGAATAATCTCTATAGTACTTAATTTTTTTTACTCAGAGCTATTATTCTTTGTGACACCATTCTTGTAGTTCATGTCTGTGTTTGTCATTGTTAGCAACTTGATTATACATGTATTTTTCTCCGACTGTCTCAGATTATAGAAATGTACTCAAGTGGAGGTGATCTACATTTAGAGCTTCCTTCTGGATTGGAGGAAGCACCACAAAAACACTGGGTATGCTGTTCAAACATTAATTTTTTTTATGTTTGGTCAACGTCTGTCAGACCTTTTGAAATGTTCTGAAAATCAAGGTTGTGACCTCATTATTGGTTGCTGTATCATCGTCTTGACCCTCTAGCACTTAAAAAAAGTTTTGCAAACTGTTAAATGAGTCAGCAAGTATTAGTTTTGTTGTCATCATTGTTGCCAAGACTTACACCACCATCACCATCAACATTGCCACTGTCATCATCATTGTCATCATCATCATCATTATCATCATCATTGTCCTCCTCCTCCTCCTCCTTTTCCTTCCCCTTTACTCCTTTTTGTGCTTATTCAGTCTAACTTCACACTTTCTATCTGCAAGTAAAATGTTTCTCTTGGCCTTTTGGAGTCATTGTAATATTACACATGCATCCAAGTCCTACTCTGCCAGTGCAAGTAGTTTGATAATATTGTGTGTTTCCTTACGCAGGAAATTCAACCATATGAAACAAAAGTACTCATGAGAGTAAGCTTTGTTGGTAGAGTCGCATCAAATCATACTGCTTTTATTCGCATCAAAGCTAGCCAGCCAGCACCTAATCAAGAGCTGCTGATTTTACCAGTTGAAGTGGAAGTCACAGCAGGTAATGAAGAACTGTGTTTTTTTGGATTTATTAAAGTGCTTTTTTTTAATATTCATTAAAGCTTTTGTTTTGGAAATTATGGAGGTTATCAAGTCCTGCCTGTAATGGTGTAATGAAGTGTGACATTTTCATAAAAGTTGTTTTGTTTCATTCCACAGCTCCTGGTCTCTTTTCTTCCACTGATATGTTAGACTTTGGAACTCTTAGAACAATGGGTAAGCTAGACAGCATTTATTACATACAAATACATGCATTTTAAGAAGTTTAGCGATAAAACCGAAAATGACATTGCGTTCATTCTCTGGATTTATATTTGTAGATGTTGTGGTTCAATTTCATCCGTGGTTAAATCTTATTTCCCTTTGTTTTGAGGTGTGGTAATGTATGATAATAATTAAGTTTGAAACAACGGAAAATAAAATTTAAACCAGGGATAAAACTGAACCATTACATTGACATACGGTAGTTAAGAGATCTCAGAGCAAGAAGAATGTGCTTGGTATGTTTTGACCAAATTAATATAGTCGAAGCTCTTCTTGTGACCACTCTCATAAGCGACCAGCCCTAGTTACGACCACCTTGTGAAACCCCGTTTGAACTGTGACTTAAACTTTGTCATGAAAAGCTCTCATAAGCAACTGCGCCCATTTTTAGGATTACCAAACTGGACTTTTCCTTTGTTTTTAAGCTCTCGTAATTGACCATTCAGCAACCACTCTGAGTCTTACTCATATAAATCAACACTTTAATGAAACTTTGCACTGCACTAATGGTGATATAAAGACACTCTTTAAACATTAGCTTCTTTTGTTTTTCTTTATGAATTATTTATGAGTTTCTTAAGTTCTCGTAATCGACCACCATCTATTGTTTTATCATATGGTCGCTTATGAGAGCTCAATCTTGTAAGCAACTAGCTTTAGTTACGACCACTTTTTCGAATTTTTGTGGTGGTCGTTTACACGAGCTTTGACTGTATCTTGAATTGGTCTTCATCAGCGGTTTGAATGGCAAATTAGTGATGGTCATGTGATCACATTAAGCAATTGGTGTCAAATGTGAATGGCAGCTTTAGTCCCTTGTCCCTTTTCAGTGATGATTGTCAGGCATTTATTTCCCTCTGATATCTATCACTGAACTTTTGTCACAGTATCATTTGCAGTCGTGTGACCTTCACATTCAATAAGCTGACAGAGACCTTCATGTCTGGTCATTATAATAAAATAACAGGACAGAACTTTCATCTTGCTCTGCATTCTTTAGAATAATATCTAGGAATAGTGTAATAATGTGGCTACCTTTGTGAACATATTAGGTTTAGAAATTTAGGATTTAATATTACAATACTGCACCATATGGTACATTTCCTCTTTAAACCCATCAACAATAGATGAGCAATGAAAACTGCCCAGTAGCAAGAAACATAGCAGAATGACTTGACATCTAAAGCTGAGCTGTAAACACATGGGCCCCTGAATGCAACCCCTGGCCACCCCACATACCAACCCTTGGAGGGAAAACTGCTGACCAGCATTATTTCATTTTTTGACTTAGCCTAAATTGCATTTAGGCACATATAATATTATTATTATGCATTTTATGTTGTGTTTGTGAATCTTTGACAGATGAGCCCAAAAGTATAGGTTTATATCTTCTTAATGCTGGACACAAGCAAGTTCATATTTCAGTGAGTATTGCTACTTTTCAGTCTTGAAGTATTATTTTTCAGACGGGGGCTATAGATACCTGGTGTATGTTAATTCACTGACATTCTCAAGATTTCCACTCTTGCAATGAATGTTATTAGTAGCAGCAGCAACCCAGCATGGCCCATGTTGACATAACACATGTGTATTATGCATTTGATAAGATGCAAAGGTCATGTAATTTCTATGAGGTTTTCATCATCTTATATAAGGCACGTCTTATCTTAGAACAAGTGCTACAGGCTGTGCCTAGATAAGATGTGTCTTAACCAAGTCACACCTTATTTCACACAAAATGTGTCTAATTTTCCTTTCATAAATGTCCCTATTTTTGCACACCGTTGAGTTTCCCATCAGCATTATAATAATTATTATCATACTCATTGTAACAAGTATTTTTTTATTTCTTTTAAGGCAATATCTGTGGACCCACCAAATAACGCACTATTTATTAGTTTCACAGTAAGTAAACCATCTTTGTCGTCGCCTTTGGCGTTGTTAAAAACTGGTTGTCTTGATCAATGTGCAATAATTTAAGTTAACTGTTTTCTTTCATTTGATACTTAGCCAATGCTTTTAAAGCCAGGGACAAAGTATGTTAAAGTAGCTACAGCAACATATTCTGGTGAGGGTTAGATGATTGATTGGATTAAAATCACTTTGGTTAAACTGTTCAAAGCATCATAGAAAAAAATTCTGTTGACAATTTAAATCTGTTTTTCAAAAATAATGAACCTCTGCTGGCATTAATTTTGAATATTGCGAACTGGCAAGCTCACGCAGGGTTCGTAGATGTTCTCTTTGAAGTGACTGCATAGATTATATCATTTATAGATGGTATATTATTTTTGGTAGCCTTGGGCCTTTTCCAGTGTATCTAGTACTTTCTTTTTGCTGTTTTTGGTGAATAGAGAGCCGTAGAAAAACCTGTGTAAGAAATACAGTTGTCTCTCTCTTAACGGACACCTCCATAAGATGGACACCTCTGTAAAACGGACACTCAGAGCTGGTCCCTACCTTTCTTTACTCCCTTTATTTGACTCTCTATAAGACAGACATCTCTCTAAGGCGGACACATACTGCAGGTCCCCAAGGTGTCCGTCTCAGAGAGAGTTGACTGTATGACCTTTCATGGGGTCCTTGTACTGACATTTGATTATTAATGTTTTTGTGATTATTTTGTTAGCTTTCAATGTGAAGAGAAGCAGGCAAGCAAGTGGAAAAGTAATGATAAAAACCAACAGTAAAATAACACCAAGGCTAGAAATTCCATATCAAGTGAACATTCTTCAAGGGTGAGTTTGATAAATTAAATAGAATACTTTGGTATTTTATAGCATTTCTATCACCATTTAGATATGAAAATTAAACTTCCTTTTGACTGTTTTGTTCTTATTGTTATTGTTATTGTTGTTTTACTTTACCACATTTATGTGTGGAAATCTGGTCAAAGTCTTTTACACAAAGCAAGTAGTCTGGTTTCGGAGCCATTATTTCTATGTTAATGTGCTTTTTTGGTGAAAAATATTAGATAACAAAACAAAAAAAGTAAACAATTATTATTTTTTAGTCTCTGCTGCCACCTTTTTGCACATGTAAATCAGCCTTGAAAATACTATCAGGATTCACCCACCAGCTAGGCTGTCATAAACATCTCCTGCTGTGATATACTCTAAAATACTTTTATTTTCTATTAACAGGACAATAGCTTATTCTGTAAGCAAGACACGATTCTTTGTAGGAAAACCTCCATTTGTTCCTGTCATAAGGGAACTTCCTATCACAAACACATTTAGTTTCACAATGATTATTTATGATGCTGCTTTTCCGTCAGAGGTGGAAAGTGTATTTTCTGTAAGTACAGTTTTAGACAACTGTGATTTTCTTATATCAGATGTATTTCTTGAGTCATTCTGTACTTGGAAACCAGGGGCTGAAGCCCATCCTTAAAATTTTCCCAAAGGATTTTTCTCCATTTTCAATGGACAATGATTGGAATATCTCTTAACTGATGTGACGTTTGGGAATGTGACTCCAGATTCAAGGTCCATACTTAGTGATCGTTCCTTTGCTTATTTAAGGCAGTGTTGGTTTGTAAAAATAAATAATGCTTTGGTGGTTGTAGTACAAACAAAAAGTGCGTCTTTTTCTTCCCTTCCGCGTGGAATTGGAATTTGAAAATGTGCTTTTTGAGGAGAAAGAAAACCTGGTGTGGGTGTGTGTGAGTGGAGAAAATTTCACCTCTCGATACAAGAGCAAAAGTCACCAACAAACTCAACCCCCATGTGTTTCCCCCTTTTGGACTTGAGCAGGCACCAAATTGATGTGAGGCAAGTGCTATCTCTCACCTTTGTTCTGGCGTTGATCCTCCTATGTTATTTTGGAGATGCATGTATAAAATAATAAGTCATCATAAACTGAGATCATAAACTTTCAAATGCTGCCTTTATATTATACATTTTTTTGTAATATTTGTGTTTTTGTTGATCTACAGATTGTAAATTTTACCAAACCAGCAATGATCCCTCCTCAGAGCACAGTTACTCCTTTCTTTGTGCATTTCCTTGCCAATACATCAGATATAGCATTCTCTACAATTCTTAGAGTCTACACAAATGCATCTATTTTTACCGTGCCTATTCACTGCTTCAATGGAAAACTCAAGGTTGGTCTTGTGTCGCTGTTATTTCTTCAATAGACCTTTTTAGCCTGGGTTTCATGTTTGGGTGTTAGGTGAGAAATATCTGCAACCCCTGGTTTTTGTGGCTGAAGAAACCCAATCTCATTAACTCTGTTTTGCTTTTAATAGTTGGCTTTAGAAACCCTCCTCTCCCTTTCAAGTTACTTAATTTTGGAATGACATGAGTCAAAGTAACTCAAAGTGGATAAAAATGAAAACAAAGGGCACTTTCCATTCAACCCAAAATTGCAGAAATTTCTGTTAGCACAGCATATGGAACGAACCATTTCAGTTTGGTCCAACTGGATTATTCAGGACCAGCTTTGAAGGTGGTCCACTTTGACCTGTCTGGTCATTTCAGATGGTCGAACCGAAATGTCCCTTTTCATTTGACAAAGTTGATGTCCCCAGTACGGCTCTTTTGTTTCCTGCTCACAAGAACAATAACCATACGCACGTTGGCTTAGGTCGGGTCTGTGCAACAGGAATGTAGGCAATTTTTGAATTCAGCTTTTGTAAAGGTACCAGTCCATTTTGCACGTGAAATTTCGGAAATTTCAAACCAGAATTTCCGTTGTCAGTGGAAGGTGCCCAAAGTTGATGGCTGTACCGTGTACAGGTACTTTGAGTTAAGAACTTGTACACTTCTAGAGGCCACTTTCTAATGAAACTACTGTGTTGTTCAAGCCCTGATACTGTTTGTTTATATCTCAGTATGTGGTAGATGGCTTAGAGGAAGATGTTGTTGATTATGGTACAGTTGGAACAGGAGAGAATAGAACAAAACTTCTTAAAATCTTCAACCATAATCCTATAGAGGTAATGCAGGATGAAAGTAGTATTTTGACAACATAGAATAATAATTTCAACTGCAACACATGACTGGCTATGTTTTAAGAACATTTCAATAGACTATATCCTTGTCTAGCTTATATTTTGTACCAAATGCGTTTTTTGTAAAGAGTACACATTTTAGCCACTTAATGTTGTATATGTTGTGGTTCAATTTTATCCTTGGTTTAAATTTTATTTTTCATTGTTTCAAACTCATTATCATACATTATCATACCCAAACACAAAGGGAAATAAAATTTAAACCGAGGACAAAATTGAACCACAACATATATGTTAAGTAGAACCACTGTCATTAAGCTTAAGATTTTACTGACCCTTTAAGTCATGCAGTTTTTGTATAAACTAGTTTTGTTATGACGCCATTGCAATAGCCAAAAACCATAACAGTGATTACTTTTGCATTCACAGGTCACTATCTACAGAATAGAATGCAGTCTTCAGTTTGCAAGAATTAAACTGTTAGAAACTAAATCTAATAATGATAGCAAACTTTCCAGAGCCAACAACACTCAATTGAAGACAGCTGACCAGACATCAGATGGGCAAACACAAGATAGCAAGGTAACAGTTTCTTATTACTAGAAGTCGTTGAAGGATTGCAGACCTAAAGTGAACTAACCATCTCATTCTGAGACCATGTTACGAGCAGATTATACTTGTCACTTTAACTTTTGAAACTGTGCACAAACTCCTTGGTGAACTGCTCGTATTTTTCTGTATTTTTGAAGGTAGATTTTTATGTATTCATTTCAGGTGTCCATCAAACCTGGTTATGTTGCTTATTTTAATGTAGAAGTTTTTGTCCCCAAGAAAGAGGGGCAGTACATTGGGGATATAGAAATGGAGACAGATTATGAGGTAGGGGATGCAGTCTAAACTTAGTTATACTACTACATGAGAAATTTCTGCAATTTGATTGGGTTAGAACAGTGGTATTTCAGCTTAATTTGAAATAGCTACATGTAAAAATTACAAAATGTTTGAGGGTAGTAGTATAAACAAATAATAGCATGATTTGTAGTGATATTTGGTATTAATACCCTGAGTGATATTTCAAAATTGTTGTACGTAATTTCATGAGCCGTCAGGCAAGTGAAATTTGAGACAATTTTGAAATATCACGAGTGGTATTGGGGGTATAGAAATGGAGACAGATTATGAGGTAGGGTTGCAGGCTAAACTTAGTAATAACTTTGTTATTTTGTTTGAGTGCAATACTTACTCGTCCTTCTGCCTTACAGTTGAGATACTACAGTTTAAGGTCTCTTGATAAATATTATTATGATTTGATATACTATAATATTATTTAACATAGAGTGGAAGCTGTCGTAAGTGGACACCCTTGAAACGCCAAAAAGGTGTCCTTAACTGAAGCTTGCCTCTTACGGGAATGTAAGAATACAGAGTTTGCATGAGGGTTGAGAAAAAAGGGGTTTTGTGAAGGTGGCTGTAAGTAGAGCTGTCCACTTATTTCAAGTATCCATTTGGAGAGGTTATACTGTAGTACAGGGGTGTGAATCCACTGGGGTAAATGCCCCTTGCTTTTTTGGACATTATCGTGGATTCTTTTACATCCTACAACAGTCAGATCAGTGAGCGCTGTGAGTGAGTGTTGTAAGGTGAGGCTGACAATATTTCAGCCTTATCTATCTCTGAGAAGGCTAGAGTGTCTAACCATTTGCATATGTGGTCAGGGCAAAGGCAGCACATTCTGGTGCAACATCTTCTTTCTTTTAGTGGTAAAAAGGTAAAAAGAGTCAATCCAGATTTAAATCAATCAATTCAAGCGCAGCAGTTTAAGTGCCAATATTAATTTTCTGTACGGGTTGAAATTTATTCTTTATTATTTTTGTGTTTCAGACGCTATATATTCCCCTTCACTTAAAATCAATGGACGGGAAAATAGTTTCCTCTCCCACTTCACTTATTTTCCAACCTGGATTTCCAGTAAGTTGTGCTAACTGGATGACATTTTTTCGCAGCAGATTATCACTGTTATTTCAGTAAAATAGTGTTCATTGGAGATGGCTCATGTAACTCTCAAGACTGTCTGAAACTGTGAACAAGTTTTGAGGCAGCAACAATACAGGAAAATTCTAGAAGAAAAATAATGATTTTCTCTAGGAAATACCAGGAAGCTAAGTTTATGGGAGAAATAATTAATTTTATTGCTTGTAACAGAGGCAAGATCAAGCGGTGGTGTGAACGGATAATATTCATCTTTCAAATGTGCTGATCTTCAATTGCAAATTATGTTACCCAAACACAATTTGGTTGTAATAAAACGAAAGGAAACAAAGTTGTTATGTGGTATCTCTGTATTATATTGGTGTATGTCAACAAGGTAATACATGATGCATCTCTTTTGTTATTTCCTAGGGTCAAATTGTCAACTATAGTCTCACACTTCTCAGTTCCTTTTCCAACACTCTGAGACTTGTTTCAGTCAAACCTTATCCTTTGGATGATAAATTTTCATTTGAACCTTCAAGCTCCGATGTACAGTTACTTCCAAATCAGAAAGTCCAGGTTTGTGCTTCATACAAGAGTTTTAAAGTGTGTGTTTTATTGTTGAGTTAGTTTACATATGCTTGGTTCTAGAGTTATGTAAGAGCCAACAAGTTTAGTTCAACACGAGTTGAGTTTTATTTATGGTCAACAAAACCAAGCCTACAACTTACTGCATGATCATAATCACTGTATTTGCAAGCCAACTCCAGTGATATGCTAGCACTGAAAACTTATCCCATTGTGGTGGTGAATTTTCTAGTTGCTTTTCAACTAAGTAAATAAAAAAAATAAATGACTGTTTATCAAAGAAACTCATTGCAGCAATACATTGTACACATGAGCCTGAATTACAGAGCTACTTACAATTGTATAATAATGTGTACAAATATAGATAATAAATCGCAAACCTGTGTAAAAATTTAGTAACTAACAGCAACTAATACTTAAAAGTAATAAAATCTTGAGCGGCTTGGTCTTACAAATTGGGCGCATTGTGGTACATTGGGTGATTCCAGAAAATATCCATACCATACCATGGGCGGCATCTTGGAATTCTGAGGGAGAGGGGGGGTTTCTTGGACTGGAATTCCGAAGACGTGGGGGGTAACACAGTTTGGAATTCTAAAGGCATGGGGGGGTGTTTCAGCTCTGAATTCAGTGAATTTCCAGAGGAAAGACGGCGAAAGCTCCGCTTGAAATCGCTGACCTGTTAACATTCCCAGTTTGTAAATGAAGCACGAACCGACCACGGAAGAAGTATGCGTTCATGCAGATGGGTTGTGCAGCAAGCTCCATATCAAAGAGTTGATGAATTAGTCAACTGATTAATAAAAATATAACCAAGTCGGTGTTCCTTGCCAATTGTCGATCGACGATGTGTTGTTGTGTGCTGAAAACTCGCACCAGTCTCTCGTTTCCAAATAGAACGCCTGACAGATTTTCAATATGGCGGGTGACGGAATATTGATCGTAAACTTAACTCTTGTCAGCGTTCACTGGTATCAATACGATCTACTCCTGAAAATATGACGGTATTGAATGGAAAACAAAAAGTTCTATTAGGTGGTAAGCAGCTTAAAGATAATGCTTAGAAGGAATAGCTACGGTGTACTAACTTTAACAAACTTGAGTTGCTTGATCGTCTGACTAAAAATTGTGAACAGAATTCTTTTGCAGAGGGAAAAAGGGCAAGTTTCTCGTTCGTCTGAAGATTTAGGCAGACGAAGAGGAATTCCAAAGGGTCTGAAACAAAAGTGGAAAATTCCGGAGGGGAGGGGGGGTTAGCGATTTTGGAATTCGGAGGGCAAGGGGGGGATAAGCATTTTGGAATTTCCGAGGGCAAGGGGGGGTTAAAATACTCATGCCACCCGTGGTAGGGTATGGATATTTTCTGGAATCACCCATTGTAGATAGCTCCTGACCCTAGATGATAATTATGCTGAACTTCGTCCAGTTTAGGGAGAATGAAGTGTAATGGTCGAACCAAATTTGTCTGTTTTCCGACAGCTCAAGGCACTGGGTTGCTCTATTTAAGCTTTAACTTTGTGCTTCTAAGAAAAATAATTATCGCCTAGGGAGCTCAAACGCTATGAACCTCTGAAATCAAGGGTGCACTGCATTTAAGTTTGCTGAAATCACTAAATCATGTCTCCACGAGGCAACTGTACACTGCTAAAGCTCATTCCTTGAGGTGTCCCCTCTCCCCTTACTTAAAGTAGTGTAGTCCAGGAAGGCAGAATGACTATACTTCTATTTTTATTTTCCTTGTTTCCAGGTTGGACAATTATTTTATAATCCAATGAAAGGCTGCAAAAATCATTGCTATACAGGCATAGAAGAAGGTAAGGATACTATCTATCTTGTCCTCTATTAGTGGATTAAGGGTATTAATCCTTGTTTGAAGCTCACAGTTTACTGGACTTTTGACTTCATCCACAACTTTGATACTCATCTTTTACATCATCATTAATTGACACTACTAATAGGGAAGTGCTGGATTACAGTTTTCACTGAAAGGTTGTTTTTGGTTTGCTGGAAACCAGATATTTGTTTGTCTCACAGTTAACCTTTGGTTAAACTGGGGCTTTTATTATAACAAAAAAAAAGTATTCCACATTGCATGTATTTGTATCTGAAACTGGTTCATAGTCAAAGAAAAGGGAAAATGTGTAAAGGATAGCATTTTATCAGCGACAAAAACAGGAAGTTATGCTATCAAGCTAAATATTGATTTGATATTATTGTTTTGCAGGTGAAAAGTGGTTGTCAAGTTTTTCATTGCCTCCAAATATTGGGGAAATAGATGGCCGACTAATGGAAAAGAATCAAAAGATGTTCTCTTCTTTAGAACGTGCAGGAAAACTTAAGTAAGTTATCAATATTGCCTGATAGTAAAAAAAAAACACAGACTTGCTGGCTCAGAAATTTATTTATCCACATTTGGTGATCAATGACACTCTATCTTTGTAAATGGATTTTTGGAAAATTGAAATGACTTTCGGCCAGATGTTAGAGAATGGACTCTTGGGCAAAGTGATCATGAAATTTATTTTCTTTGCTCAGTATATTCACAAACAAAATAACTCTCTCTTCTTGTTTTTCTTTTACAGATTAAATATATCTTTTATAGTAGACACAGATATAGTTAAAGGATTTCGAATCCCAGCACAAGCAAGCCTCTTGTGGCCATCATTTTCATCTGACAAACCCGTCAAGTTTCCTCTCACTCATCTTGGGAACTCCTCAACCAAGTTTATCATGCTTGAGAACCCAGCAGATGTACCAGTCGTGGCCCAAATTGTTCCATTCTCTATATACCCACAAGCTTTGTGGGATTTGTTAGCTGATAGGTAAGGAGTTTCAGTTCAGTTCTGAGTAGAACCGCGGCAGTCTATAACTGTGGTCTGGACAGTTTGTCTTTATATTTTGCGTGAAAATATTGGTGGTTAAGTGGAACCGGAACCAGATAGATGTTATTCAAAGTACTGTTAAAAATCCTTAACCTGGACACTCTCAGTCTAAGAAAAATTGAAGGGGGCCCATTGTTCTAAACCTGTTAAATCAAAAGGTGCCCAGCATATTTTGAAGAAACTAAGATTTTCTAGTCATCCGGGAGCAAAATTTAGGTGCCTGGGGCCACTGAATATTGCTAGAGCATAGCCTTGATGCTATGGGGACATCGTCTAGTGTTCGTCACAGAGGTGTCATTATTATAGCCAGTAGGGGTTGTATGAAGTTCCGTATTGTCAGGGCCAGAAGGGAGTGTTATAGAGAACTTGGTGTACGACTGGGGTTTTGAATATATTTTCTAAATAAACAGGTTCTCAGTTATGGTCTAATCAAGTTACTTAGGACATTTAGAAATGATGAGCTTAAAGTTGTGGCGAGATGTGGTGGCTGAGTCTGGTATAAGACAGTGAATTTGTGCCTAGCACTGTTTTCGGGTTTTGTCTAACAGATGTACTAATGTATTTCTCTGCGCAGGTTTGATACAGAAGCTTTTGGATTTGATCCTGGTGAAAGTACTTTTTCAATTCCAACAGATGAGGTATGCCACGATTGTCACTTTTCAGGGAATAAACTGGCAAACTGAATTTCTTATAAGAGTGTTTGTTGCTAACCCTCTCCACACCCAACATTTTGTTCTTAGGGACTTGGTCAAGTAGATGCACCCTTGTTGTTTTCTAATTTTAAACAATCACCCTAGCCTGCTTTGCAATAGCCTGCCCCAGGCTCTGAGATAGTCGGGTCCATGCATGAAATTAAGAAATTGCAAACACGCCCACCTTTCCCAGATCACTTTTTGCATGCCTTTCACTTACACATCATCCCTGCTATCTGAGAGCCTGAAACAGGCTAGCTTTGCAGATGTAACATAACCCTGGCTTGTAACATATGTGAATCAGTGCTGAGGTCCTTGTTCCAGGTCCCCAACAGGCTCAACGAATTACCAGTAGTTTGTTTCAAATTTTCCTTCAACCTGATTGGCAAGTGAACAGTGGCTTTTTAACAGGCCAACCACGGCGATTGGTACACAGGTACCCAGAACAAGGATTTTGATGCTGGTTTGCTGATGGACTTAAGCAGAGGTTTAATTTTGTCTTTGGGGTATCCTCCTTCCTTTTGTTCTTCAGCTCTGAATGGTTATTTTGGCTTTTCAGTTAACAGTGCTGTAGTCGTCTAAAAATGTGCAATGTCATAACTTTCAACCCGTTTTCATTGTTGTTTCAGTGTGATTCTTCCATTTCATCCACATCAGTGTTGGATGATAGAACAGTTCCTTCTCCTGGGACTGTGGTAACTGTTATAAAGCCACGCTCCTCTGTTAGGATACCTGTCAAGTTTCATCCAAGAGATGAACGTCTAAGAACATCTGTAGTCCTGATAAGGTAACGCTCTTTTTAGTCTTTATCTTCTGTACTTGTTTCTTGAACATTAGCTTAACCTGCTGTGACCCTTTGTGCAAATTCAAATAATTCTGGTGCTTCTGAAACAGTTACTCTCTTTACAATAATTATTATCATTTTAAAAGGCAGTTCAAGAGTTTTTTTGATTACCGTTAAGCACTGACAAAACTGATAAGGGTTGAGCACTGCAAATAGTGATTAGGATTAAGCACTGACCATAACGATTAGAGTTAAGCCCTGAGAATAGGAATTTGGGTTAAGCAGTGACTTGAAACAGTTAGCTTCTATTTAGGGTTAGGGCTGTTGCCGTATATGTATAGTTTCAACTTAAACCTCAACAGCGAATCTTCAGTGTTGTAGGGGAAGAGTTGATGGACAGCAAACACTATACTCCAGGTTTGATTCTTACTAATGTTGCTTTGAATTATGAGGCTGGCACTTTCATGAACATTTACTGAACAGAAATGTTTTCAAGAGACTGAAAAAAGTACTATGTGTGTAAACTTCGTAAGGTGTTTAAATTGATTCTCGGTGATGGTATTTGTTTGCAGGAACAATCTCACCGTTTTAGATGGCATTGTAGTGCAAGGACAAGGAGCCCGGGGCGAGTTTACTTTGAACGGGAAGAGACCTGGGCCCCACAGTACCTTACTGTTTGAAATTAAACCCAGTCAGCTGGCCGAGTGCCACAGTAAGTCAGTGCATGCTCATAGTAGACTTATTTTAAAATTTTAGAATTAAGGTGGTAAAAGCATTCTTACACAGTGTTTTGATGTTGCCATGGCATCACGCTCAAGTGACAAATGTGTTAGGTAAATGTTTTCCGTCTGGTTCACCTCGCACTGTATATATTCAATCAGTTTGAATTTCTATTTTTTTTTTCTCGCATTGTCGTGGTCTCTTCGAAGGATTGTGTTTTACATTTCCTGTATCGCTCTTGTGGGCAATATTTTCTTCTTATATCTCGTTGGAAATGCGTGGTTACTCCTAATTGTCTTTGTGGATTTCTTACTGAAACCTTTTCTACATTTCCGCAAAAGTCCACTGTATATTTCACCATTGCATTATGTCGCACAGTTTTAAAGATGTTTTTTCGTGTTTTTGTAATTGTTTTTCATTAGAAGAAGCCCCTCGATCACGGTCGTTGCCGTCATTATCAGTAATGAAGACATTAACAGCCACCAATCCTGGACAGCTGGCTGTGTTTATCAGCTCACTTAGTATCAATGGCTATGAGTGTGAGGGATATGGCTTTAAAATCATGAATTGCAAGTCTTTTGTCCTCAAGCCTAACACGTCGAGGAAGATTGAAATCACGTAAGTGTGGTCTAACCACAATCAGTTGGCAAAGTAACAGTGGTTCGTTACCCTTTTGAGATTAGTCTCTTGAGCTAGCTTCGTTTGTTTTCCATTTCACAGCATATGGTGTTACCCCTGGTCCCTCCTCCTGTCGAATTTTATCCTATTCAATGTGTTTATGAACGAGACGAAGGCGAAATTACTTTCCTTTTGAGAACTTAACGCGACCGGAAGTGGGTCGTCTGGAGACAACAGCAAGTTATCTCTACAAAGCTATTTATCGTCGTAACACATCCTTTTTTACCGTTTCACCTCTGTGCTTGGTATATTCTATAATTTTTGTTTCGTTATTAACAGTAGATCACGTTTTTTATCTTTTTAGGTTTACACCCGATTTTTCAATGTCCAGAGTAACTCGGAAACTGGAAGTCAAAACCACTTTAGGACCTGTAATGGAGTTTACACTAGTAGCGACAATCCCTACCCACCTCCTTCCACTGTGTGCGTCTTCCTTGGGACATAATTCCTGGGAGCCTATCTTGCGAGGAGCCGTTGTTTTTCTCATGGGCGTTGTCTTCTTGGGGGTTGTTATCGCTGCTTATGCTGAGGCGCGTAAACTCGCGTTTCTTTCGCATCCTGAAGTGCAGCTTTTACAGATGAAAGAGGAAGATCGAGGGCAGATATTTGACTTGAATGCGATCGCTGGGGTCAAAAAGAACAAGTGAGTCCTACTTAACTCTCTCCAGAGAGACCAACATCAATTTTCTCCTAACAGTATCCATACATCCTCAGGAGAAATGGTTATGAGAATAAAAGAAATGATCATCAAACTAATTCTGTAAGGAAATGTATGGAGATAAGTTTGGGGAATTTATATGTGCGTATTGGGGCTTTAACTCGTCTCTGATTGTATTAACTGGACTTCTTACATGTCATGTCTGGTCACTCATGATACCTTTTAAATGAAGAAATATCCTTGGTTTTTGTTTTCCCATACTTTGGTGTTAACTTTGCTTTACATTTTCAAAGTTCTAGCCTGCGTGGCTGCCTCGTGGCTAGCGTTCAAAAGGGAAAGGAAAGTGAATTTGGGCGCGAGCCCTACCGTCCCCCTTTCGCGTCGTCCGCGCTTCTCTCGCGCTCGAAATGCCCTTCCGGTTTCCTTTCAAGCGCCTGCCAAGCAGGCTAGAAATATCCACCCGAGTCTTATAAAAGTCCTGGGAAAGTGATGTCTTAGCTCTTGTGGTAGGAAACCTGTTCGACGTCTTGACTGGGCAGTTGGGAGCGTAAGCAACGAGGACGGCGACGTCAACGAGAGCGGCAAGAAACCAATAGGTTTAGATTAGCAAAACAACTCTTCACCTGCAGCACGCTTTTTTGTACATTTCTTTACAGTCACTGCACGACTACGACGTGAGGACGGGAACACAAGTCAACGACTTTCTTTTTCTTTTTCTGAACTTCGGTAGAGTCTTGCAACCCCTGAAAAAATTGCCAACATTTGACGAATTCACCGAAATGGAATAAGGGCGATAGAATTTCAAGCAGCGGGTTTTCACTTCAGTTTTCGCGACGTTTTCGTAGCCGTCGCCGTCGTCGTTGCCTAAGGTCCCTAGTGCTTTGTCCCGGGTTTTTTCATGTGCAGTAATTCTTTTCTATATCTGGTGTCTCTAGGATTCCTGTAAAAGACGAACCAACAGTGGGGCAAAAGAGATCAAGAAGAGACACACGTGACAGTAGAGAAACAACGCCGGTAATGGCGGACAGACCTTCTGGCAGTGACCACACAACTAATGCAAGCTTAGGCAATCATTCACCTACAAATAATAACATAAAAACACCATCAGCTAGCGCGACACGACAAGATACTACCGGGACTCGAAATCGAAATGCAAGAACTGATGCATCTGGGAAAAATCAGTCAAACACGCTTGAAAATTGGGACTTCAGAGGTGCTAGGTCAACCAGCCCTCCTCTGGAGAGTAAAACAAGTTCTGGCATGAAAGATAGCAAATTAAAAAATGTAGCGGTAGTAAAGAACCCAACGGACGCTGTAGGAAACTCAAGTCGAAAGGTTACTGAAGCAAAGAAAGCAACCACGGACGAGGGCAAAAGAACGGAGAGAAGCAAATCCTACCCTGAAAATCTTAATGACGAAATTATAAGTGTAGTTGTTCCAAATAAGTGTGAGTCAGCACCCAAAAGAGATTTGAAAGACTCTAAAGAACCAAAGGGAAAACAGAAACGAAAGTTAAAAGCTTTGAACAGGAAAGATGAGAAGGACAAAAAAGGAAAGACGAAAGAAAGTACAACAGCCAAGACCAAGGACGATGAAGGTGCCATGTCTGATGACAGTTGTAGCGATGGATCGTCAGACAAGTCTGTACCTGAAGTCAGGATACAACAGCCATCAAAAGAAGGAAACAGAACTCATCAACTGGCCAGTGCTAGTCGAGAGACTGTGGACAGTGGGAGTGGAAAAGACAGAGGAAAGAACCGTAAAAATGGGACAGAGAATGCAGGTGCGAAACCCAAGAAAGGAGACGGCCAGTCAGCGAGCAGCGTCGGGCGACCAAAGAGTTTAGATGTTCCAGCCAAGAACCAGAACGTTGGACAACACGGCAAGAGTCAAAACAACTCGAACCATCTTGAGAGCGCAAAGACAAGCGACATGCAGCATCCAGGCGCAACTTCACCTCATGCCATCGCTGCGGCTGTCATGTCACTGGCGTTGGGCAAGAACGTGCAGGCGCCATCCAAAGAGAACAGCTTTGACGAGCATGAACTCAGCAAGAGGAAAGCGTACACTAAGACATCTTCGTTGTGTACCAATCTGTCGGACTCGCCTCCTCCCACCTCTCCCACCCAGCTCAGCGGAAGTAGCCGGAGTAGTAGTTACAGCAGTATTGTTAGCAGTGACAGTTCAAATGGTACGGAGCAGGTGAAACAATCAGGAAGAAAGGGAAACAAGTTACGTGTTAAGACCACTAAGTCTCTACCCGTGGAGGGCGGGACTAGTCCTACTTGGACCTCTGCAGGTAACACGATATGAAACATCAGCGTAATTAATTCTGTTAGGTTAGGTCACACATAGCCTGCGACAGACCCTCCTCCCCTCAGGAAAAACCCCTTCTCCGATTTTTCCTCAGGGAAGAGGGGATCTGTAAACAGGTTAGGTCACACAGGCAAACTTCCCGTTCACAGAAAGTTGTGTGAACAAACTGCCAGGAGTAAAATATCCCGCACGTTAATTCTCCCTCAGTTTTTTTTTTCCGCAATTGTCGCAAGAAATACACGAAGCTCATAAGGTTAATGCAGAAATTCATTTCTTACAAGGCAGTTGTTTTTCTTCCATTTGTCCTAAAACGTTAACACCATTTTTTTTGGCAGTTTTGCGAATTTGCTTCTCTTTTGAGAGAAAATACATTAGTTTTGTCTAGAGCAAAAGTTGACGCATATATATCTGGATGTAGCCAACAAGAAGCGAGATGGTGTGAATGGATTTGTTTTTATGATGGAATTGTGTTCAATGTTCAATTTTCCTCTCTGTTAGGTGGCAGAAAATCTGGTAAAACAGGAGAAGACCTTGGCCTATCCAACCTGAGACGCAGCCCCTGGGCCCTCCCTTCAGAGCCCCCGTTGGCACGCCGCAGCCCTGTGGGTGAGAGACCAGATAGAATTGTTTCTTCCCATTATTTGCCGACTTCCCGCTCGCCTTTACTAGACAGTCATCCTTTCCGACGTAACAGCCTAAAGAAACAGTCCTCGTTAGAGGAGAAGGTGCGTCCGTTTGACCTAAGTGATTTGGGATTGTCCGATAGTGGTGCGACGCGCAACAGAGGTTACCCAACTGGACATGCTAATCTGTGGAAGACCAACGACAAATGCTTCAACAACCCCGACAGCCTTTTCAGCTCATCTTCACTTGCAGCCGATGACCAGTTTCACGGCAAGAGCACGTGGCCTTCGAACAACTGGGTGAATTTCTTGGATGCTAGTAATGTCAACGGTGGTGCCGTGAACAGCAACAAAACCATGGCCGAGATCTGGGATGCAGGGCAGTCGCCTCTTGACAGTGATGGATGGTCTATTTATCCCCCTACTGCCTCTCCCGTTCCTCCTGCCAGTTCTGAGGCTGATGCCGTAGATGCTTTGTTCAGCCAGATGCCCGCTGACTGGTCCGGTGCAGCTGCGGGGCCCAAGTCTCCGTTCAGCACTCAAGAAGTGACCTGGACCCCACCACCTGATGTCTCCTCTATCTGGAGTAGTGGATACTTGGTGCCAAGCTCCACAGCAGAGCCCCTTCCCACCTCATCCACAGCTTCGTATGTACCCTACACGGTGCAGCCACCGCAGAACCAAGAGTCTCCTGTCCAGCCCTCCTTTGAGCCTCTGGGCTCCCTGGGGAGTAGCATCTGGAATCCTACTGGTGTTACATCTACTTGGTCCTCCACCTCAGAATAAGATCATCCCAAGTGCTCTTCAAACGTCTTTTACTATAAATTTGATACTTTTCCTTTGCATGATATCATAAATTTTGTAGCCTGAAAAAACAGCCGACATTTCTCGACGGCACCACCGGTCTCCCCTTCAAATGGTATCTTAGGAACGAGTGGTGGCGTGGCGAAATGTCGGTTGTTTTCTCAGGCTATTAATAGAGAGCTTTAGATTCAAGGACGACTACTACTACGAGTACGAGATTTTCTCAATACAAAGTCTTGCACGCTCGGGAGCCAGCGTCATTTTGGCGGGAAAACGTGATAGCCGTCGTCATCCTACAACGAGTTTTAGCTCGAATGTCACGGTGGCGGGAACAAGTTATCAAATGTTACAAGTTTTATCATTCTACTATCGGGAGACGGCTTAACCACTTAAATAACCGTACTAACTTTTTTGGTGTAAAAAGGTAAAATGAAGCTTTGCTGGGTGTCCTTTTTGGGAGCACCGGCAAAAACTTTAAGTTAAATCTCATACTTGTACACGTTCTCGTCCTCAAATTTAAAGCTCTCTAATATTTTAGCCCGCGAACGCAGACGTATTTCCGGTCAGCGCTTGTCGCCATCCGAGAGTGGAGAGAAGCGACGGCCGGAAATACGTCTTCTTACGCAGCCTTTTAATTTTGCAGTTTTGTGAGTTTTTTTTTTTTTGAAAAGTTAACTTTCAAGCCACAGTTCCGTCGATGTTCCTGCTAACTGGCGCAATTCTCTCAAACTTAGTCAAAATAATAACGACAAAGACCTCTTCTCTAAGACCTGCTCAGCTCACTCTGTTATCCTGCAGGCGCAAAAGGAGAGGAGAAGGAGAAAAAGGTGGAAGGGGATCCCCGACCCCCCCTCCGCTTTTCCCCCCCACATCTCCATTCAATGTCTGCCACGCAGGCTACAGCCTCTAGTATCCACGGTATTAGTGGGGAAGGCGAGGTCCGTCCTCAAACTCCCATCATTTGTTTTTAAATTTCTCTTGTATGCTTTATTGACGGAATTGGGTCTGAAAGTAACTTTATTTGTATTGGACACTTGGGTATCAACTTTTCAAAACTAGGACGCTTTGATGAGTTGGATAATGGCACTAAAGTAAGCTTCTTTAGCTTGTATGTTTTGTTTTCGCAATAGAGGTCCCATGGGAACCTGACCCTCAAATTTGGAAGAAACGGTTCTCTTGAGTATTTTCACATGAACTGTATTGGGAAAACAAAACGTACAAGCTAAAGAGGTCTATAATTGGTGCATTTGATTGTGGTTTTAACATTAGTATTCAGATGTGAGAGGCTGTTGATCCGTACGAACCACGGTACATGTTTTTAAGCCATATTTTATTATGCCCGGCGTTTGCTTTCTGTAAGGAGCTTTTGGCAGGCTTGGGTGTGTTGTAAGATGATTGTATTTCCCTTTGATAGTGGGTCGTAAAAGTCGTTAGAGCTGGCTTTATGCTTCCTCACTTCACCCAAAAATACAGATTTAGCGGAGTCCACAAAAATTACGCAGGTAGCTTGAACGTGTAGTTAGAAAGCAACTCGTAGAAAGTGTGCGAAACATTTTTTCGCCCTGCTTCGGAACTGTTTGGTCCGAGAGGGTCTCTTTTTTTTTAAGTAAGCCGATGCCAACGGCGCAAAACCCCAGCACCAGGGCCTCCTTTTGCGCTCTGTCATTTTGTAAGAGTGGACTGGGCCTCGTGTCGGAGGGTGTTTTTATATAGTGGGCTAGTTTGTTGTGCAACTCTTCAATCCTAGTAAGACCGCTGTCCTGTTATTTATAATAAAATCCCGTTATTTATTGTTTTAAAGGAGTTTTGATATAAAAGAGTACTAAAAGTAAGTGCAAAGTGAGTTGTTTGGGTCGTTTTTATGCTGTCACCATTTTGTACTGTAGAGGATTTTATATAAGAATTGTTGATAAATAAAGTTTTGTAAAATCAGAGATGGAAACTTGCCTGTCTTGTAAGATTTGTTATTCATGTATCTTTAGCAGGAGTAGGAACTTTTTTTTATCAATCTATCTTACTGGAACAAGAAGACTCATCCACGATGTCCGTAAAATCCCTAACAACAGCCTACCTGCCGCCGCAATGTAAAATTCAATTCACACTCTTCTCCATTAAGAATGAAGAAGATTTTACACAACTAAATTACGGAGGCACCTTTCTCGCGTGTAGCCTGCGAAAACATCCGTTTCTCCTCGCTCTTCGCCGATGGGGACGTTTCTGCGACTCAGCGACAGAAATTCCATACTGATGACGTAAAATCTGTCCGGAATCCGGTCAGAAGCGCTGATTGGTCGACAGAGTAATTACATTGTTTTAGCTATTGCTTACGAATGACAGACAAGAGACAAAAGGCCACAAAGGTCAAATGTAAACGCGAAGAATCTCTAACAAAACAGTCAATATTTGTGGAATATAGTATTCTCTAGAAGAAGCATTGAGTTTTGCTGGAGCTTGTTGGCAGATGAACACAACACTTCACCAAAATCGACCAGAAAACACGTAAAATTGGACAAATTTGTATTTGGAACCATTTATTATGTAAACACTGGTTGCGTCATCAGTATGGAATTTCTACCGCTGAGTCGCAGACGTTCCTCCTCGCGAAACGTCCCCGGCGGTGAAGAGCAAGGAGAAACGGATGTTTTCGCAGGCTATCTCGCGTGCGGCTGGAGGCTTCGGTTTCGGCCGCGGCTGAAGTCACGCGCGGATCAGACTTGACCGAAACCTGAAACCGCGCATGAAAAGTCTCTGACACCTACTAAAGTTTAGGTCTGCAGAGGCTCTCGCTGGGTTTCCCTGTAAAAACAGAGGAGAGTTGATGAACAGTAAGACTGGAAAATTTTGACAAAACTTCGACTTCTTCCCTTACGAACAATGAAGTTAATAGTGAAGTTCAAACCCACAACGTTGGGGTTTAAGAAGCGCACCGCGTTCTCTTTCCTCCCCTCGTGCGCTCGAATTAAATCCGCTGCGCGCAGGCAGTTTAATACTGACCGGGTGAGAGCCGGTCCGCGAATCAGGATACGAAGGTCTTTTCTTGAGGGCGTCTGACAGTTTTCAAGTGTTTATTTACATTTCATAAACCGAAAGCAAGATTTAAGCTTTTCTTCTTCTTCAGCTGGGGCTGAATTCCACGGCGACTTTGGCAGCCACCCACACCCCAGTCTCCAAGCGCGAAGGCAAAAGCGCGCCGGTCAATTTTTTTTAATGCCCACTTCAAGATGGCTGCCACTGACCGTTGTCGATTGGTCACTAGTATCCAAACATGATTTAGTACTGGGCTGGAATGTACTTGGGATCTACGAGAAGAATATGCCTTTTGCTTCCGGTAAAAATATCTAAGAAGTATAACCACGAGGAGCCGCAAGGGGTGATATTTTTGCACGGCATCTGGCGGCACATCAAAGAATTTGGAATTGAAGGGCAAATTCCTAGAATATCTTCGCCAGTTAAGCTAGAGAAAAGGTGTTAGAAAACCTCAGGATCCAAAACAACACGTCAATCAAAATATCACTTGGACCTTTTCGCTAATGAAGAGCTATCACGCGGCTAAGCTTGAATTAGACATATATTGAAATAGGAACTCGTGTCAATAAAGTATCAGAAGTGAGCGGGAATCGCTCCTGGTTAAAAAACTGGTTCACAGGGATATGCATCTCTTCTAGTTAAGAGAAGGGAATCAGAGCTGCTTTTCATGCAGGAACAGGTTTTCTTCGGGCTAACTACAAAACCTCAGCTTATTTCACTCCTTGACATTGTCAAAGCGCATTTTGTAAAGATAACTTTTTCCGCTTTATGAGCTTTTTTTATATTCTATTCCATAAATGTTTAACCTCCCTCAAAAAGCCAAGTAATATAAATGCTGTTGTTAAAAAAAGCGTTTTACTTGTTTACGTGAATTCGCTACCCAAAGATCACTATGCTGAAAGGACAGGGCAAAATTTCCAGGAGAGAGGCATTAATTTTTTTTCCCACGAGGTTACAAAGAGAAAATGCAAAGATTATTATTATCGTAACCTTCAGGTATGTTCTACCCACGAGGTTACAGAGAGCAAATGCAGTGATTATTATTAACGTAACCTTCAGGTATGTTCTACCCACGAGGTTACAGAGAGCCTGCAAATGCAGTGACAATTATTAGATTTTAGTGCAACTATCAGGTTGAGTTCCTCCATTAAAAGAGTTTTTTGCTAGGGTTAAACAAGTTTGGCTTTCATGAGTTTCAAGGTGCAAGAAATTATCAGTATAATTATAGCACACAAACATTGTCATCTAATTTTTCGCACGTAGCCGGAATAAGCCAAGAAATGAAGCATATATAACGAAAAATCGTTCTCAGATGATCTCCATATTAAATAAATTATACTAAACGTTGCGAAAGAAATTATTGTTCGTATCCGTCTTATCCATTGTAAAAGCGAGGGGTCATCGCATGACATCCGGTATATTAAACAGAGGTAATACTCACGGGTTTCACGAGTTGTATGCACTATTTTTCGCCGAGAAACAAATTTAAACTTCAATTCTTACCTTACAGTAGTCCGTTCTTTTACCTTGCATTCGACAACAAATCTGTTAAAGGCGAACAAAGCGATTCCGGCACTCTTCTTTATGATGAGTAGCAAGCCGCAGGAACTGAAGCCGCTTGACTGAAGTAAAATCCACCGATATGCACGGCATTCTCACTACAAATATAAACAAACGTTGCGGGGAAAAAACGACGAGGAGGAAAAAATGCCAGATCTTCGCCTTGGCAATGTATTCCAGCTACCATGCCGGCGTATCTCCAGAAGGTGGACTCGAAGTGAGACAAACCTTGTGAATTTTTTTAGACGCCCTTTGCGCGCAAACTAATTTATTCTGGCGCGAAATGAAGATTAACAATAGGTATACTGAAATCTAATCCACGACAAGAAGATTTTCGCACTGTAGCGCGACATATTAAATGCCTATTTTTACAAGTATGCGGAGAAAGTGGTCCACTAGTTTAACTTTTTTAAGATGAATTTACTCCACAAAGGCAAAATGAATGTTTTATCTCTATGTTGTTTACGTGCCGGATTAGAAGGCAGAAGTAAATTCATCATACAGACCCCATCAAAATGAAAGTACACGAATGAAACGGAATAAGTCTGGAACGGTTTAGTTTCTACTCGGCAGCTTCTTTGCTTTTATAACAAAATTTAATGTTGCAGTCTGTTTTAAACGTTGGCATATCAACGCGTACAGTCACTGAATGAAAACAACAGTCACGATCACGTTCTTCGAAACCGACCAGACGCGCGCGACCTACCACTGTTATGGCAAGCAATTATCCTGAAGGTGTTAATGTTCCCGTGACAGTCTTCGCACTGAAGGTGTAAATGGTAAACCGAACGGTCGCTTTGATCATCAGAAAGACCTGTCAACTTTGATGATTTAACTGATTAAATTACGGGACAGAAATTTTACTCCTTGCGGCTCCTCGTGTGTAGGTATCGTATCCTTGAGTGTCTTGGGCAGCAGTTACACGAGTTTAATACGAAGCCCCTCTAAAAATGCTTGAATGTCAGGTCTTTCAGCAAATAAAACGATTTTACCCTCAGAATACTGGACGCGTTAGTTCCGAGGACTTAAAAAAATTTCAGGAGTTTCCACCAAACCTCCTCCAGCCCTTAATAGCTGCCTAGAAACTCCCTCGCCCCTGGTTCACGCAATAGGCGGTTGTTCATATTTACATCGTTATCAGGGCGTTATCCACCCAGATCGCTATTTCTTCATGCTTTACGGATAGTATGAAAAAAGTATTTTTATTATCCATGATTTGCATCGACGTTCGCTGCTTAAGGAGATGAAAAAAAGAAAAAGAGTTGAAAAGCAAAAAAAATCAGAGTTGGAGAACCCGGGCATCGATCCCGGTACCTCTCGCATGCTAAGCGAGCGCTCTACCATTTGAGCTAGTCCCCCGCTCATACTGGTTTCGAGGAAATTTTCAGTTTTTAAAACAATAAGCTATTTCTATTGACGTCACTACAAGGCGAAATTTTGCGCATGATCGCCGAACACAACAACAATTTAATCATGGCTGCCATACTGACTTGCCTGGTTAAAACTTTTCAGTGGATACCCGTTTTATTTATCAACGCAGTTATCATTTGGTCATACTACGCTTATGTTGTAATTCTATGTTTCGGTAAGAGCACTAATTTCGTACTTGCTTCTTCCCGTTTTCGGAAATCGTCAAATTTGTGACTTGATCCTTCAACACTGTTCAACTGCCGGATCTGTCGTTTTCTGCAGTCTTGAGTATCTTCAGCTTCCTGATCTCTAACCCAATGCGCCTTCTTTTTTTTCAGAGAGTGTTCAGTCTGTATATGAGCGAGGTAGGTTTAAAAACATATTCAATGTAACATCTGTGTACGTTCACAAGTTTCGAAATCAAGGCCTTAATTCCTTTGTGTCACGGTGATTAAGCCGTTCATAGTAGTTTTATTTTTTTTCTACAACTCATAGACTGCACTGACCATTTTTTTCAGCTGTGTATTTGATGTTCTATCACCCTTTCTTTGTGATGCTGATGATATCTTATTGGCGGACGATATGCACATCATCCGGTTTTGTTCCTTCTCAGGTGTGTTATGAAATAATATTGTACCAACCTTGGAAATTAAAAATAAGCTACAATTAGCCTGTCTTTAAACTAAGTTTTCTCTTTATATTTTGTTCTGATAATGAACTACAGCCGCATAGTAATAGGGCGATTGATCAGAGGCGTCAATACTGTCTATAAAGTCTATAAAGGGTAGGATTAAGTATTATTACTTTTATCATTCTTGCAAATAGCAACTGTAATATCTGTAATGTCTCAATTATTACAATTTCTTAGAAAGAAGTCAGTTATGGTAAACATTTTTTCCTTGTCCAGTCAGCTATATCCATTTGCTTTTGTTTTTTCATCTATATTAATCTTGAATGAAGAACCCAGGCAGATGCATGTAGATGTTGTAAGTTAATTTGCTTCTTGGGTCGATCTGTTTTTGACCAAGTTTTATTCTCAATTTGCTTTGTCTCCTACCTTAAATATTCATGAATTAGGGCTTGGAGACTAAGGAAATTTAGAATCAACTCACTGATCATAGTTATTTACTACCTTGTACACACTGTTTCATTTTCATTTTACTGGAATTTGGGTGGATCTGCTAAAGCACAAGTATGTTTGTCTGTTGCTGATTTTTACTTTCATGTTATCAAAAATGAAATCCAAAGGAGTCAGTGAATTATGGTTAAAACTCTATAAAGAGGGCAGTTACCAGACTCTGACAAAATTGTCGGTAAATTGTTATAAAAATAACATCTATGTATTAATTGTCGGACACATAAGAAGGGATGGTTGCCACCCCGCCTCTGAGGTTTTTCTGAGTTTTTTCCTAGATGATAAAACATCAGCACCTGACATTTTCAGAAGCTGTTCCTTTATCCCTCACGGGCAGTTTGAGACAAGTTTAGTGATTGTCAGTTACTATGGGTAGGACAGATCAATGTCAGTTGTCCCTGTTCAAACGAAAACCTGACATTTTTAAGAAATTCACAAAGATACATATGGGCCATTATTCATTGATGAGTTACACCACACTTGTTTTTTGCTTTAGGAGGGAAAAGGGTGGCGGGAAGCAGTTTGTTTGCTACTTATATAGAGCCAGGAATTGAGGGCCGGAAACTACATTTAAAAATCTGTTCCCAGAATACTCTTCTTGAGTCTTCTGGTTGTTAGCCTGCAAATGCAGCCATATTTCTGGCCGTCACAAGGCGTCTGCTCATGCAGGCTAGGTGGTTGTACTGCGGTAAAAAAAATTCTTTTTTTTTCAGTTTTTCTTGTCCAGAGCAGACAGAGAAGCATTGGATAATGGGGTATGTAGTTAAGTGTAGTTTTGTTTTGTTGGCTTATCAGGTTCTTAATAGAATGGATGCTGAAAAGCTAATTCTGTTTTAGTGGTCAAGACAATCAGTCAATCAATTAGTGTAATTTCATCCACAGCTTGGAAAAATCCAGGATGGTGTAATAAAAAGTATCACAAGATGGTGCTGCCTAAAAATGCAGCTTTTATTTAAATTGTCACACTTTAGGATTTCATCCACAAACTCAGAAGTAAGGACCACCCTAGCATAATCCAGTATTAATAATGATATACGGTGCAACATGACATGAGGAGTAGTAGGCATCCGTCAGTCTTCGAGATCCTGGATTTGCACACTGGTCAAGCTGGGTTTAACAGTGTGTTCTGTGGTTGCACAGTCCGATGTGGGCTACAGTGGCAGTCTCTTCTCACTGCAATGTGAGCAGATGGTTGTTGTTGGTTCTCTCCTTTGTTCCGAGAGGTTTTTGTCCAGGTACTCCAGTTTTTCCCTCTCCTCAAAAATGAACATTTCCAAATTCCCATTCGACCAGGAATCAGGTAGACGAAGAACCACTTTGTGGATGTGCTACCTTCAAATTATTATTTATTTATTTATTTATTTGTAGTTGGTAGTGTCTCTTTGGAGTTCTTTATCTTTCCTGCATTGTCTCTGCATTGTTCTCTTTCCTGCAGTGTCTCTACATCTGATATGCCTTCTCAGCCAATGACACAGGAGAGAATGGCTCCAAATATAGACTGAAACATTACTTTAAAAATGCATCAATAACATTCCTTGACATAAACAAAGCTATGCAGCTGAGATGTACTTGATTTGAAATTATATTTGTGGAATTTTTTGTAGGACCCTAAAGAGGTTCTAGAAAAAGTATCAAGAAAGCTTCCAGTAATGACAAAAACTCTATCAGGAGGTAAGAAATATGTTATTTACCAATAGCTTGTGCTAAAAACTGTTGCATACCTGTATGATCATAGGAATTTTGAATGGGAATGCATTTTGTGTGTGAGAAGAGTGAACTGTTAACCCTGTGATGCCTCTGTGATGCTGTAGCATCACGTCAATGTTGTCCGAATAACAATAGTGAACTTATGCAACAGGACGGGAGAGAAAAGAAGGCGGCAAATCTTTTTTGACAATCGTCACAATAATTTTGTGATGAGCATAGGAGGCATGGGTTAGTAGGATTGTCTGGGGGCATTCCCTAGAAAATTGTACAATCTAGAGGCTCAGAAATGGTATTTTCAACCTTCTTCATGAGATATTTCTTAAAAAATGCTCAACCTGGATAAAGTGTGAAATGACAAGTACATCTAGTGCTTACAGCAATATCATGGAGGTTTTGTAAACTTGACACATATTTCTCAGCTTTCTATATGTCCCGCCCTTAGTACACTGGCCTGTGTTTTTAGACAAACTTCCGTTGGGGGGGGAGGAAGCGCACGCTGGGAAAATGTTAAAAACACGTAAACACAAAATGTTTCCGACAGTTTTTGTCTAAGTTTTTGTAAAATAAAGCAAGTTTGATTCAAGCAATGGTTTCATGTAGTGAATACGGTCTTTTTTGTAGTAATTTACTTCTTTTCTCGGATAACTGGTTCAAGCATTTAATCAAACTAATGTTAATGGGAGTAGTATGTTATTCAGTGAGAAATTCATATGAACCTCGTACTAAAACAAACACAAAATGTTTCCTCTACAAAAGTGGAGGGCTGTACCGCCCTTTTCCCCCCCTCCCCCATCAGCCTCTCCAGCTTCGCTGTTCCTCTCAGTGAAACATAAATTCTGTGCGTCTCCTTTGAATAATAATAATTAGGACTAGGAAACGGAGGAAATCCTGATTATCATACTAAGTTGAAATGCTAGTCTAACCTGAAAATGGATTTGACCTACAAGCGTATATACATGCACTGCATGAAGAGGATATTATTTTGTGGCAAGTCAAACACACATTTAAGTTTGGCATAACCAAAATCTGGGAAGAGATTCCTGCTAACGCAAAAACACTCAGCCACTACCAGTTCAAAAAACAATTCAAACTAATTCTGCTTAACCCTCAAAGTTAACTACATATAAAATGACCGCCATCATCGTGCATATTTGCCATGGCACCTAGCGTACATATTAAGTATTTTCTTTTTATAATCCAGCGGTGGTTAGCTTGAAAGCTGAGCTCCTCTGGCTGACGGCCATACACTTCTACCAAAGCCATTAGTGTCTCTTATTTGTTATTTCATTCCCACTTTACTATATACTGTGTAAATAACATATACAAGTGTGAAAAACCTAAACTGAACTGATCTTGGTTACTTTTATTCCAGCTGCTAGATATTGTGATGTATGTCAAGCTATAAAACCCGATCGATGCCATCACTGTTCTATGTGTAGAAAGTAAGTTGGGCTTTGCTCAGGAACTACTGTTTCAATTTATACAGAACGTGATGTTACTGTACCAGTGAAGCATGTGGTGTACTTTTTTGGACATTTAGGTTGCTTTGTTGTTTTTCGGTGTTTTGAGATACCTTAACATTGCAATTCTTTACCCATAAATGCCTAACATTTTTTAAATAACACAAAACTCAGGCTATTCGTACAATTTCCAAACTAAAGCTCCTTTAAGTAGGTAAGCCAAAACCAGCCGGATAGATACCTACTGCTTGCAACAATTTTTTGGTTTATATATAAGTTGGTTAATTATTGTAATGGATATATTAACAACTTTCAATAAACAGAAAACATGATTATGCAAACTTCATTAATTACTACATATTCATTTGTAATTTGTTACAGGTGTATTCTAAAAATGGACCATCACTGTCCTTGGGTGAATAACTGTGTAGGGTTCACAAACTACAAGTTTTTCCTTCTGTTTCTGTTTTACGCCATTCTCTACACACTCTATGTCACAGGAACAGTAACTAAGTACTTTGTGGCATTTTGGAATGTGAGTTTATGATAATTATAATTATTATTGTATTGATATTAAATTCAGTTTTGTCCAAGTTACCGTACTGGAGAATTAAAGCAACCACTGTTGCCATGAATGGAACAAAAATAGTGAACTTTAATGGACTAGACAAAAATTATTGGATAAAATCAGTTATATGTGGAAAAACACAAGCCCATCTCTGTTTGTTTGCTTGTTTGTTTTGTTTTAGTATTTCAAGCACTTATGATGTTATTACTTTGTATTGCAGAACACATTAGAGGGAGATGGCAAATTACACATCCTGTTTCTATTTTTTGTTGCTCTCATGTTTTTTATTAGTCTTTGGTCCCTGTTTGGCTATCATTTATATCTAACTGGAAATAACAAGACAACATTGGGTAAGTTCTATCAGCCTGCAGAACACTGCATTACTTATTTAACATTTGTAGCTGTGAAGAACTTGCTGGGTTAGCGGCAAACTGGCGCACAGTGTTTTTTTAACGTTGGAACCTTGGAGAAAATAACCAAGAGGAAGAGAAAAAAGTAGCTGATGTGTGTAAAGCAAGGTGAAGGGAAGACCAGTGGTGGTTACTATTTACACAAACCACCTGGGTGGATAGTCTGAATTTCAGACGATTGCTTTGAGTTATTTTTACTCCCTCAGCAGCTTATGGAGTAAAAGCAACTCGAAGTAATCGTCTGAAATTCAGGCTACCGGGTGGAAATCTTGTGCTTAAATAAAACTATAAAATTTCATGTGGTGGGAGAATGAACCACTACAAAGTATATCTAAATCAGCGGAACAGACTCAAAAGAGAAGAAAAATTGCATCACCTCAAAAGACAGCCCATATTTTAGTTTCACAAATGGAATGGCATGAACCATTTGATTTCCAGGTGAAATTTCCAGTTTTCTCTTTTAAATGTTGAGTATGGTACTCCAGATTTCTTAGAAGCGGCGATCCTTGGGACTGGGTGAAAGTCTTAACTTCTCATAGTGTTCTTTCCTTTTGTAAGGAACTTTGCTTCACTTTATTAGGAAAGCGATATAATCACAAAATGCACTGTAGAGTTTAAAAAAAAAAAAAAATCAATGACATGGAAGCTTTGGGGAGTGGTGATGTTTTACATACACCATAAGCATAAATATTATATATAAAATTTTTTTCATTCTTTTTTTATGTTCACAGAATCATTTAGAGTTCCTCATTTTTATTATGGCCCTGACAAAAATGGCTTTAGTCTGGGTTCTGTCATGAAGAATGCTGAACAAGTTTTGGGGCTCAATAGGTGGTATTGGTTTTTACCTGTCTACACCAGGTAAGATTTTTCTGTAGTTTACTGAAATCATCTTTAAGTAGCTATGTAAGAGTGTCTGCATCTTTAAGAATTGGTTAAATCCATTTTTATCTCTTCCATCCTAAACCATCTGTATTGCATGTAGGCAGACTTGCCAACCCTCAAGAGGAAAAAATCTTGAGGTTGGGAAAAGTAGTGCAAGGTGGGAAAAAGTCATGAGATGTCCTAATTATCCCTAGTGAAAGGATTTCCAGCAGGGATTATGGGTATTAGAAGTCATGTATCATTTTTAAGTGGGAAAATCATGATCAATCCTCTTTGTTGCTGCTGACATGGACACTTTTGTTGACAACCATCTTGAAATGAGAGATTATGTAGGTTTATTTTTTAGCAGTGAGTTTGCACATGTGGTGGCAGTGAAACGTCACTGTAGAGTTTTAGAGTTGGCTGAAGAATAAAAACAATGCACCAAGTTGGCAAATCACACGTTTACTAATCAAATGCGACTGCGAGGCATTTTCTTTAAATTTAGTTTGCTGTCTAACTTAGATATGAACCCTACAGAGGCTTCAAATTTTTTGTAGTGTGACTTTTGGAGAAAGCATGAGAAATCAGTTGTCAACTCATGAGAGTGTAAGATAAGGTTTGAATTCGTGAGACTTGGCAAGTCTGTATTAGGTGTTAAAGGGATTACTAAATCATTTATTTGACAGTATCGGAGATGGAGTCCGCTTTCCAATCATAAACCAGCCAGAGGAAGATTCGCTATTAAATGCCCAGCACCGCTGGTTGGAGGAAGGGGAACTAGATGGACATGAAGATCAACAGTATGAAAACAAAGAGGATTCATCAGCAAACAGCTTGGATGTATCTACAGCAGAACTGGTAAATGAGAATGAAGTTGAAACTCAGATGCCCAACAGAGCCCGACCAGATGTAGTAGCAGTTCAGGAATATGAGGAAGTCAAAGACGGAACATCCACCCTGTAATACAGTATTAATCAATGCACTCAAGAGAGTCACTCAAGTTTCCTTGTGACCAGAAGCTAGCAGAGTTTTCTGCTTGTTTCTGAGAGGATTTTTGTGCGGGATTGGTAAAGAAAATGACAGGATTTTTTTTGTGATGCATAGTTGCACTGTGGGACTCGCTGGGTAAAGTGGCCAGTTGATACATGTAGAACCAGGGCTGTCATTAAGTGGCGGGGGGCCGGGGACTTCCCCGCGGCTACTATGAACGTAGCCCTCGGCTATTTTCATCGGAAAATAGAAGAAAAATTGAAAGGAAAGAAATCCCTAGCTGTTTGATTCCCCGCCTACTTGTTGCATTTCCCTGCCAACTTGAAATCTTAGTGACAAACCTGAGAGCATTTTGCAGCTGACATTTTGTAACGCCACAAATGATTTCCCTGCTAAATAACGTCTGAGAAAATTAAGCACAGAAATTCCATTCTGATGACATGTTACTACCTTGATCTGGGAAGTGCTTCTGATTGGTTGAAAATTAATTTTGTCTCATCCAATCAGAAGCACTACCCAGATCTGGCTAGTGATAAGTCATCAGAATGGAATTTCTTCCCTCATTCCTGGGAAATTGACTACCTCAAAGTTGATGGCTGGCGTTGAGAAATGTCAGCTGTTTTCTCAAGACTCGTTTTCACTGGGAACGGAGTCGGAGTCAGAATCGTAATCAGAAGCATAGAACTTTAAGAACTAGTGAAAACAGCGTTTTGATTCTTCTTATTCCGCTTACGACTCCGTTGTTTACGATCAAGTGAAAACTGGGTCGTCACGCGGAATGTGCATTGTGATTGGTTTATCCTTCCGCTTCTGCTTCCGACTCTGACGTAAGCGGAGTTGGAAGAAAATGGAAACGTTCTGATTCTTCTGACTCCGATTCCGTTGCGCCTATGACTCCGCTTACGTCTCCGATCTTTTTATTTTCATTAGGTCATAAGCGCTCTTTCGACTCAGCTTATGACTCCAACTCTGACTCCATCGTTTGTGAAAACCAGTCTTCAGACCACGTTTTTTGTTGTGGCTCAGTAATATTTTATCCTTGGTTCAAATTTTATTTTTCTTTATTTCTGGGTATGCTAAATTACATGTCTAAAAATGAATTTGAGACAGAAAAATGAAAAACATTGAATCTAAGATAAAAACGACAATATATTCACCTTTATTCGAATTACCGGTATACTAAACTTGGCCTTAATGAATTCCCTCAAATCTTTTACTTCCATTTGGCAGTCAAAATACTCTCCTTATATCTCACTCATCTTAAGGTTCCTTTTAGTTCCCAAGAAAAGCAGTCTTTTTGGGACTTTTAAGGGATATTTTGGGGGTATAAACTTTCAAACCCATTTTGATCCTACGCACCTAACTCCTCTTGATTATCAAGTGTCAGCGGCCCTAGCCAGCTTTTCGAGTAGTTGTAGGCCTGGCTGACTTTCATTTCCACATATCCTGAAAATTGCATGCATGACTAGTACGCACTGACCTCACCAACACTTTGAGCTCTTAAGCTTTTTAGTTTACCCCAACAACGCCTAGTTTTATTTTGTTACAAGCGGTAGCGTGATCAACCCGAAAGTGTGTAGGCCTGTGCCTACAGGTCTATGGGCTGTCTACACCCCTGAGTGTACCTCAAGGTTTTGTACACTTAAGGCTAACTTTAAAAAGTCAATTATTGTGGTGTTGGGTGTACTAAAGTAGCGAGTAGGTTTGGTGAGACAATTACTACTTTGACAAGAAGCAGTAACCTTTTTGTAACAAAAGTAGGTAAAAATGTACAAAGAATACTGGGACCTCTTCAAGAGATCTCAGTTATCATGTTTAGCCCTTTGTTTTTGTTTTTGGTTTTTTTTTTCATCGCATTGGAGCAGACCATTTTTTAGTTTAATGTTATAAAGGGTCGTTGTTCAAATTGATGTAATTCATTTGCCTGGTTATTCAGTGATCCATGCAGGATTACCTAGAGTGTGTGTACTTTAGTCAAAAAAAAATTTCCCAATTTCCTTTTTGTAAAATATTGTAAAATAGATAGTAACATGTGAAAGTGCTGGGAGAAGGTTTCCATTGAATGGTCACACTACAGGATTTCATCCCGTGACTTAAAAGTTAGAACCTCGTACAGCAAAATAAACATCTCCACAGGAATGTTTTGCTCCGAATCAAACGGTGTGTTCAAATACGAAGTGTATACGCCTTCTTGGGCAGAATAAGTGAGAAAATTTCTAAATACAAATGTAGTCATAACTTTAAAAGGTAACAATGTAATGTGGGTCCTTCCCATAACATTGAGAAAATTTCCAAAATAAACAATTGTTTTCAATATCGATTATTATCCCGGGAGTGAGGAATTTATGCGACAGCTAGATACTCGGGGAAGAGACGAGTGGCCTCCATTTCATAGTCCACCAATCTTTTTGCCGATCAAACAGGTTTTATATGTCTGTATTGGTACGTAACGTAAGAAAGTGCTTCTTTAAATCCCTGAGTCTGTATCATGTCCAAAATTGAATACCATCATTTTATTTTTGTATGAAATACTGAAAGCAAATAGCAGCCAGTGAAAGTACTGATAAAGAGATTTCATTTGAATTCCTATGATTTCTTCGTCGAAATCAAAGCCAGAACTACATATTACAAACCAAAATAGTACCGTGTGAAAGTAGTGCTGAAGAGGTTTCATTTGAATAGTCACATTCAGAGGATTTCATCCACGGATTCAAAGATTAGAGCCACACTACTTACGGTCTTTACGACTGACTTGGGCTCATTTTCTTTTATTAGTAATTCATGGTCATGTTTTGTTATTGTCCCAATTTTAACCCACTGTACCATGTGCCCTAATAAACCTAACAGTGTACAGATCTATATATGTCCAAGCTACATTCTCCTGGCGTGGTCAATCGAGTTTCGTTGATTACATCGAATGGTCTCGATTGTCATCGATATCTTGTAGCGTAGGTGTCGATATTTTTGCGGGAGTCGTAGTTTTGTTTTAATAAACATCGACCTAGCTGAAGGGAACCCAAAGTCACGTTTAACTAGTTAGTTTTGTCAGCAAACAAAATATTAAAAGCTTTAACCGAGAGATTACAAAATTTAAGAAGCAATTGGTTTTTAACCGCCGGGAAAGATAACATCCCCACGGCAATCCCCCGGGCATTTTTTTTTTTAGAAATCAGTTCTTCAAATTTCCACATCCTCCGAATTCCCCTCTTGACGATCAAAATATTAGTTCTTTTTTTTATTGATAAAATGCGATCTCTACCTAAACAACAACGAAAATTACTTGTGAGTTTGGTTACCTGTGCCATTTAGGGCAAAATGCGTTTTGTAGCGTGACATTTCAAATGGTACTGTGGGAACGTTCACGGCTTATTACGGATCTTATTTTCCTCAAAAATCATGATCTTTTGTCAATTGCTTTTTAAAATTTTTGTTAATTGTTAGCAAGCAGTCGCCTTTTCAATTGTGTTTCCTGGAAGGAACATGTCACCTAAGAGTTCCGCAAGCTTGCGGAAAAAGTGAGACCAAAAACCTTCTGCAGTTGATGTGGCGAACATTACGCCTTGATAATTGCCATTGAATTATTTGCCAAAACATTGAGTAAGGGTTTATTATATTCCTTTAGCTGTTTGAAGATTGTGATACAGCAACATATTACATAATGCACTAGGATGTACGTGGTCTTTATTGATCTTTATGTAAAATAAAACAATAATTTCTAGTAACTGGCTATTCATGTGATTTTACTTTCAATAAATTGGAATGTGAATCGGGAAATAAGATATAACAACAGCAAAACCACTAATTTTACAGTGATGACAAACCATTTTGAATTGGGTAAATACCGGGATTACAAATCGAAATAGAAATTAAAGTTTTTTTTAACGAAATGGTTAAATTGAAGGGACCCAAATTTATTTTAGTATTGAGTTAGATAAAGGAAGTTGTGTGCGACATTTTTTAATAAACGCGATTTATTTGACTTGAGATAAACGCGGCACAGGAAGAAAAAAAAAGGCTTAAATAATTTATAATATATTGTATAGTTTTTATGCCGTCAGATCTAAGCTGACCAGCCAGCAGGTGTGTAGTTTTTATTAACCCTATATTAATCAAGCTTTTACAAGACTGAAAGCTGTCATTTTTCTTGTCATAAAATATCAAGCGTCGACAAGCAACAACGGCGGCGATGACTACGAAAATTAAACGTCGCTTTACTTAAAAGTGAAGTCGCCGTCTACGTTCTTCAAACTTTATCGCGCTATATACCATCTCGTTCAATTCTTCTAATTTTGGCAAATTTTTCCGGAGTTTAATACTAAAAGACTATCGAAGTTCAGGAAAAGAAAAAGAAAGTCGTGGTCTTGTGTTCACGTCCTGCACAAAACGTGAAATTAGGTATTTTCACTTCGTAGTCGTTTGTGCAGTGACGGTGAAGATGATCAAAAAGCGTGATGCACGAGCAGAGTTGTTGTTTTGCCAATCTAAACCTAGTGCTTTTTTTTGCCGTTCTCTTTGACCTCGCCTTCGTCGTTACTGAAGCTCCTTATTTAAAATAGTCAAAGGCCTGTCGTAAATAAATATGCTTACATCTTAAAATGTATTTTATACTGATATTAAAAAAAATTATGAGGGCGTGCATTCAAAGAGAAGCGAAAACTGAATCAGTTTTTTAACGAGGGTGGTTTTCCGCGGAAACCAAGCAATCCCGTTGTTACTGGAAAGCGACGTAGTTTGTTTTATAACAAACATAGTAGCAGATGATCGACTATCTGCGTAAACGTTTTACATAGGCAGTATATTACACCGTCGTATATCAATTTTATTTACCAACTGCGCGTTCCTTTATTAAAAAAGCACTGAACGCGAGGCGGCCCCGCGGCTACAACAAGATCGCCTAAATATATCACAACATTTATTTAATAGCATATCAGAGTGATTAGATTATATTCCCACTTGGGTTTCCAAATGAAGTTTATATACAAAATTAAAGCAAGTTAATTTACGATTTCCGACGATGGACGTTGTGTGCTGAGGGTAATTCTTCGACGCGATGGCTTCCTAGTATTCTGTCACCTTTTCAATCGATAGTATAAGCACAAAAGTTGGATCGCTTTATTTAATGAAACTATTCTTTCGAGATTGTCTCTTATCTTGGCCAGAAAAAGTTTTCTGATTTCAACTCAATCAGTTTTGATAACCCTAGTTTGTAATTCGTTGTCTTTTCGATTCGAGGCTTTCTGTTTCTCACTTGCTCAGCTGTTAGTTTCTGTTCTTATCCCTGCTTCAGTTTCATTCAGTCGGAGAGCAGTGGCATTTTTTTCTCATCATAAATCATCCTCTTATACAGCCGTTGATAACAAGAGGTATTCCTCGAAGTCGATAAATCAACGGTTTTTTTTTTTTTATAATAGTGAAGCCCACCTCAAGTAGTAACATGGACCCATGTCTGCACCCTTCTTAGTTTTTTTAAAAACTCAGCAAATTCGATTCAGTCAGCTATTTCGCAAGATGCTCTTGTGTATTAGAGGGTGCTTGGACAAACGGGCTTTTTTTTGCGATGCCTCTCCTTGATTGTTCAAGTTCTTGGTTTGATACGCTCGAGTCTTGTTATTATATTCAACACCTTTGCTCTCGGTACTTTTCTTCTCCATCCATTTCTCCATCAATTTCCAACCCGGCATCAACCTTGTTTCTGGCCATCACCTCGCGATTCTTCTGTCCATTGCTGCGCTGGAAACTTCTACTGGCACTCTGCAGGCTACTCTGCGAAAGAGAAGACCAGAACCTAACAGGTGTCAAGATTCGCAGATATTCAGCACGGATGGAACGATTCATGATTCCGTATATGATGGGATTGAGAGCTGTACTAGCGAAGCCAAAACAGGTGTAACTTACATAGACTTGTCGCTTGAGCTTCCAATCTCCGTTTATAAAATCGATCATATCAATGATTAAGACGGGAGTCCAGCAGGTTAGAAAACTAATGACAACAACCAGTAGGATGTATGTCACGTTCACTTCTTCAACCGACAAGATGCCGCTGCTGTCCAAGGAGGTGTTGTTCCGGGTAGTGTTGTTCGTGCTTCTTTGGCGAATTCGAAAGCGAAAGTTTAAGTTGTGTTTCCGCACTGCGATGAAAACTCGCGTGTAACAGGTTATGATGATGATGAGGGGAATTGCTACATAAACGAGAACCAAATAAGCTCCGTAGCCTTCGTACAACGATTCCGCGTTATGAGCGCAAAAGACTTTTCCAGTGTGAAAAAAAAACTCGTGGCCAGCAACGACATACGGCAGAGGCGCAAAGAGAGCCATGACCCACAGAATTGCAATTGTTATTTTTGTTTTCTTCATGCTGAAGATTCTCTGGTACGACGCGCGGGAACGAACAACTCGGAAATATCTGTTCACAGCGGTGACGGCTAAAGTCTGCAAAGACACGGCGCACATGAGAAGAATCCAGAATCCTTGTAGCTGGCAAATAAAGTTGTTAAACGGCCATTTTCCTGTCATAAGAGAAGCTAGTGAAAACGGAATCCCCAGCAATGACATTAAGAAATCCGAGACAGCCAAAGTTATAATGTACATGTTAGGCACAGTTCTTCGAAGATTCGGGTTTTTGATGACCGAAATTCCAAGCAACAGATTTCCGGAAAAAGAAGTAAAGTTGATCAGGAGCAAGAAAAACGATTCTACAATTTGAACCGCAGTTGAACGGTTTTTAAGCTGCAGGGCGAAGACGTCTATTGAAGTAGCGTTCATGATATTTCTTGGCCGGCACGAACACTTTTCCGCAGAGTAGTTTGATGGAAGATTAGGAAGACACTTGCGGGAAGAAAGCACTGTTAAATGTGCGCTTCTTAAAGCTGATAGTAATTCGATCTGCTAATTATTCAGACCTTCCTGTTCACTTAAGAAATTATATGAAGCACCTGCTCCAACCTGGACCCTTCGTCAATTCTGTGTTACCCTGTTTAGTGTCGTTCAATCAATAAATCGCCGGTTAGGTCTCACCAATAACGCAAACTGCAAAACGTGAAAGCAAAGCAACAACTGTTGCCTAATATTTCACAATTATTGTCTAATCTTTGTCAACAGAACTTCCGATGTCTGTTGTCGGTGCTTAAAAGCGGTAAAACTCTGAATGTGGCTAAATGTCTAGCGATGTTTACTCGAACTCATTTGTGAAAAGAAGAAGTATTTTCGAAACCATGCATTTTCAATTTACTTTAATTTTATTTCCGTTTTTGTAGCTTACATGTGCCAGCTGACATTGCATTTCGTTTTATTTTCCGAACGAATGTGAAATATATTTTTAAACCGGAAAAACTTCATGAAATATCCATCAAGCATATCATTTATAATTCTGAGAGCGCTTTTGCCGGCGAAAACCAGGAACAGATGGAAATGAGATTCACCTCTCCTTTCACGGCATTGGAAGTGAATAAATTGTAGATCAGTGGCTGCAAAAGAGATATTTTGCGTTTAGTTTTACGGGAAGATGACAGTCCACACTAAGGAGTAATGAAAATGTATTTCGGATAAATTCAGCCAATAAAAATCAGTGGCAGTTTTAGTTTCTAGTTGACCAGGAATAAGAAACAAAAGTGTAACACTTACTACACTTGCAATTTTTCCTATAAAAATTTAATTCGTTTTCAAAAGGAAGAATAACTAAGGCCTTGTCTATACATATCCGAATATTTTTAAATCCGCAATTTTTCTTTGCTCGGACCGTCTTGAATATTCACGGTAAAGAACTGTGCTCGATCTTGTGACGTTGGGGATAAATTAGCGTCCATACGTTTCCGGATGTATAGCGGATTCAAAAATTTCCTTCCTTATCTAGAGAGCATAAAATGATGAAACAACGAAAAAAAAAATGAACGTTTTGTCAAATTGGAAACAAGAAGTCAAGTCTAGTTGAGCTTGTGATTAATAGCAACTTAAGTAGAATGGGCGCGCACGACAGTGCATCGTAAGGCTGTCAATTAATAAATCAAATTTGCAAAATATTTCTCCTCTAACTTCAAGAAAACAGCGCAGAAAAAAAGTGTTTTCTTTGTCTTGGTAACCTCAGTATATTGTAATTGATATAAATAGAAAATTTAAAAAAACGAAATAATCTCGAAGATAGGAGAAGTAGGAGCTGAAAAAAAAGTAGTCATAATGAACTATAGAGTGATGACGTCATAAAAATTAACTTTTTGAAATTACGGGATTTGTTGGGATATTTTGAAATAACAACATCTTAAAGGCTTACTTGCTAAAAACTAGCATTGTGGGGCAAATTGTCTCGGAGGTACTAGTTCCGTTTTGCTCTGATGACTCCATGCAAATCATTCTAAATTTGGCTCGGTTCCTAATGTTATGAAGAGTCAATTTAGAAGGATTTGCACGGAGTCATTAGAGCATAACTGGCTAATGTCGCAAAGACAATTTGCCCTGGAATGCTAATTTTTGGCAAGTAGGCCTTTTTGGATGTTGTTCTTTCATAATACCCTGAAAAATCCCATAATTTCACAATTTAATTTTTATGACGTCACACTTTAGGACTCTGTTGCTCCTATTTAGTGGAATCACATTAATCAACCTCGTTCTCACGATCACGAAGAAGATCCTGGGAACGAGGTTGCACAATAAAGCAACTTTGACGATGTGACGTCTTTTTACTACTACTACTACCAGAATCCTTCAGGGTTTGCGTTGCGTGTAAATCATTCGGACTTTTGTTATTTAAACCTCGCTGGGATTATCAAATTCATGTAAGAAAAAACGAAATGAATTCTGGCGGTAGTAATATGGCCTATTTGGTCAATAAATGGGCCAGCTTCGAAATCAAGTTTACTTTGAGTAAACAAAAAATCTCTCCTTGTATAACGCCGTCAGTTGCATACCGGCAAATGCGGCAACAAATAAAGTGACAGGCGACTTTTTTGGCGGATCAAGATTCTCTCGTCTCGACGCTCAGCGAAGACAAGAAAGAAACTCTCAACCTAGAGTCACGCTTTCCAGACAATAGGCTACCACGTGATTTTCCTTCTAATTAAAGTCACTAGTGCAGCTAACTTCTTCCATGTTGTTCCTTCAAACTAAGCTGTTGTCAGTTTGCCCAACGCTATAACCTGGCAAAATCTAAACACTCTTTATTGTGAACAGGTGCATGAACAGCTTTAAGCGCAGAGCGGGCTAGAAAAACAATCATTTTCTTAAAAGTAAATCCATTTAAAATACACTCAAAAACGCATAAGGGGTTATTCAACCCCTTATGATTTTCTGAAATACTTTAAACAGATCTGAGGCTCCAACAGGAGCCTCCTGGGTCCAATGATTTCTTGATCCGGCGTGGCCTAAGTTAGAATTCGTTTAAGTAACCGAGTCTTGGGTCAAGTACAGCAAAAACGAATTCCTAGCATGCAAACGCACAAGAATGAAAAGAGAACATTTTGATCGTTGTCCTTACGTTCACCGTGGTGCTCACATCTGGACCGCTTTTCCGCTGGAAGTAGGACTCTAACGCTTATATTTGCGATGCTAGACTTGCATGCTGTTGAAAACCAGGCTAAGTACAAGTTAACATACCGGAACAAAAGAAAAGATCGTGTAACGCATACACACAGGTTTTATTGAGTTACTTCGCAATTCTAAATTGAGCAATTTCTTAAAAAATTTCTACAAACATAAAGGGAAAGAGGTAGCTCTGGTAGAAACAAATGACAAAAATCCTAATAAATGGCAACGTGAAAGCTTAACGACAGATTTTAGCTTAGCCTAATCGGTGAGAAACACACACTTGGCTTGAGTATCCATTGTGCTCTCTTAGGACTCACAGTGGCACGTTTCTATGGTAGAGATGTTCATGTGACGACCTCCACTTGTGATAAATGTGTGGTACTTCTTTTTCTCCGATTCACATAAGGTGTCCGGCCAAAATCTGGGCGGCCATGAGGCCGGATCTCTTCTTGGTCTATTTGAAAGGAAATAATAAAAGAGTCAATGTGTAAGTAGGTCGATTTTGTTTTTCAAAAAACCAACATGAAGTGACTGTAGATTTCAAGGCCAGCCTTTTATTCAGGCGTTTGTAATGATTTCGTTGCGTCTGTGCTTCGCTTGAATGAAAAAGGCATGCCCTAAGTGATATGCCTGTGAGTGTGTCATCGGAGCTCGTTTGGCTAAGCAGTGTATGAGGAAAAACGGTCTACGCAATGTAATGCTTGTTTTACGATTAAGTGATACATGCAGAGAGTAGAAAATTAAAATGGATAAATGGCATGCACATTACTCAAAGGGCTGGGATCGTGTCTATGAGTGCTTATTTAGCTTAAAGTGCATATAACCCCAAATTTGTTAAACTAAATAACAGAATAAGCTAGAATACAAAAAGAAAAGAAAACTTGTAATAAACGAGGCCACAGATTGTTTTCGATTGTAGGTAAATCTCCGTTTTTTACAGCTTGCTAAATATGTAGAATTAATATCTTTGGCCCTGGGCATTTTGTGCCTGGGTCGAGTGATAAAAATTTTGAGGCATCCTATCCATGTCAGAGCCCGACGTCTTGTGAGACTGGGTCTCATAAAAACGTGAATCCACACTGTTTCAGTATTCATCGCTCTTTTTCCATTTCGTTCAATTTGTCAAATGTTAGGGAATTTTTCTGGAGTTATATTCTAAAGGACTGTATCCAGGTTTAAAAAAGAATTAGGCCCCGTCCACACATAACCAGATATTTTTGGATCCGCAACTTTTTCTTTGCGAATTCGGCTTCCGTCTACATGTATCCGGTGTATCCGCCTTACGAATCCGCAACCTTTTGGATCCGCTCTCCATATGTGGAAATGTCTGAATCCGCTATGAATCTGGAATCGTGTGGACGCCAAATCCGGATATTTTTTTTATCCAGTGACGCCACAAGATCAAGCCCAGTTCTTTACGGTGAATATTCAAGACGGTGCCAAGCGCGTTCATTATACGTTTCTGGGAAACTGCCCACCTACCCCTTCCCTAAGCCAACATTAACGCTAACTTCTCACTTACGACAAAATGTTGGTTTGGGGGACGGGTAAGTGGGTAGTTTCCCAGAAACGTATAATGTTCCGCGCAATGTTATCGCTTATTTACATTTGGACTTCAGGGTTGAAATGAGGTCCACAGTGGGCTAAAATAATTCTTTCATAATGTTGGTTCAGTTAAAATTGTGCTCAGTTGGTATGACATAAGGGCCGCGAATCGGTTTTCATTGTTCGTTTATTTTCACGAATGAGTATTTGTTATTCGTTATTAAAATTTAAAAAAAAATGACGCGAAAGTAAATTTGGAATTTTCACTTGAGTTTGGCTTTCGGACCTCCATGTATCACAATAGGCCATTTGCACTAAGAGTTCATGTGACATCGTTTTTATGAAAATGAAATTTATATGATTTTGTCTTCAAAAAACGATTGGTGGGTCATATCTTAAACAGAATAATAGTGATTTGGTTTTTCAAACCCGCACCACTTTCTTAAAATGAGTAAGATCGTAGATGGTCACGTGACCAAAATGTGATTTTTAAAATTATGAATTACCTCTTTCTGAACACAAATTTTGCACTTAAACTTCGAGGAAAATGTTGAAAAGATGATGTGGTAACGTTTACAGCACATCTGAGCGTAACTATCAAACGTTTACCAAGATATAAGCAAACAGTAGTTTTGGCCGCCATGTTGGAGGGCAAGAGTTTGCCCTCCAACATGGCGGCCAATACAATTCATACTACTTTGTTGAAAAATCAAAGTGCCATAAAATATCTCCCTTAAATGCTTTTCCTCTCAAATTTCGGCTGTAAGATAATTTTTATGTGCTCTGTCGATTTTTGGCATCAGCAAGATTCCAACTCATTGTTTAGAGGAAGCGTTGATCACGTGACCTCTTAGTGCAAGTGGCCTATTGACTCACCCATCACGATTCTTGTAAGAGGGGCAGGAGTCTTCATAGACGCATTTACCCATGTCCACCAACTGAAAAGAAAAAGAGGTGTAATTATTTTATATTAAAGAAAAAACTCTATTACTAAGAGTTAAGTCACGCATTGACACTAGACGTTAGACTAAAAGAAAGAAAGCTAAGAAGTGATTGCCATTAAAACACCATAGTATTATAAATAGGCTACTTGCGAGTTCCACAAAAGCTCACTTTCAAAACGAGGCTCTAAGTGCAAAACCTTTCTTGTGAAAATGAGTTATATTTGCATGAGAATAAATTAATCATTTTCACCCCAATGAAAGGAAACAGAGGCTTCGGGCAACTTCGAAATGTTCTTAGCTCTTATGCACGTTTTCGTCAGAGGAGCAAATTTCACCACAGTTTGAGATTTTAAAGTTGCGAAGTCAGTTTGAATTAATGAATTCCCGATCCAAGAATACCCACATACAAAAAGTGAAAGTAAGAAGAATTATGCTTACAAACGAGTGGTGAAATTTCCTCTTCTGACGTGATCACTGCTGGAGGGCCATTCTTACCGGTTGGAGCGACTAAATTTGGTTGTTGTTTGTTCTATACTTTATAATTTGGCAGTTAAACGACTACCTTTTATTTTTCCCATCCACCTTGAATCATTTTAAATGTTTCACTTTATTTCCGTCATTGTAAAACACATGAGGACGTCAGATTTGTTTCTGTTCACCTTTTTTTCCGCGGTCAATATTTTTTGGCCTTTTCACGGCTGACGATGATAAGCCTCTAGTGTTCTCAAGTTGCCGTTTGAAAAAAAAAATTCAAATATGTTAAATACTCTTATTCGATGCATCTTTGATATTAACGCTGTTTATATACCTTAGTCCTGGTAGCCATCTTTCCTTTACCATCAGCGTATTGTTCAAGAAACGCTTCAAAATGTGTTGCTCTGTAGCAGTATGGTTTCACGCATGAGCACTGCTTTATGACTGGAATGCCTCGTACACCTTTGAAAGACAAATTATAACAACTACCATCGTTAAAGATCGAGAAAATAACGTTATAGTTTTGACGAGAGGGTGCAAAATGGGCGGCTTAAATTTCTAGCTATAACGAAGATTAGTTCGTCCGAGTTTCCATCGGAGCGAAAAGCTGTTGTACTTGGCAACCAAGACGGCGGCCACCATGACGTCATCTGTAAACCAGCAATGAAAAGTACCGAGGGACTGGGACGGGAGTGCGTTATGTTAGGATACGGATTCACAGAGGTCAAACGAGTGAAATTTGCAAAAGTTAAGCGAAATACTTCAAAGTTAAGGTTGCTACTTTCACTATCGAAAGTTTAAGGAATTATCAACATCCTGTTAGTTTACTAAACTTTTTAAAAGTTTACTAAAAAAGTTCTAAGTGATTGAAAACCGATGCTGACGTTATTATCGGCGCCATTTTCAAACATGATTCTCTTTTAGCGCGAAGCGTTTTCAGCAAAAAAAGCTCAAAAATGGAAAGAGAGTTATTTTGACTAACTGATTTATACATCTTTGCCCATTTTTCTCTAACTGGTAAATGAAATCCCAGCAATAAAAAACAAAAATAACGATTTAGACGTTTGACCGCGGTGGTGGATACGGATGATGTCCGATACATGTAACTATAACTGGGGTGCCAGAGAGCTTGTTACATCGAGGTCTCACTGTACATGCTTGATTTACTCACCATTTGGACTGCGTATGGCTTCTGTTGCATTCATGACAGATTTGCAAGCGAAGCCCTCTAGACAGCCTCCCCCACAAACGCCGACATCGACGCTCTTGCTATACTTGGTTCCCGGATAATACGTGACTGTATGAGGCAGGCGCACACAACTATTCGGCACTTTCTGACATGCACGAATTGTATCTTTTACAATCACATGCTGATTATACACCAAGATACGTTCCTCTGTGGTGCTTTGTGAGATACAGCTGTTGCCGGTTTTATTAATTCGGTCTGGAACCGGAGGCTAATTTTAAAAAAGGTTACAAATACAGTTCTTGAGAAAGTAACATGGTCAAGTCAGGTCAAGTCACGTCAAGTCAACTTTATTTAGGCAGGCTAGCCCTATCAGCCATTGGCTTGTATCGAAAGGGGCCTTGCGTAAATTATAACTACATGATAAAAATTGGAAAATTAAAAATTACTTTAAAATTATGGACAAGGATTTTAAAAAATTCCTAAAAGGGAAATCACATATCATCGTAATTTGTTTAAAATCAAGAAAAATAAGAGAGCTGTCGCGGTTACCTAAAAATTATGGTGCTTACAAACGTTCCTCTTTGTTAAGACTGTTGACAGACAAAGCCCTCTGATACCTAACTATACCTCTCCCAGGGGAGTGGTCCGCATTTTACTGTGACGGGGATGATCACATGGGGCAAAAATCGGGGTTAAAAAAAATCCCAGGACCAAAAACTAAACCTCAAACTTAAAAAGCAACTTAACCAAATTGTGGCAACCAGTTTTTGAAATAGTTATAAACATAGATAGACGTTAAGTTGTCGGGTCGTGTCAATTATCTCGCGACCTCCCTCTCCGCAGTTCAGCGCTCTAACACCAAGCTACTGCTGCGTTTACTAATCAAGCAAGTCACAAATTTGGCTCACAACAGAAAATAGACTTACTTACCACTAAACTGTATGTACTATGTGGAATTACGGATGAAAGAGATTACTTAACGACATTTGATATAGTTCACTACCTGTTGAGTTACTTCCTTGCATTCACCTACGTCATGTGTTATGAACCTCGCCTCTGCCCTAACTAAAATGGACCAAAAAAACGATAAGTGATGTCATAAGGGTTTCGTGGAGACAAGGAAAAACGAGGGCTCGTGTTGCAAGGACATGTCAAAGCAATGCGTGTTAGCAACAAAATCTCGTGCGGTACACACACAGGGACAGGCAACAGGAACGTATAGCAGGGGCAAAATCACGTGCAGTACACACATAGGGACACATTGCATACAGACATGGAGAGTACCAAGTCTTCGACTGGAAATCAAGTGTAGGCCTTTTCCGCATTGCTGTAAACACAGTCGGAGGCACAAACTCAGGACATAAACTCGATATCTGATGAACTTTTTTTCTCGTCTTCATTTACTTGTGTGTGCTCACTGGGATGAAATGCTGGTAGGGTTTTATAATCAGACAGAAAACTTACCAAAACCAATCACAACATCCTTTGGAAAACGCTGGCAAAAGGTGTCATTAGAGGATTGCAGTCTATAGAAGAAAAAATAGGTTTGTTGCTGTCACTACTACCGCTATTGTGCTCGAAATGAAGCTCTTTTGAAATGCAGTTTCAATGGACAAAAATAGTTTAAATCTCTTTAAAAAGGAGTGTGAAAACATTGCTAGAAAGAGGGATTTGATAAGCATTAATTGAGGTGCTCTATGTAAATGTATTTTGTTTTACCTTTACAAATGAGCTATGTTTTTTGGAAACCACTCGATATAGATTCCCTTAAAATTTTATTTTCTCGAGATTAAATGTCTTTTGAACGGATCCTGTGATAATTGCACCTTGCTCTTGACGATACAATCTTCCTGAATCTAGAAGGCACGGCCAAAGTTGATCGTACACCGGCTTATTTTCCTACAAATTCAGGAGCGGAAATTTATGTTCACTGCCGGAAGGTTTCCTATCGACATGCAGCCAAGGCTCGACAAGGTGGCCTATGGGTAGCCTGTGTAGCAAGCGTTTCCGTGCGCAAAAACTTGGAGCGAGAGCAAAAAACTGTTTCCTCTTTTTTTCTTGTTTTGTTCTCGTACCAGCTTTCGCGCATTAACTCGAGCGGAAACGCTAGCCTGTGGAAGAGATCAAGTATCACGACGTAATCAACTCCGTCAACCTAAAGTGATTCATGGAATCCGAGACCAGAGCAAACGCAAAAACAAATTACATAAACTCCCGCAGATGAAAGCATTAATTACACTAAACAACCTTTTTCCATTTTTGTTTTCTTCAGATCGATAAATTATCAAGATTCGTTCAAGCAATGGGGGGAAAGAAAGATTGTTTTCTCTGGTTTTCGTAGCTATTTATAATCTGTCTGTCTTTTAGTGAATTTTAATGCCTAGCCTTGAAATTAAATGAGCTTAAATAAAGAGCTGTCTTAGGCCTTTGACCCTGTTCAGACAGAAGCAGTTATATTTACGAGTTGTATTTGTATGTCCAAGATTGGAGCTTATCCTTTTCATAATCTCATTCAGAGGCAGCACGTTAATTAATTTCATTGTCAGTAAGTAGTATATTTCTGAGGCCGGGATTAGTCGTAGCTGAATTCCAGTGAGTTCCTATAGTAGATGATTTTGAACACTCTTTTCTTTAATTAACGGGTCATTTGACAAATTTGTGTTGAAAATATTAAAGAAATTAGTATCAACTTGACTATAAATAGCTTGCAACACGGCTTCCTTTCATCGCTCGCCGTCCATAGTCTAGACTAAAATCTTCAACCAATTTATCAGTTTTTTGGAAGATGATACCCTATTCTAGTTTTAAACTCTCTGATTTCTATACCTATCCCAGACTAAACTTCACAGCGGCACATATCTATATACATATCCCATATATGGCGGTACGGTCCTCCGGGATATTGCCTTTCGGGAATCTACAGCCCCCAGCAGCCCAAGAATGTACGCCCATGTTAAGGTCTTCTTCTCGTAAATAGCCGAAGATTTCTGAACAGCTGTCATCATCAGGGGTAGATCCAGAAAATTCAGAAAAAGTGGTCTAGGCTTGTGGTGTACCAGCTTTTTAGAAACAGATACTTGCTTAAAGAACTCTCGCACGGCGTTTTGTCCAAAAATTAAGGCTCTGGAGGACGCAGCTTCGAAAGAATTCTTTAGAAATTAAACAGCATTAAGAAGGGGCTGCGGTATGTACTCTCCGCTAAATCAGCCCTTGAGTATACGCTCATACAGCAGTTGCGATTGCGACAGAGAGAAATACACAGGAAGCAGGCAACAATCAGACATCTGAGAATTAGCGAGGGTAACGTTTAAAAGAAAATATCAGGTTGACGTGCGAAAGTTTAAAATGATAAACACACCGAAGAAGAAGCGCACAATTTAGCTGGCCGGGTACTTTTTAGGCCGCTCAAAACCACAACACGTAGCGTTATGAATATACAGAATATACAGTATGGACAAATCCCATAAAACTTACCAAAGAAAACAAAATGGAAGAACATTTTACATGACAAATAATTTCAGGTAGCAGGAAAGATTAAGCTTATCATTATGCTAAAGTTGTAAAAATTTACCGCGTAAACCTGGCAGGGAAGGGTATGTCAAATTTCATCGTTATTTCTACTGAAAAAAAATTTGTTCGACATTTTGAAAATGAAGGTCCTTTTTTTAAAATTTGTCCGTTAGAGTAGAATACTTAGGACAAGTGAAGAGAGAGTGAAATTCGTCTTCAGTCCGATCTGCAGAAAGTATAGCTTGTAGACCAGGTCTAATCTCTCTCTGTTCTGGTCGTATCTACCTGATTCAATCATTAATTTATGATTGCCTATGCATTTTAACCATGGTTCTCCTATCAGTAATCTTACATACAGTGAAAATGAATGCGTCTCACCGTTTTGCACTGCAAAGTCCATAAACGATGGAGAGAGCTAAGAGTGCAGCAAAAGCCTTTTTCATGGTTCCTTTCGGTGTAAAGAGTCGCGGTGTAATGAAACAAAACTGCACAAGGCACGTGATTTTGTAAGCTTTTTCTTTTTTTTTTTAGGTCAAAAGTTGACAAACACACAAAGTGAACGTGGCGATGTTTTAACAGAATGTTGTTCGAGAAATTTCTCAACTCCAGTTTATGTGAAACCTAATAACAAATGAACCAAATTGCAATTTTCCGGCTTCATTAATTGTGACCAATATAGAAAGTATATAAGGACAGAATGATGCTTAAGCTTCGCTGTTATATAATCCTCAACTAGAAGAACATGTCAATACTTAATTGACTACTTTCGGCCTGTCAGTCTGGGCATGGCCTGCTCTTGGAAAACTGATATGAGTGAGCTTAAGATTAGCTCCGTTGTGATTAGCAGCAACGACCTTATCATACTGACTCTGATATTTTTTATTTTTTTTGTTTTGAAATTAAACTGGATAATTGGTCAATGGACACAAGGCAACGCACACAAAAACAAGAATTTAGGGGATTTTAGGGGAATTCGACACACCTAGATGGGATTTCACCAGTTATAATTACATTATATTGTTGTTGTTTTCATATTCTTTCAATGCCGGGTCAGTATGGTCCGTCGTAAATAATACTTCTAAAAAAATATCAATCCCCAATGTGTGCAACTTGGCACTTGCTAGTTCTATATATATGAACTGTTCAAGTACTTTGTCATTTGTACATCTACCCCAAGTTCTCGAGCGAGAATCGTTGTTGAGTAAGGGAAATATTATTAGGGTTTGTTTGGGGATTTTAGCGATCGTTATTGAAAAAAATTGCTGAATAATAATACATAATAACACTTTACGTTGTCTTCTTGTTTTATTTTTGGTGTGTTCTTGGTATTTTTGGCCGTTTCAGCCCGATTCCAGCGAGTTTGACAATGGTTTGAGTTTTGGATAAAAAAGTATAAAGATAAGATGATCGCCATCAGTATATTATAGTCTAGATATTTCTGGGAAACTATTTAAGTGATCTGATATCGAAACCAGTTTCGAAGGTATCTGTGACAAGTCACCAAGACTTCTTTTTGTTCTGCGTAGTACGGTCCATGTCTGTCTGTATTGGCGTCCTTTTAATTAATCTTTTTGCCCGAGAAGTCAGATAATGTTGTTCTTCCGGGTCTAGTATTGACTCACATGATACAATCACCACTCCTTAGAGTTGGACAGTCTCGAGGTCTCTGGTGACTTGGTAATTTGGATCGCAAAGTCTAGTAAATTTGTGGGTGAACTGAGCAGTTCCAAATTCTGGGGTCCTTTTAGCTGACTAGTTAATTGTCTTATCTGCCTCTTCATACAATAACTGTTTCTTGATGAACAATGCCGCAGGAAATAATAATGAAATCAAAGTTTTTGTTGTTGTTAAACCCATTCCTCTTTTTTGGGTGTTATCTCCGTTAATTCGACGAGTCTCGCTGAAGCCCTCAAAGTATGTTCTGGTGAAAATGAAAGTGGTTTTTCTGTTGATTGAAAGCCTGGATTGAAAGTGCCCAAACGTCTCCGTGCGGCTTTGTTTTGCGAACGCAAGGAGAGTTTATGTTAGCCAACTCATAAGTGAATACGCGATTTTACCAATTCTACACTAGCCCTTACTATTTTGGAGGTGCAATCATCATTTCAACCCTTCCCATGCAAACCTTGTAACACACAAAGACTCGACTAGTGACCAATTAATTTAAGTAGTATAAAACAACGATTGTAAAAATTCAGACACCTTCGATTTACGATTAGTAGATAAACAAGGCGTTCTTTCTTAGGCTGAAGTGGTTGCAAATCCCCGGGGTAAGTCAGTTGAGTGGTTAAGAAGACAAGACCAATAAGTAATGACGCCATATCTTGGAAAATGTTCACCGCGTCTCGAACGGTCCCTGCACAAGCAGCAGGGTCCTCAAGAGTAAGGGTCGGCAAAGTCCCTGCAGAGATTGTCGCGCTATAATCATTCCGGTTCTCAAAGTCAATTGATTAAAGAGAAAGAATCTCGAAGCTATCTTCAACTTTTTCAGTAAAATAATTAACTGCTCGAAGGAACACTTAATAGAAATTTCTAAAGCTGTAGAAAGGCGATACGCATTTCTGGATAACGGTTCTATTCGTCTAAGATATTCGAAGTTTTCCTTCTAACATACCTACGATATTGGGGTTGTGTTTTTCACATTTAACTACCAAAATTTTACATTGTTAAAATAAAGGTCACCAAAAATGTCGGCCGTATACCCGAGAATTTTCTAATGAAAGAACGGCTCTTCGACCGTCCATGAATTTTTCGACCAAACCCATCAGGGTACCTAAATAACAATTTCGGATGAAACGAAAAGACACCTAAAACGTACTAGACGCCGAAAGGTCCCCTAAAACATCCGAACAGGAGCTCCAAATTAACCAAACAGGCTTCTGAAGCATACATGGAAAACCACTTGAGACACTCCTCTGACGTATCATGCGGGAAACATTCGGTAGTTGGGTACTCCTAAGGATAAATAAATACCGTATTGCAGACGGCATAAAACTTCACCAAGAAGACAAAATGGAATGACATTTAACGAAATAAAGTTGCGTCAAGAAAGATTAAAAGCTTTACCATCAGTTTACATAGTATAAGATGTTTTGGTTGTGGGTTGTTCGAGCAACTCACTCGCTAAGCGCTTCTTTTTTTGGAGTTCTTTATTCTCGTCTGAAACTAACAACGACTCGCAGCAAGTCACTACTGCATTTAACTATTTTTCATGATCACTACATCTCGCTACATCTAACTTAAACTAGGCAATAATTTTCGACCTAAAGAGCTCAAACTGTAGAAATGTTTAGGCTTCACTTGCTATTCACGGGAGTTCTAATACAGTTTCTGTTGATCACCAAAGTGGGCGAAAACAAAACTAACGTTAAACTAAGTAAAAATGCCAAGTATAAGTCACTAAAACCGAAACAGGAAGTCTGATGTAGGTCAAACCGTCAGCTGTAATTCCAAACGAGCCTAATTCAAGACACTCGAATTAAGTAAACCATAAGATGAATGACACTTACATCAAAAACTTGTCAACCACATAACCTTAATCTAATTGAACCTAATCTTGACAAAAACCTGAGCCATCGTCCTCGATGCAGCTGGGAGAACGATATATAGACCAGAATATAGAAAAAACATATTGACACTAAAATCAAAAACGAAAAGCAATCAAATTTAACGTTATGAAATACAATTATTCAAATTTTGAAAGCCCAAAGGGAAAATCGTAGTCAAAGAGAGGGCTTTTCTAAAGTACAATATTCAGTGCTTAAAAGAAACACTAATAAAACTGTCACAAACGGAAACTACTCTCTTATTGAATGAGGTCAGTTTAAAACTCTGACTTGTGATTCCTATAAGTCACGGAAAAACGAGTCTTGAACTAAATGGAACTGGAGCTTTAAGTGCCTCCCCACCACAACCACCTTATTCTCTGAGTCCTTCTGTATGGCCCTTGAATCACTCTAAGCAAATTACAAGATCCCTCTTAGCAAATTACGTGGTCCCAACCGTATACTACGCCAGTCTTGAATGTGTAACACGTATATATAATGCAGACCCAATTAGCGCAAGACAGTTGTTGATCAAAAACTCAGGGGCACTCAACGACGGTTTCCTCTTAATGCATTGAAAACGCTATTAACGCTACCCAGAGTACTTTTAGATCTCTAGAAATGTGTTCAAAGCGGCGCTATAAAATTTGTATCTGTTCGGTCATCCTAGGAGAACTTGAGACTTTTCGAAATAACAAGGGCTTGAGTATTATTTTCCCGAAAATTTTAGATGTAATTTGACGTATTACGTAAGTGGGACATTTTCTGATTCCTCTCTCCATGGCATTTTTAAATCAGAAAATTCTAGGTTTCCACGAAAAGTAGCCTAACTAGGAAAGTCAAATGTGAAAATTAAACTACAGAAATCGTAGGGAACTTATTAGATAAGCTTCGAAAATTATACATGAATGGAATGATCATCAAGAAATTTTTAGCCGTCCTCAAGAAATAAAAAATTCTAGGCAATATTTGCTTCTCCGAACAGATCGATATTTTACAGAAAACAGTCGTTGGGTGCCCCTGAACAACTTCAACTACTACTCGTACTTTCAGATAGCATGTTCCAGAAAGCATATAGTAGAGCACGCTCACTCTCCTCTGTTTTTTTTTTCCCCCGTTTCCTCCGAACATCGCGTTCTACTATCTGAAAGCCAAGAAACAGGCTAGTACTTTGAGGTTCCAAATGATTGCAATCGTCTGTATTGATTAGGTTGTGAGCGGGGGTGAGTGTTTCGGTGTGTTATAAGGTTTGCGTGCGAAGGATTGAAATGATCAAGGGCGAAGATCTTGGTAACACCAGATATTCCGCTCACTTCTCGACGGGAATTTTGTGACGACTGGTAAGCTTACATATAAGCTTACAGCCTTGTTTTATGTTAGTTTAAATTCTATTTACTGTATGGTAGTGTCTTCACTGTTATTTAGTCCATCTATATATAAATCTTGTTTTGTAATATGTCTTCAGCTCCCCCAGCCTCGATTAGTTCATAAGCTATTTGCGGGTGGGAAAGTAATGTAATTAGTTATTTTCCAATTTTCAATAAAATTTGTTGTTGTTGTTGTTGTTGTTACATAACAATCACACTGTTGTAGCTTCGTTTGCATGTATAAACAGCTAGTATTGCAATAGCAGAAAACGTATAACCTAAAAGACAAAACAGAATAACATTTAACCAAATTAAGATACTAGCAGCGAGAAAGCAGGCCAAGTTAAGTTTTATCAATCCTCAAGTGACAATTTGTCTCCTGAATCAAAGATAAGGCAAATACCATCCATTGAAGATGCTTTCGAGATTCTTTCGGGTTAATGGAGTTCGAGAAATGAAATGCTCATAGATCTACACAGCGCGGACTTAGACTCTCATTGCGGGACTGCCGCCGAGACCTTATAATTCACAGCTGCGCCCGTTCCGTTTCTTAAATACCGACAAACCTTCAATGTTTCAGGCCATCGCTA